TTTATCAAAACACAAAAATAATGTTAGTATGATAATAATGATAATGATTATGGACATTTACCAACACTTTCTGGACGTTGGTCAACTCCCTCCTTTGGACCAAAACACATGTGTTCTCTATTCTTTGTTTTTAAACGGTTTGATTCTCTGTGTCTGCGATTTCCAGCGTTTTGTGAAGTCCTCTGAGATAACTGCTGCTGTGATTTAGAACGAGAATACATTGAATTGAAAAGAAAAAACACTTGTATACTTTTGGCCCCAACCTCCGTCCTGTCAGTCAAAATGAAACACTGATGAAGCTGAAGAGTTGTTCCCTGTAACAAGTAAAAGAAATATGGAAAAAGAAAATGTCCAAATGTTTTCGCAGATGAATCTTTGATTGTGATTCGATTCTCAAACCTGCCATATTATTCTCACAACTGTTAGTTCAACCTCCACAACTTTGAGTCATGTGTGACATCATCGCAGCAGTTTCAGTGACTTTCATACAACTCTCTGCTGTTTTATAACATTATCATTTGCTTCTGTCCTGTCAGTCAAAGTGAAACATACGGATGAAGCTGAAGAGTCGTTCCCTGTAAAACTCATTTCATTGCTTTAGTCGTTACACACAACATTTTTGAACCAGTGCAAAAAGGGTTGCCTTCAAGGAAATACATCTGCTGTGATGTAGGGAAAAATATGTGTCAGACAGACAGGAAGGCGTGGCAGTTCAGGAATAATGTATGCTCAGTTTACAGTAATGTGTACATTTGAGTTCTACCAAAGCGCTGTTTGTTCTGTTAATGTGTTACTTTACTGTAGTTTTCTAATGGCTGTAAGTGTAACTGTCTTGAGCATGTTCAGGTGTCACTGTCGAGGTGAAGATGTTACCGACAGAGTCCTGGCTTCCAAGCTTTAAGGGTTTCCCAAAAACGTGTCCCCACAAACCACACTCCAAATATTAGATAGATAGATAGATACTGTAGATAGATAGATGGATAGATACTGTAGATAGATAGATAGATACTGTAGATAGATAGATACTGTAGATAGATGGATAGATACTGTAGATAGGTAGAGATAGATACTGTAGATAGATAGATACTGTAGATAGGTAAAGATAGATAGATACTGTAGATAGATAGATACTGTAGATAGATAGTGTAGGGTAGATAACTCATGTGGTGGACTACAAGGACTGTATAAAGGTGCTAGTTTTGTGTTGAAGCTGTTACTATCCTGGAATGTCGGCCAGAACACTACTTGAGCCACCATGATATTCAGAAAGGAGACAATGACAAGACGGGTTGATGATAGGTCTTTGTATTGAACATTTGTCTGGCTGTGAGAGTGTGGTATGTTGTCAAAAATACCCTTGACAGACGTGTTCAAAGTTGATGCAGAAGTAAGACAAAGATGCAAGAGTTAAAAATAGAACATTTAATTCTCTTTACAATTAAATATCGATACAAAACTCTTGGAGCCATTAATTCTCTAAAACTAACCCTATGCTGAGCCATTCTAAACTTTCCCTCCTCAATACAACACAATGATTCAGATTCAGATTCAAATTCATTTTATTCGCCATTTGCAGTAACACTACATTAAAAGACAAAAATAAAACAAATTTTAAAAACAGTAAACAAATGTCACTGTGAAGTTGACCAACTTAAAACAGATCTATACAAGTGCAAAAACATTAAAGTGCTCTATTCAAACTGATAACAGCTCGTGGAAAAAAACTATTAGCATAACAAGATGTCCTGCATCTCAGAGAACAGAATCTTCTGCCAGAGGGAAGAAGCTGGAACAAGGCTTTTCCTGGGTGGCCAGAAGAGTCATTGATAATTCTCAGGGCACTGTTAAAAAGTCTGGATTTATAAAGAACCTCCAGAACAGGAAGTTCACAGCCTACAGTCCTCTTTGCAGAGCGGAGCACCTTGTTTAGAGCTCTCTTTTCTTTATCTGTGATGTTACCGAACCACACAGACACAGAACCAACAAGTAAACTCTCAATGGTGCAGCGATAAAAGTTCAGCAGAATCTTAGAGTTAGTGGTAAATTCTCTAAGTTTCCGCAGGAAGTAGAGACGCTGACAAACTTTCTTTACGACCCGGTCAGTGTTTTTAACCCATTTCAGGTCGTTAGACAGAGTCAGACCCAGAAACGTACACTCCTCTACAATCTGCACTCGGGAGTTATCGATTGCGACAGGCAAGTGAGAACTATTGCGACTGAAATCAAAGACCAGTTCACATGTTTTGGATGCGTTCAGCTGGAGGTTGTTAGTTTGACTCCACTGAACCACGTTTTGGATCTCGGCTCTATAAGACGATTCATCGTTATTACTGATGAGACCGATGATGGTGGTGTCATCAGCATATTTAAGGATCAGGTTAGAGTCTGAGGAAGACACACAATCATGAGTGTACAGTGTAAAAAGTAGAGGACTCAAAATACATCCCAGAGGAGATCCAGTGCTCACAGAAACAACATCTGAAAAACAGTCATTGATTTTCACTCTCTGAGATCTGTCAGTTAAAAAGCTATAGATCCATTTACACATGGCAACACTTAAGCCGAGAGACATGAGTTTTTCAATCAGTTTACCTGGGACAAGACAATTAAAAGCAGAGCTATAATCGATGAAGAGCATTCTTGCAACAGATTTACTAGTGTCCAAGTGACTGTAGACAGAGTTCAGAGCAAAGGAGATGGCATCCTCCACACTCCTGTTCTGTCTGTAAGCAAACTGGAGCGGGTCAACACTCACAGGGATCTGGCTCTTAATGAAGTCCAGCACAAGCCGCTCAAAAGTCTTCATTAGGACAGAAGTGAGGGCCACAGGACGATAGTCATTCAGGCATGTCACAGGAGTTTTCTTAGGAACTGGGATAATGGTCGACTCTTTGAAGCAGTTCGGCACAGTACAGTTCCTTAGCGACAGGTTAAAAATGTCTGTTAAAACAGGGGCAAGTTGCTCGGAGCACAGTTTCAGGACACGGGGTGGGATGCCGTCCGGGCAATGTAAAGGGTTACATAAACTTAAAGATACAAAATAGGCACATATATCCCACACTACCCCAAACTGCACACTACGATTAGCTTAGTTAGCTCTATGCAGCTACACAGGCAACAAGGAAATCTATACAAAACTACTCATGTAATGAACTCAAAATGCTTCTACACTGGTTTACAACAATCACAGTGGGCCCTGGGAACTTACTTCAGTCACAAACGCACACTTAGGAGCACAGCAACAGACCACATCTGAGCCGTAGAGATGTAGAAAGCAAAAAGGGTGTTTTCCCTCTCGGCATCGTCTGTACCAGGTAAAGCACATGTGTCAAAGTCAAGGCCCGCGAATGAATGAATCTATGGCCCCCGGGACATTGCCTGCCATTGAGGCAATGTATTGACCCCTTAAGCTCGCTAGCCCCCGCCGGCGGGAGCAAACAAGGAAAAAAATACATCTGCTGGCAATAGCAGATGTATTTTGAACTTCATAAGCCACAAGCTATATATAATTTTAAAGCTTATTTTCTCAGCTATATTTATATGTAAGTGTAAACAATATCAGACTTTGCATTAAAAAGATATAACGCATAATATGGGCACAAAATAAATCACGTCTGTATTTGTTTTTTACCTTTCATCTTTTGCTGCTCCAACAAATTAGACTTTCCCCATCCTTGCTTAGTCGCTTTCTCTCCGTAACTGTCTATTGAAGAAGAATATCCACTTGTATTTCCCAAAGTATAATCCATTCTGCAGATTTAATCAAAAAACGCCCGAAAAGAGGTCCAGACTGCTCTTTTACATTTCACCAAGTTTGAGCATTTTTTTTTTTTTTTACTATTTTTATGTTCTCAGATGTCTATTACATCTAATATGTACAGTATGAGGATTGGCTTTAGAGCATATTTTATCGAGCCAACAGGTGTCACCGGCACTGCCTCTGGATGTTGAGAAACATTGAACCAGTCCGGCCCTCGGCGCGTAGCAAAACATTTTTTTTGGCCCTCTGATGTATTTGACTTTGACATGCCTGAGGTAAAGGGTAGGTGCGCCCTCAAGTGGACACTCCAGGAACCGCACGCAACAAACTAAATTATAGAACACTCAAACGAAGGAGCTTTTTGTACAGATAGATAGATAGATAGATAGATACTGTAGATAGATAGATTTTAAGTCTAGTTTAAAGTAACATTTTTACACCTAGGCTTTTAACACCAATTGAGTTTTTACCATTTTATTTGTTTACATGTATGTGTGTGTATTTCATGTTGTTTTATTATTTTTATCTTTCGTGCCCTGTGAAGCACTTTGAGCAGCTGGTGTTGTTGTATATGTGCTATACAAATAAAATTGACATTGACATTGGATATCGTCTATTTCAGGTGTGAGTTGAAGATCCAGCCCGACCAGACCAGCAGCCGGTCCTGAGACGACAGACGCTCTCAAATCCACAAAGAATGACCTGCAAAGCTCCATGACTCACCATGAGGATCACCAGAAAGGTGAATCTGGAATGTTCTCACCCTGCACGAGCCACGGGCACTTCTGTGTTTAACTTACAATGTGTGGATGGACAGGATGCATTATATAAGACTGGATACTTAGTGGAAGGAGGTTTTTAATGCATGGACCGACCAAGTTTGGGCAGAATCTCTGCCAATTTACCCGAAAACGCAATCATTGAGTTTTCATAGCATCTGTAAGTTTGAGTTTAAGTGTTGACATGTGTTTGGCTGACGCTCATGAGTTCATGCTCATCAGCTGCTATAGAACCCAAACCCTCACAAAATCAAGCTTTCACTGATATATAAAAGACTAATTACAAGCAAAGTGAGTTAATTCCTTCTGTACCGTGGTCTGTGAGGATTCAAATGCAAATACTGTTTAAACCTGGTGTTAAATTAAAGGTCCCAGGTGGTTGCTTTCAAAGGTCTGTTTCTAAACATGATAAATATTGTTCGTTTTGTAAAAGTTCAACTTAAGATGTTTCTTTTCAGGTGATGCCGCACGTACAGTGTCGCTGGTGGAACTGTGTGCTCTGCCTGTGCGGGCCCTGCATCTGTGTGCTGCTTCTCTTCATCTACGTCGCCGTCATGACCACTGTAGCCATGAACCGCCACATCGCAGGCCAGATCTCTGCAGGCTCCGCCTTCAGAGACGTTGCGGTTCCTCCGGTCATAAAACCGCGTTCAAATCCAAAGGACCGGTTTGTTGCCAAAGGAGCCGAGAGGTCGAAAAAGAACGGACCAACTCCCAAAGTATTCTGGGAAAAAGGTGATAACACACCGCTGTGGAACCAGCTCCAAAAAGTGGTGGACGATGGATTGAACCCCATCCTGCATCCAGGGGTCTCAGAGGACCCGGGGCCCCTGGGGGCCTCTCTGCTCTCTCAGTCTCTGTCTGAGCTCCGCTCTGAAACACTCATGGAGCCGCTGCGCCACTATGTGAGGTCCATGAGCAGGAGGCAGTATCCACTGCTGATGGAGCCCAGGGGCCGGTGTGGTGTGGGGGGCACACAGGACGGGGGCCCCGCCCTTCTGCTCTTGGCCATCAGGAGCAGAGCTCTCAGCTACAGGAGCCGACAGGCCATCAGGGAGAGCTGGGGCCAGGGGGGCTGGGTGCGCACACAGAGTGGAGATGGGATGGGGGCCTACGTACGCAGAGTCTTTCTCCTGGGGACAGAGAGCTCTGGGGCCCTCACACACGCCTCCTCTGAGCTCCTGACTCTGGAGCAGCAGCACTACGGGGACCTGCTGCAGTGGGAGCTGTGGGACAGCCCCATGAACAGGACGCTGCTGCAGCTGCACTTCTGGGCCTGGGTCACACACAACTGCGCACACACCACCTTTGTGTTCGAGGGCGACGACCAGGTGTTTGTCAACACTCCTGCGCTGGTGGCTCTGCTGCAGGCGCAGCTGCAGGAGCCCCGGGGCCCCAGGCTGCAGGACGTCATGCTGGGGAAGGTGTTGAGCCGAGAGCAGCCCAACAGGAGCCCACTCTCTAGTCACTTTGTCCCTGAAAGCTTCTACAAAGGCTCGTACCCGCTGTTGGCCAGTGGGACGGGCCGCGTGTCGTCCGCTCTGCTGCTGCGCCGTCTGCTGCAGGTGTCGCACAGAGTACACCTGTTCCCCGTGGAGCAGGTGTACGTGGGCATGTGCATGATCCGCCTCAACCTGTCCCCCACACATCACCCGGCCTTCCTCCCCTCTGACTCGGACTCTGGCTGGACTAAAGAGCAGCAGGAGGAGCTGTGTGCGCCCCGCAGAGCAGTGGTGCTGGACGCACACAGCCACACACAGGTGCTGCAGCTGTGGGAGCGCGCCAACAAAGCACTCTGCACCAACACCACTGTGGCCCCACACACCACCAAGGGCCCCATTGTCACCCCGGGGGGGGAACAAGGCCACGTGTGGTAAAAGAGTCTGTAATTTGTGGACATTTGTAGATTAAAGTATTTTTATCACATGAACTTTTTCATTTGTTCATATGAATTTGTCCCGTTACATCCACAAACAAAGATATTCATAGATGTCCATGAACTGAAGAACACACTGATAAGAATCAGACTCAGGTTGCTTAAAAGTGTTATGAAATCTCACAACACAACCAACCTGTGAGGCGCATACTGGTCATGCACATTGTTTTTTACGTTAATATTAATATAAATATTTGAGACGAACAAATAATTGTAAAGTTTTCAAATGAAAAGCAAGAATAAAATGTCGTTTTTGTGAGAGGCTCTGATTCAGAATGCAACCAACTCTTCGGTCGCATCCCAACATTATATTATATTAGTTTAAGATAATGAGTTGTCAGAAGTATTTTACTATAGTTTGAACATTGTACATCCTTGTAAACTTGTTTTTTTCTTTTACAGATTTGACTGTTTAGGCAAAAAAATATATAAAAAATAAAATAAAACAGCAAAGCTCAAAGGATCCTTAGTCTTCTGATGGTTGGTTCTTTATTTAAGACCAGTGTTTTTTTTCCCTACCTGACAGTTGTGACTGCTTCCTACCACCTGAGGCAACAGCGTGCACATGAGCAACAAAAGAAAGCAGAACAAGAACAACTCAAATTCGGGCACTGTAAGAGAAAGGACCACTTTATGCATTGGGAACAAGCAAACACTGAAATGCAGAGAAACGCGCCCTCAGGACTATAAACCGGGACGAGGGGGCTTCTTTACTCTCACACAGCTGGGATTCTGTCCTGAAAAAGTCGTACAGCAGATGGCGCTGTCGTCCTGCCTCTGGTGGTAGAAAGACAGAAACTAAAACTGAGAAAGACTGCAGTCACAAGTGTCAGGTATGAAAAAAATAAAATCAACTATTTTAGCAGTCTGTTGTTCCACTTCAGTGTTGACATAAAGTAGCTTCAGTGATTAATGCAGGAGAGTTCATGTTTTGTCCCATGTACAAAAACAAATATAATGTAGCTCCATAAACAAGCAACTTTTGATTTTCTTGTGAAATACTTCCCACTCGACCTGATCCAGAGAATTATCAACTACATTTTAGCAACACAACATTAACATTGGTTTGAGCAGTTTTGACGAAAGGTATAATCCAGTCTTTTGTAAGAATTTGTTTTTTGTGCAATATTCCCCAAACTGAAATGATGCCAGAGGAAACAAAGAGCACATTTGTTTTGTTTATCGAACTGAATGAAGCAGTGTGCACGTGTTGGCAGGACATGGAATGGCACAGTGTAGGGGACAAAAACCTCCAGTATGGCAGTATTATTCAGTCGGTTGAGATAGAAGTCTCAAAGAGCACAGCACATTTGTCCATATCATTTAAAATACGTAATCAGAGAAATGTATACATCGGTTTAGGTCATTTTGGTAAAATAAAAGTCGAAATAGCATCATGACTTTGATTCAAATTGACAAGCCTCATTCACGTGCAGCTGCCGTCACGTTCCTTCTTTCAAAAGAGTATATATATTAAAGCTGGGGTACCTAACTTCCCCCCGTATACAAATACATTTTGCTTGTCGATGAAAAAAAGTCTTGTTTAGTTAAAATGTCTCATGCAATGTGTTATGCAAACATGCGAGCCTCTGAAAACTAGTGACTGAACCAAACTGTTTAGAGAACCAGGTGGATTTGATTACATAGTTCAATTATTAGGCTTAAAAGTTGCGGACCCCAGCTTTAAACTGAGTTGAATTGAACACGCCTGCCGCACGTCCGAACAACACTGAGAATGAGGAAAAAAGTATGTCCAAAGTCGAGCCATGGATTTAGTTATGAAAACCGTCCAAGCGCAACCCACTACTACAGCTACTATTTTTTATATTTATTTATTTGTTCTATGACAATGTCTTAAGAACAAGATGAATTTAATCTGCCATGTTATTCAATATTCTGAGGTTTGAAAGTTAAGTACGCCAGCTTTAAAGATGAAGAAAATACATACATAATTTTGGTCATGTGTGAATTATAATTGTGGATGTTTTGGAATACCAACTCCTTTCCCCCGGCCAGGAGTGACAGCCACGAATGCACAAATTCTCAAATACATTACATGACTTGTTTATCTCACTTTTATCAAGTCGTAAGTCAAGTAATATGAAAAATAGCTTGTAAAACGACACTCCAGTTGGCAGCATTTGAAAAACCTGAAATGGAATAATAGTTCTTGATAACTGAGTCTATTGTGGAGAGTCCCGCAGCTCGGATCAGGGACGGTCCTCTGTCCTCCCCTCGTCTTCGTCGCTGCTCTCCTCGCTCTCGCTGTAGTGATAATTGCAGCGGTTGGTGTTCACAAACAGGTCGCTCTCGTCGTCCTCAGAGTCACTGTGTTCTCCATCATCATCATCGTCCTCCTCAGCAGCAGCAGTGTTTCTCTCCGGGTCCGTCTTCTTGGGCTCCGTCGAGGTTTTGTCCTGAGTCGTGACCTGGTCAGTGAACGCCTCGGGCCTGATGTCAAAGGGAGCAGCAGTTAGTGCGGGTTAGAAACTACAACCTACATGTGTATTTTAAATCACACACTGAGACTGGACCCTTGTTATTTTTGGTTCAATATAAGATCTATTACATTGGTTGAATTCTCATGTTCTGTAAAGCATTTTGACACACACGTTGAACTACTGTGTGAGTGGGATATTATCTACAAATAAATGTTTACAAAACTAACTTGCGGTTCACAAATTGTGGATAAACCATTTGTTTTTTCCCCCCAGAATACATCTTGTTTGTCTGAACAGCGAGTGTTGTTGTGAACAAACCCGACCATAACATGCCCTCTTAATTTTAATAGAAAACATCTCATGAAACCCAATGAGTCATTATTGGATGCTTCGGACTGATTGGTTTGACTTTTCTGTCTGGAAAAGCAGATGTAAAGTGGTGTAAGAGGTCAAAATAAAAAGTTGAAAGTTAATTTAATCTGACATTGATGATTTAGCAGTGCAAACACAGGCATTTTGGCACAAAAAGATTCTGCTGATACTTTTGTGACGTACCGTAATGGAGTGAGTTTTTATTTTTTTACTTTGAGAAATACTAAAAAGGCCATGTGAAGTCAAACCATGAAATGTTGATGTTAGTGTTGTACCAGAGCTGTTGCTTCTGCAGATCCTGGATGTGGTCTTTGTACAAAATGAAGCTGATCTCGGCTTTCACTTTTTCTCCTTCTTCAATTGGGTCCACGATCACAAAGTCGCCTGAAAACACATTTGAAATCATACAATTCTATGAAACAATATCCTTGCACAAATTGGCGGCGTTTTTAATCATGAAAAAGTTGTGCTTTCCAAACGTCTGGATCCGCTCAATATTTTTAATGAATTCAATGTGAAAACTATCAAAGCCGCCCTTGTACTTGTAGACCAGTCCCAGATTGTTCTGACTGGATGAGGTTTGGCTTTTGTTAACATTTTCTAGACAAACATACAACATTTTATCAATACTGTTACCTACTTTTAGAATTATGTATATATTTGTTTTTTTTGTAAGGATGGATGGGTTTCTGCTGCTACTGGACACCTGATTTTTTTTACTACAGGGATCAATAAAGTATCTATCTATATGGATTCAATTCAATTACTTTTATTTTTCTATGGCCCTAAATCACAACAGCACAAATGTACAAGGCTGTCAATTCAACAAACAGCTCGAACAGGGAATGCAATAAAAACAAACACATAGGAGTCATTGGTCCATAAGGAGCAGAACGACCACTGTCTATAAATGTTGATAAGATAAGATAAGATAAACCTTTATTAGTCTCACAGTGGAGAAATTTCAGTGTCATCGTTGCGCACATTACAGCAGAGAGAGGACATATGAGCACTCAGATTGCACACATCAAATTGAATCTATTATTTAAGATAATAAACAGTAAAATTATAAGATAAAAATAAAATAAGATAAACTCTGGGCTATAATTGCACTTGGTTTGGAAGTATTTACAGATGTCTATATTATACATTAGCAGCGGATAATATGAGAATATGAGCAGAATAAACATCAGAAATAATATCAACAGGTAAAGTGACTTGAATGGGAGAATTATCAGATGGATATGTAATAATACAGTAAGATATCAACAGGTAAAGTGACGGTGAATGGCAGAAATATCAGATATGTAATAATGCAGTAGTACTGATAACAGGTTAAGTGACTAGTGAATTATCAGTCACACTTGTGCAGACTCAGCAGTTCCAGTTACATATTCTCGTTGTACAGTCTGACAGCAGCAAGAAGGAAAGACCTACGGAACCTCTCCTTCACACAGCGAGGGTTGGAATGGATCATCACTGTCCCTTCTGCGTCACAACGACTCAATAAACATTCCTTGTCCAATGCAAAATGATTGGAATTATTCAGGCAATTCAAGATGCTGCACATAGAGGTTTTTCCCAAATTTTAGGGAAGAACCACGCTCTCCAGTTTTTGAACAAAACTCTTATTTGACGAGCACGTATCACCAGAATGATTGACAATTGGGGAGGACCAATAGTCTTGATGATCCACCCGGAAGTATAAAATCCTCCTATATACCTTAAATATGAATCTAAACATATCTAAATCATGCTTAATCTTATGAACATATCAATAATTATTTGACACACCTCTCTTGATCCAGATGTTCTTGCGGAACTTGGTGGGCATGCTCACGAGGAAGCCGTCTCCATCCGCAGTGACTATTTCATGCAGATTATTGCCTCGACTTCCAATGACCTGTGACGTTACATCATCTGGTTTTACATGTGCCTTTTCCTTTGATACTGAACATAAAAGAACAATCCTATTCATGGTGGCACCTTTACAATTTGTTGATTCTCGGTCGGCGTTACGAAGTCTCCCAGAACCTCTTTGACCACATGTTTGCGCTTTGTAGCCTGTGACATTATCTGACAATAGGTTTAAGTCTATTTCTCCAACTGGTAAAAAAAACACATGTTAAAACAATGTTAAAACACAATGAGAGCGACTTGTAAACAGAGACAGTACTATGGTTATCATACTGTGCTAACGCTAATGCTAACAGTTATCAGTGTGTTAGCTAACTCCTTTATAACATCATTGGGCTACATGACAAACAATTACCTTGTCGAAACCAAATTTTGGAAGTGACAAATGACTAGTGGATCCAGTGTGATTGTTTTATCAAAGAATTTAACAGGAAAACGTGTCTCTGCACTTTGCCACTGCAGCGAAACCTCGTGGAAACCGGAACAAGTGGAGCAACCCTTCAAAATAAAAGCATAACATTTTCATACTCGTATTTATGGGTCCTATATTAAACATACTTCCTATTTTTGCTTGAGTAGTATTGTATTACTTACGCGACACAATATCATAAAAGGGAAATTCCGTGGTATTCCATGTTCGTAAATAATAACGTTTAGCATGCTTTTATTTTTATAGCCATAAAAAGTGGGTCTTGTTCCGTTTTGCTCAGGGCTTGTGGTAAATGAAGTCCTGAGCTACATTCAAGAGCGCAAATGTTTTCTGAAGTAACGCAATCAACATCTGCTTTTTTCTGGGGTTTTCTGTCATAACTTTGTGTTACATTATGAATAGACAAATTGATCATAAATCATTAAATCCTTATAATCTTACATTCTCCACCTGAACAGCCACAGGGAATCTTAATTGCACACACATGGACGTATTTTACTGTTTATTTATGTTTATTGTCCCCATAAGGAAATGTATCCTCTGAATTTGACCCATTTGGCAACGGCCCCAGGGCCTCTGTCAGGAGCAGTGGTTGACAAAGCACATCGCCCGGAGCCAACTCCACATGTCGATGCTCTGATTGGTCAAGACAAGAGCTGGAGAATTGTTACCTGGTTTTGGTGGTAGGTGAAACCCACACAGACACAGGGAGAATATGCAAACTCTATTCAGAAAGTTCAACTGGGATTCAAACCCAGGACCTTAGTGCTTACCACTCTGCCACAGTGTGTGATTAGTATTCATAAATATATTAATTTAACTTGCATTGCTGTTCTGCTCATATTGTGTTTTTGTGGCCTATTTGGTTAATATTCTACCATTTCAAACTTTTTTAAACACACAACTGCACCTATCAAACACTTTTAGTAATTATTATTATTATTATTATTATGTATCTTGCAGTATAGCTTCCATTCAAAATAACTCAAAATAACTTCCATTTCTTAAAGAAACAAACAGGGTCTTGTAGATGTAACCTTTTATTCAACTTTCTTTATGGTTACAATAGACTCAGAGGAATGACAGAATTCTGGCACAATTTTTTTTCCTCTCAAAGTGACACATGCTTTTACGCTCTTGACTGTAGTTAAAAATGCATTAAAACATAGCTTTCATCATTAGTTATTCTGGCTAATAAAATACAGCAGTTATTGACACAATTCACTTCAGTTTGTAATGAAATCTAGGATCTATTTAAAACACTGACGGTAGGTGAGGTACAGGGGACATATTGCTCATACGTTCATGGTCTCAGTAACATCAGCGTAAAAAGGGGCTAGTCTCAGGCTGACTGTGCACTTTCTAATCTACTCTGATGACATGAACTCAGTTGGCTTAGTTTGGTTTAGTTGATCACAGCAGAAGAAGCCATTTTGTTTATCCCGCAGGCGTTGGATCCTCTGTAGAGGTAGTAGTAACCCTGGAAATGAGAACACAAGATTTAAAGTCACGAGTAGACGATTGATTCAAAGCAAAAAGAAGGACTACATGACATTCACAGTGTGGAAACCGATTGTGTATCACTGGACCAACACTGGACCAACACTTTGATGTTAAAGCTGGAGTACCTCTTTTCAGACCACACAAAAAACTACATAATACATTCGACTCGACTATAGTTCCTACACTGTAAACTCGGACAAGTAAAGTGTACTTGAAAAAACCTTGTAAATTAATTGCACATTAACTTCACTTGAATTCCTCGAGTACATTCTTAACTTGATGTTGCAGTGAACTCATTTGATTGCAGTTTGACGGTGATTTCAAGTTATACATATATCAGAAAGGCCCTGCTTCGACTAGGATTAGAGCTCAGAATCTTTTTGCTGAGAAGTGAAGGTGCTACCCATTCACACCGTGCCGCCCTGCCCTGAACAAACCTGCCATATTGAACAATCTACACGCTCAAAACGTCAAAAGTGCGGCTTATTTGGACAGAGACAGCTCAGCACCCGGAGGAAACCTACGCAGACACGGGGAGAACATGCAAACTCCACTAAGAAAGGCCCTGGTCCAACCGGGATTCGAACCCAGGACCTTCTTGCTGAGAGGCGAGAGTGCTATCCACTCAGCCACCGTGCCGTCCAACATAAGATATTAGACAATATTAAAATAAGATAGTCAGTAAAATAGAATAACATTAAATAAACTCTGGAGCTATAATTGCACTTGGTTCAGAAGTATTTACAGATGTGTATATTGTATTTTAGCAGCGGAGAATATGAGCAGAATAAACATCAGTAATAATATCAACAGGTAAAGTGACTAGTGACAAAGTTACTAGTGAATTCTTATCATTGACACTTGTGCAGACTCAGCAGTTCTTGTTATACATTATAATCTCTTACCTTCTCTCCATAATCCTCTCCCCAGCTGTTTTTGATGGCCCAGAACGGCACACTGTTACCTACATGAAACCATTGCATACAGTTTATCCCATTGAAACAACATAATCATAATAATAATGAATGCCTCCAGGTACAATAGAACTGACTTACGGTTGCCATATCCAACCATGAGCACAGCGTGGTCGATCATCCAGGGGTTACAGAAGATTTTCAGTGGGTGCGACACGCCTCGTCGATAAAACTACAAACATTTGAGAAAAGATATTCAATAAATGACATGTTTAATCACTTGTAAGAGGAGCAAATTCCCACCTGCATCGCGAACGCATTCAGAGCCACAGACACTGGTCCGTGTTCAGCCAAATAAGCAGCGATTTCTGAAGAAGGAGAAATCGAAAAATAAGTTAGTGACTACGTATAGAAACTTTATAAAGATTGATTTGGGTTTACAACATTTAAAATGTGACCAGCAGCTTAAAGGTCCCATATCATGCTTTTTGACTTTTCTCTGCTTTAAACATGACTACAGTGCTATTTGGCCTCATACACATGCCCTCTTTCTCGTTCAACGCTCGGGTCCACTTCTGTGACGATTACCACTCTGATGACGAATATGACGCGCATAAGCCTGTTTGGTTTGTATTTAAAATGGAGTTTAAATACTGTCGTCAAAACAGGGTAAACAATACACAATAAGTATGCTGTTTGTTGTCAAAAATGATACAAATAATAATAATACTAAAACCCGGGAGGTGATTGACAGATCAAAACAGCGAATCAGAGCGCACGGCCAGTTCCCAAGTCCAGCCTCTGTGGTTTGATCCCGCGGACACTACATGGAGCTGCTGTTTTTCTGCTTTTGTCAGCGACTAAAAGTGTTAGGATCACGTCACCTTGGAGAAAATGTGCTTTGGGTGTAAATATGTGACGCACTATTTGGCCCGAAGAGGAAGAAAGCGGCTCGACGTTTTTCATACGGATTTGCCTCTGTTTGGATTAATCTGTTCATCTGCGACACCTCTATACAAGAGATGGCTATAATCTCACAAGCTTTGAGTGTTGTTTGGTGTATCACTCAAATTGAATGAAGGAAAGTGTGATATGGGACCTTTAATAATAACTTGCAGCTAATGTCAAAATGTGCAATATGAAACAACTTGTGTCCACTGTTGTCCCATACTCTAAATGTAAATTATTTTTATTTTACTTGCTTTGTTATAATGCTAAAGATAGAGACTTTATACCTACTTCTTATTATGGTTAAGTCAGAGATTTTGTGCGTAATTCTTGCTTCTTCATTGTGCTAAATTTTAGATTTGCCTCCTTATTATGCTAAAGCTAGAGATTTTATAAACTGTTAGAGATTGTATATTACTGTATCACTCCTCATTCAGGGGCGACAGTAGCTCAGTAGGTAGAGCATTGGCCTTCAGGCCTGAAGGTCGTGGGTTCAATTCTCACCTCTACACCTTCTCCACCGACTCCCACTGATGACTGCTGTCGTTGTGTCCTTGGGCAAGACACTTAACCCCACTTTGCCCCAAAGCCCCCACTGAAAGATCAAGGCTATGCTCACACTCAGAGAGCAGCCGTCCTCCTGTGGACTCACCACCTGCAGAGGATCAGTGAGGGGCTGGTGCTATGAGACTTGGGTGGCATCTCTGACTGTCACCCCCCTGACCCAGAAATGGATTAAAGGGCAGAAAATGGATGGATGGATGGATGGCACTCCTCATTCCCACTGTTCTGTAACTGCTGATGCAACACTGAAATTTCCGCACATTGAGACAAATAAAGAATCCCTTAATCTTGATCTTAATAACAATGGATCTCGTCTTGTGAAAATGAACCTTTCTCGTCCTTTTCGATCTCCACGGAGCTGTTGATGTAGGCGGCCACTTTCAGGCTGGTGAAGTCGCACTTCTGCTTGTGTCCAGTGTACGAGTAATCATTCTCTGTCTCAAGACCGCCTGAAATGGCAAAGCAAGTTTATTTGTATAGCAGAATCTGTACACAGGACAATACCCAGAGCTTTACAGAAACAAATATGAATAATCACAGTGTAGGTAAATCTATAGCAGATAATATTCCCCAGTCATATGCACAGCGAAACAGAACCGTCTCTTTCTATTGTGACTGTACCAAATTCTAGCTGCATAAATCTGAAAGGCTAATGTTTAGTTCTGACCATAGACTGTAAATATTAACGGACGCAGTGACGCATATTTCCGCCGTTGAAACTAATGTGCCATCACTTTTGCCTTCTGCTATGTTTTATAAAGGAAAATGTGAAAAAACACATTTGAGTTATTCGGCACGAGCCTCATTCATTTAACGAGTGCATTCAAAAGTCCACAGTGGCTAAACTAGGCGGGTCCAAAATATAATACCCCCCTCAGCATTGACACACATCTGGAAGGTAGTGTTGGGGCATGAACCGACTTTTGGACAATCCTGAAAAGCCGTTTTTGAGAATAAATAAGGTGTTGTAAGAAAACATTGGATAACTCTGTTTCTGGGTACAACACCACTGACAGAAAGATAGATTAAACCCTTTTGAGCCGGGACCACCTCCCCCTCGGTTCTGACTCTGGGCACTAGCAGGAGGCCAGTCCCTGTGCTCCTCAGAGTCCCAGCAGGAGGCCAGTCCCTGTGCTCCTCAGAGTCCCAGCAGGAGGCCAGTCCAAGTGCTCCTCAGAGTCCGAGTTGGTTCACATGTCACTAACATGTCCTGTTAGCTGTTTTAAAGTCTATTCTCTGAGCCACAGGAGCCAGTGCAGAGACCTGAGAACCAGACTAATGTGATCCTACTTCCTAGTTATAGTCAAGCGTCAGAATTCTGTATACCGTAGGGCAAAACAAGACAGAATATTATAACTATTCGTATTAATCAAATACATTTGAGCAACAATGTTGTTTCAGTAACCAGCCAGAAGAGCATACATTGCCTTGACTAATCAGCGTCTACTGTTAATAACATTTTACACCCTCTACTTTGACTTGTTTCCCCACAAATATGCATATTAGATTTTAAAACTGAAAGAAACTATACTAAAGGTGTCAAATCGCGTTAACACAAGAACCATATTTCTTCTTACCCAGTTTCTCAATGGCTTCATAAGCGTTTGAAGGCAGCCCTCCTCTGCAGGCCTTGTCCAGTCCATCACAGTCAACCAGCTCTGAAAATACATTTTGTTGACATTAGAATAACACTGTATTAAGACACACACAAATACTGCATTGTTATCACTGTATCGTGTCTGTCTTATCATATCTGTATTTGTTTGATTGTCTGCACCTGTATTGTATGTCTATATTTTCACATGAATAAAAAAAAATTAATAAAACTGTTAAACAAGGACTAATTGGGACGTTTTTTACAGTTTGCAGTTGATGTGTTTAGGTCGTTCCTGTGTATTCAGTGCATATAACAAACCTTGTTCAGAGAGAGCGATCAGGGACCCGTTTTTGAGAAACCACTGTCCCTCGATGTTGCCGATGACAGAAAACGCCCAACAAGAACCACACGCGCCCTGCATCAAATACATGAGAAAACAAATATTCAACATGTGGCAAATGGAAGTTTAAAAATGTCTTGTTATAGTCGAGACGCAATGCTGTCTGTGGTGTAAAACTTTGAAACTGATCTAATCGAAGATATAATACGACATTTGTTTATATGTATTGTTTTTGAGGCCCCACTCATAAGCTAAAGCAGCTTCCTGGGAGTTCTCTTTCACAAAACACCTAAAAACGTTACAAATTAGAATGTGTATGACTTATTTGACTATGAAGTTTTGGAAATCAAGAAATATTTAAATAAAGAGAATTGAAATTGTGTCATAACATGCAACTTGACATGATTTGCTCTGTATCTAGAGCAGAGATCGAGGCAGACACGTACCTGGTTCTTGACTGGACTGACGGCTCCGTGCTCCCTCCAGTCCCAGCTGTCAGGTGCAGGCTGAGCAGCAGGGGGCGCCATCTTCATCTGTCTGTGCTGCGTCCACTGACTCAGCATGGGGTTCAGGTACAGCGAGCGAAACTCCTCCACTGGACAAAAGACAAAACAATCGGATAATCTGCCAGGAAAGTTTCAATTCTGTGGATTCTGACGATCTATGTTTCTCTGACAATGGTGCATTTGACCCATCCTGATGCCTCTAAGGCTTACGTTAGTAGCAGTGGTCGCCGTAGTAACAGCACCCGGGAATCCATCTCCAGATGTTAATGCTCAGCTTGGTCAGGACCGGAGCTGGAGGATTTTACTTAGTGTGCAGGATTTTAATGGTAGGGGAAAACGGAGTACCCGGAGGAAACCTATGCGGGGTAGAACATGCAAACTCCACTCAGAAAGACCAGGTTCCGACTTGGATTCGAATCCAGCACCTTCTTGCTGAGAGGCGAGAGTGCTATCCACTCAGCCACCGCCCAAGTCTTTGTTTATACCTCATCTTTTTCATCTGTTATTTTTGTGTATTTACTTTTTATATTATGGAGCTATTTAAAAAAAAAAGTATAACATTTGATTGGCTTCAACAGAACTGCACAAAAGGTGGAAGTGTGGAAGCCTGATTTCAGATTATATCCTTTAAAATAAATGATGTGGTTGTTTTCCTGAGGTACAACAGTACAAGTGAAATACTGTAGACTCTGAAAAGTCCTGTTTTTGTGTCTCGTGTGAAAAACAGCTGCAGATGAAAACTTACCGGTCAGATCACTGAACTTGGTCACTCCGTACTCCGCTGATCCCTGGTCCAGAGACTGAAGCTTCTCTGCCGTTTTTAGATTTCCGTGAAAGATCTTCAAACGACGGTCGACCTCTGCATCAAAGAGACACATCCAACCACTCATTTACAGCTGTTTTATGCAGACGCAGGTTTGTCACTATTTCTCTGATCTATTTTCTCCATTGAGAGATCCATAAAGCTTTATCTTATCTTATCCATTCACTTCTAGTCCGGTCATTGTTAGCAGTGGCTTCTTACAATCAGGATTCTCACACTAACTTTATATATTATTTGTTCTGGCAAGGCTTTTTCCCACCCCAACCTTTTTTATTTTTTGACATTAAAATTTAAATGGGAAAGGTTGGCGTGTTAACCTCTGTCCCATGTTGACTTTTCACCACAGGGAAAACAGGAACGTATCAAAGAACAAGGGTCAAGATAGTTATGATGAGATCAAACTTTACTGATCTCACAATGGAGACATTTACAAAACCCACTTCCAACTTGTTGCACAGTGGTAATGAGGCTATAAATCAGAGCCTGTAGATACTGTACAGGGACGATGTTAACCCCCCCTCAGCTAAAACGGGATGGTCTCTTGGACTATTGACTTACATTGAAAAGTAAACTCCTCTAGCAAAGTGCCGTTTGTGTCAAACAAAACTATTTGGGCTTAAAAAATCTTTAAAAATCTGTTATCCTGAGGGGTTTATTTTGATATCAATGTAGAAATATGTAAGATGTGAAATATGTCAAGTCATCATTAAACGGCCCTAATCCGTCAAACGGCAGTTATAAACCATGCTCTTTTCCAATACTTCCTTAACTAATAACAGTAGTTCATCCAAGATATTTGGATTTCAATTTTTTTATAGCACGTAAATCTAGTTGCCCGGCAACTAGATTTACGAGGATTTCTATCTTTGTGAAAAAGGTGTTGGTTATAGATTTGTTGTTGACAAAACTCTTCACTTCAGATTTCATGGATTCGTCTGCATATCTGGCAACCTGAGTCAAGGAGAGCGGGAGAGGCTGCACTTTTTGCCGAATTTTACATACTGCTCTTTTAACTTTATAAATCCTGATATGAGCCATAAATATTGAACATTAGGAATGGGATAACTTAATTTGCGGGGGAACTCCAACTTGCCTTAACATGCTAGCAACACATCTGCCAAAGCTAACGTCGTTGGAACATGCCCATATAAGGAAATCGGCTCCAGCTAGCTTATGTTCAAACCGGCTTCTCCCTCATTTGGCAAACACTATTGGTGACGTCAGCACTCTGTCAGTCCACTCCTGACATGCGGCCCGTGGAGTGGATGCCTTTTCTCCTTTTCTTTTACATGAACGACATTGTAGCGCGTGACAAACCTTCCTGTGTGCTGTAGTCTTTGTTGTATTTGACCATGAACTCTTTGAACTGGCCCAGCAGCTTCATAGACTCCACCTGTCACATAGAAACACATGAGTCAGGACCAGCTCTGTTCCACCATAATACCAACAATAAACCAATTACATTTGATTCAATCTTCATCACTCAAAAACACTTACATAGACACTTTAAAGTGATAGTCTGTAACTCTAAATGAATTACAAATTTTAGGAAATGTGTTAAATTGACCTCCTGGCCTTAAATGTTGATATAAAATAAGTCATTTTATTCATTCAAATATTACGGGTAAGTCCCGCCTTCCCTGCTCTCAGCTATAGTTCAGAATCCACGGTGCTGTCGAGGTTAACCAATCGAGTCATGCCAAGGGCTGTCAATCATCCCGCATGCGCAGTTGTTTGTTTTCGCGGAGCCTCCGAATCAAGCCTCTATTAGGCTCTGGAACTACATGAAAACTGAACAAAGAATTCTGAACATCTGCGCTGAGGTACTTATGTATACTGAACCTATATCCATATCATTTATATACTGAACATAATCCATAATCATTATATACTGAACCTATATCATAATCATTATATACTGAACCTATATCCATAATCAACTCTGCAATGTGTCCTATAATGTGCAATTCATGATAATAGCACATCTTGGTTTGCCGCAATCGCTTTTTTTTTCATTAAAACGTTCACAAATAATTCTGAAAACCTCCGTGCATGTGTATTAATAATGTATATGTATAATGTGTTCTCTGATTAACATTTCAAAGTGTTACGGAAACGTAGGTGTAGACCAATCAGAAAGGAAGGGGGAGGGAGCTTGCGTCGTTTTTTTCAAATCAAGTACCTCTCTGTCTCTCTTTCTGACAAACTCCAGACAATCACTTTAAAGATCACCCACAATTGACTCTTTCCTGGACTACAGTGGACAAAAAAATACGCTTTTGCTTCGTCTCTTTCTTGTTTTCATGATTGATTGAATATGTAGTTAATTATTTGTGTGAATATCAGGTTCCCCAGCTTTAATTCCCATGAAAATAAAACACTGAACGCAGATGACGCTGAATGCCTGTTGCTTTGAAAATGAATAAAAGTCACCTAACATACAGAAAAATAATGTGCCAAATAATCAAACCTATTCCAATAATAATATATATTCTTAAACCGGGATCTATCAAATGCACTTTGCTTCAGACCTGGGCAAGACATGTACCTCTTCTACTTGTTCGGTCGAGTCCAGGATCCTGTTGGTTTCTTCTATTTCAGGGTCCACTGTGGAAACCAGAGCATTTTTATAGACATCTATCGTTCACTCATGACTTCAGTTTACAATGACTGACGGATCTTTTCACATTTGTGGATATTTCTCGAATGCTTCTTCCTCTGACTCCTATGACATGACCAGAAAGAGAAAAGAAATATCCCCCATATTTTCTTGCCTACTTTCAACGTTTAAAGTTTCATTGTGATTGGAGTAAAGGAAAAGGGAATAAGCCTTCACGGTTGTCTAATTGTGTTATTAAATTATTGAGCACATCTTGAATTGATAAGAATTCAACATTTTGACCAATTTCTTAGGACTTATGTTGTCCTGGACACCTGAAACCTGCTCCGTGGTGATAAAGGCTGACAGGCCAACCATTCTCCTGCTTACCACCCCCCGACCCAGAAGGTTTAATAAAGGGGAGAAAAATGAATGAATGAATGAATGAATGGTTTAACTGTGAAATCTTTGTCTTAGAACTACAATACCCAGGATGCTCGGCCTCCCTGCGATCTATGAGCCTTTTGATTGAATGATCCAACTTTCCCTCCACCTGCCGCTGGCTCCATACACTATTTTCTATTTGTAATGATTGCGTTTAGCCAAAAAAAACTCACTAAGCTTGTTTAAACGCACATTTCTAAGCTTTGCGGGCAGCGTGTCGCAATGGCTCATGGGATACTGAGTTTTTATAATCAGGAAGTATTATGAACACAGCCTTGTACCTTTGCCTTTTCTTTGTTTTCTTTTTGGATTGAAATAAAACCGTTAATGGTCAAAAATGACTGCATAGCTGATTAGCAAACGTGTAATCTTTAAACTCTTAAGACTTTTTGGAAAGAAACTCATAGAAGGACATTTTTTGCTTCCACAGCCCGGCAACTGGACCGGTAGAGTCAGGACTACACAGCTAATTTGGGACATTGGCTGTTGATATTGTAACGTGTCACATGTAAATGCACACACTTGTCTATATCAAAATAACAAATAAACTAAAAGACAGATTTTGCTTCTGTGTCCCGTGTTGTGAACGCACCTTTGGGCTCGCACTTCTGTTTGAGGAGAGTGGAGCTGCTTTCCCAGGGAATGTCCCAAACCTCAAACAGACAAACCTCCGTCTGAAAACACACAAAACACAGTGAAGAAAGTCAAAGTCAACACTGCAGATACAGAGAGCGAGGGGAGCGCGTGCCTCCTGTGGGACTGGTCTGGGTTCCAACAGTTACAACATCATGAGATAAGGACATTTTTAAGAATTCAATATTGCTCAACGACTGTGAAATGTCACAAATGATCACTTTTATCATAGTTCTAAACCTGGGTAATTACTTCATGTGATCTTGTGATATTATGATTGTAAGGAGTGTCTTTTTGCAGCTCAAACACTTATTTTAGATAGCTATTTTAACGTTTTTATTTATTTATTTGCTTATTTTTATATATATATATAATTCATTTTTGGTATTTTTCAGTCATAGCTACTTTTATCATCTTTTATTTTAATTATTTAATGTCATTCTGCAGACGTGTGAGTGTATTTTTGTTTATGGGTTGCACTAAAGTGGATTGGATCAAAGCTCTCGTACCTAATTTAGTTTCTGAAATAATATATTTACTTTTGGTCTCAACAGTAAAAGTATAATTTTGTGAATAAATCAGACTATAACAGGCTCTCTGAAATGTATTAGAAAACATTGTGCAGAGACCTGTGCGTCACTATTTGATACAATGGGCTGAGAGTTGATTCTATGAGTGAGGGTCCTCTCTTTTTCACTTTTTCGTCTGAATTATCTGATCTGAAAATGTGACAGGCCAACAAAAACATGCAGGTGAAAACTGGGGATAGAAGCAAAATTGTTTTGACAGTGAGGCACTAGTACTAATCTATTTGTTAGTCACTTTTAGAATTATATATTTATTGTTGTTTATATGAATGTGTTTCTGCGACTGGACACCTGGATATCTTCTATCTATCTACTTAAATATCTATTTATCTACTTAAATATCTATCTCTATATCTATCTGTATCTATCTATTTAAATATCTATCCATCTATCTACTTAAATATCTATGTATCTACTTAAATATCTATTTATCTACTTAAATATCTATCTCTATATCTATCTGTATCTATCTATCTATTTAAATATCTATCCATCTATCTACTTGAATATCTATCTATCCATCTATCTATATATCTCTTTAAATATCTATCTATCATCTATCTATTTAAATATCTATCTATCTGTCTATCCATCTCTATATCTCTGTATTTATCTATTTACATGACACAGTTCAACTTTTTGAGATTTGAAAGTTAGGTGCTGCAGCTTTAACTCAATGCAATTTGACCTCGAAAAGTGACTTGTGCAGAGGGTTAAATCCATGTCACAAGATCAGCAGCGTGTCGAAACAGAGGATGGTGCTGTAATTCAAAAGAAGCCACACCTCCAGACTTCCTCATTCGAGTCTGACCGGGACCAGACCTAAAACTTCCCTTATTTGACACTTATGAAACAAACAACCTAAAATAATTCACGAGGAAACAAACCTTGAGTCTGTGGGGCTCGGGGTCGAAGTCACATGACCGCAGCATGGCCGACTTCTTACACTGAGTATTGCTGAGCTCCACGGTGACGGAGTAACGGATGCCTTTGACCACCTACAAAACAAAACCAATTTATACAGTGCATTTAAATGGGTTAAGGATTTAGGATGCCTACATACATATTGTCCCAGTTTCTTTCGCAAGTTAGTTTAGTGTGATAGAAGCCACAACTATACTTATACTTATAAACTCTACATGTACCATAACACAGTGGTAATAACTGTAGTACTGTAAGAATGAGCCACTGTGTCCACTGAAAACTCACTATGTCAATTTATGTTCTATTTATTCTGTTCATAGGCTGCACGTAAGTTAGTTTAGTGTGTTTAGTAAATAAAGTTGATTATAGATTAGTAATAATATTGTGAGATGAGCACAATCTATTGGCCTATTTCAATGTTGTGAAAGGTCTCTTATTCAGTTCAATGTATTTTTGTATAGCCCGAAATCACAACAGCAGTCGTCTCGGAGGACTTCACAAAGTTGTCAAAAGGTGTCGGTTTCGCCAACAACAGGATATCAAACAATTCGAACGCAAGAAATGCAGTAATGACAAAGACATAAGAGCCATTGGTCCATAAGCAACGTGATGTTTATAGATGTTAATACATGTCCATAAATGTCCTTAGACCCTCCTGCATCAGAAAGGAACAACTCAAAATCAGACACTTTTAAACCCAGCCTCAATGCACATGTTTTACCTTAGCTTAACAGTGGATAGGGTATTTCATAATGGTGTATATTTTTCATGTTTTTTCATGCTGTTTTTGTGCATGCTATTTGTTGTTCAGGTAAAGCACTTGGGTTGTAAATGTATTAAAATCAAAGATGGCATTGCCTTCGTTCTTTTTTATTTTCTATTTTATTTAAGAAAGTGGGAATGCCTAAATTTCACTTTAAATCTATACAAATATAGAATTGTTTTTAACAGGATGCACTTGAATGGAGCACTGTGTAAATAATAGGCCTATACCCAGGAACTACAATGGCTTAACCAGAGCGATAACAGCTTGTGTTGTTTTGAGCTTCCATCAGTCACAGTCCCATGGCCCAGCAGTTTGTGCAGTGTTCCAGTAGAATACCAGGCGTACAGTACACATATGTTTATTACTGCGATAAATAAAAGAGAATTAAATCTTAAAATATAGAGAGAAATGAATAGGAAATACGTAGCAGAGTACAGTGTTGTGTTGTTGTGTAAATGACCTGCTTAGAGGCGGAGATCAGCCGGCTGACTCTGCGCAGATGCATGGCGTTGGAGCCGCGGTTGTAACGATCTTCAGCGAACTGCAGGACTCTCTTCAGGCCGGGATCCGAGTCCTGGAGGCGGACAGCAGCTCCAGGGGCCGGCTCGGTGTCCTGGGCCCGTAGAGGGGACTTGAACAGAGGCCGCGGGAGGTCTGTGCCGTAGACGGCCGCGGCCAGAACCAAGAACAACAGCGGGATGTTATGTAGGCGCTCTGCCATTATGGCGTCTGACAGCGAGTAGTACAACTCCGATATATAATAAAAATGAAGATTAGTATCGAATCAATCTATAATAGCATCTCCTCCACGAAGAGACGCGCTGCTGCCGAGACGTGTTTACAGTCTGTTCCAAACAAACGCAGTCAGGGTTGGAGGCGGGACTCAGTGGTGCGTTCAAGTACTCCGGAGAAAAGACGACTCAGCCGTAATAATCTGCTACTACTGCGTAATAACAACCACGTTATCTCATAGTTGACTTATTGTGCTCAGTTGTGGATAAAACAACATGAGTTTAAACTAAAAACTAATAAAACGAACTTAAATATAATTGAATATATTCAGCCTACACCCTACTCCTCAAGAGGGCGGCATACTACTACAATCATGAATCATGACTTCTCAAAATATATTTCCAAAAAAGTCTTTGTACTAATTTGACCCCATTCAGATCAAGATGATCTGTATCTGTGAACAGCACTGGGAGGGCTGGGAGTCGTGTGATGTGTTTTAAGCACAGATGGATGTTTGATCTACAGTTAGTTTTATTTTGAAGCCCGGAAGTGTCTTCTCAGTGGACCTTACCTGGAGCAGACACATATGTGGAAAAACTAACATCAAAGTTAGCGCTCAAGCTTCAAAAAACTGTTCGTCTGGACATTAGTGAGTGTCCTGAGCCTAGATCAACCCGGCAGCGCTGATCTGTGGACAGCGCGGCGGTCAGGGCGATATTATGAGTCATTTTATTCATAGTCTCTGGACGCTCTCTTAGCATTAGCATTAGCAATTAGCTTCGAGCTAAAGTCTAGAGAAATGGACTCGCTTGGGGTTGAAGACTTGTTCGACTTTCGTCGGTGAGTTGTAAAAATCAGTTTTTTCCCCCATTTTAGCCCAGAATGTACTAATTCTATTCTTGTTTAGTTTCACCTTACATGCCTTTGCACAGTTCTTAGTGGTTAACGTTAGTGTTATTTTTAGCTCCTTGGCTAACTTTATTTCACGGCTCATGTTCAGATATTATTGGCTTGATTATGTTGCGTCAGCGGCGAAACTTGTTTACTCTAAACTCAGCATTAGCCTCGAGTGTAAATAATATGTTCATTTTTGTATTTGTGAGTCAATTACTTAGACCTTAGTTATTGCTCGTTTTTAGAAATGATTATTTCTGGAGAGATGGAAATCTAATCCAAATCATTTTAACAGATCCCCCATTTACACTCGCAATAATAACAGTGAAGTAATACATTTATTAGTTTAATCAAAAATTAGATAATTCTATTATTCTATATGTGTGTAATAAGATAGACTTTATGGATCTCACTCTGGAGACATTTACATGTCACATTTGGCATAAATAGAATCACTCAGATTGTGCAAAAGACAGAAGAGTGAAAACATGTTAAAGGTTAAAAATATAGTCTCTGCAGGATATATTATGTACAATGAAAGAAAGAGTGGCAAAAGCCATATGCTTCACTTATTTCAAAGATCAGATTTGTTTTGTGTGGCTCTTACATAATGTAAATTGTACATGCACATGTAATGCATGTTCAAACACACATGAAGGTCAATGTCATTGTTGATGCAGTTGTAAAGAAATACATTTGAATGCTCTTGTTACAGACTTCCCAAAGACCCTCTGGTTCTCCTGCTGCTGCTGCTTTATTCCCCTGTTGGCATTTGTTTATTGTTAATCCGGATCTTTATTGGAGTCCACGTGTTTTTAGTGAGCTGTGCTCTTCCTGAATGTTTCCTTAGAAGGTGAGTAAACAATAAAATGTATATCTCACCTTACGTCACATTTGTACTCACTTCATTCTTCTGTTGCTGCAGGTTTATTGTGCGGATAATGTGTTCTGTTTTGGGGATGCACGTGCGACAGAAGAACCCTCGCTCCAGAGACAAGAACACTAAACTGTTTGTGTGTAATCACGTGACGGAGTTTGATCATAACGTCCTCAGCCTCCTGACGCCATGCAACACGGTTAGCACAGAAAATCCTCACAACCGTCCTGAGCGTATGTCTGTCATCACAATCATTACTGCCCCAAACATTCAGGGCAAGGCTCTTCCGGACTCCACATAACTTCCAATACAAACTATAATAGTTTTAAATGGCGTTTTATATACATGTTTTGGTCGTGTTGGAGTTTGCTGTTTTATTCGATTAAAAAGTCTGCTTGTGAGATTAAAACAAATGTAATTGCTTTACTTTATGTGTTTTTATGATTCTTGTCTCTACCCAGCCTCATTTGGAGGGCTCCAAAGGCTTCGTGTGCTGGGCCCGAGGCTTCATGGAGATGCAGGACTCGTCCTCTTCAGCTGCGATCGGAGACACTCTGAGAAGCTACTGCTCCACTGACGGCACCACTCCTCTGCTCCTGTTCCCCGAGGAAAGCACCAGTAACGGACGGAAAGGACTGCTCAAGTTCAGGTCTGTAGCCACCTTCAATACCCCACTGTATTTCCTGCACACTGGAGACTTTTGAAAATGTCTTACAATGTGGTGTTTACTGCAAATGGCAAATACAATTATTTTGAATCTGGAAATAGTGAGATGTTGGATTCAGGGGGAATACTTTTAGGAAAACACATGCCTTGTACTGGTTTATGGCTATTATTATTGAGGAAGAAATGGTATATATGGTCTTTCTTATAAATGAACTATAGATTAGTCTTTCCTTTTTATTTGACTTTTCTGATTTTGCTTTTCTAGCTCATGGCCTTTCTCATTGACGGAGCCTGCTCAGCCTGTGGCCATACATGTGTCCAGACCCTTCATTGCACTGGTAAGGTTTAATAATGCTTTCAATATTATTATTTTACTGTATGATTAATTCCAATTTATACCATTTCCCCAGAGCATCCCAGAGTGCAGCTGGCTGGTTGAGCTCATGTGGACATTTTTTGTTCCATTCACAGTATATTACGTGAGGTAGGCAAATGTACCAGTTATTATTTACCTATGAATTACCATACTTAAAGTCAATTTACAGAAGGTTTTTATTTGCCCCATGGTGAGTAAATGTCAGTGTTGCAGCGCACATTACTGAACAGTATGACTAAAGGGAGCACTGAAAACAAAATTCAAAGCTGTAAATATTTAAACTAAAGTGTACAACTTGTTCAACAATCGTTCCCATAAAAATCAATAGGGAATTGCAGACATTATTTACAATGATGGCCACTCATGGAAATGTATTAACCAGTAGTAGCTGTTAGTGACTTAGATTGTAACCATGTTACATTTTCCCCTTATCAAAGCAGACCTTTAGTTGTTTTTAGATGAATTCACGCTAAAATATATCTCCATAGAAAACTGTAACTCCGCCCCTCCTGCATAAAAGTCCTGCAATGGTATGAATATGATTGTATGACATCACTCTCAGTGCAGTTGTCTGCCTTTTTATACATAGTTCCCGTAAATACATTTGGCAATTTCTCATTCTTGCCTCAGCCTATATTGTCTACTGAAGATGTTATTTCACATTCAAAAACGATGGCAAATTAAATAGTCTCCTTATCATATTGAATGGCTAAAAGTAATGCCAAATATTTCTTTGTAAAATCTTCCTTGAATGTTGTTGTAGCTGGCTGCCTCCTGTGTCCAGACCAGAAGGAGAATCCACTCCAGAGTTCGCAGATAAGGTCCAACAGGTAAAGGAATAATAGCAGACATCAAAGACATTCTGGAGGATATCTGTTTTTACAATGTCCATGATTGTTTTTCAGTTACTGGCTGCTGAACTGGGCCTCGTCGCCACCAAATTCACCAAAGCTGACAAAGCAGAGCACATAAAGCGGAAAAGACACACGGTTCCACAGGCTCAGACAAGTACGCATTATGTGATTTATGTTCTCTTTGCTCTTCCCAAACTCGTGACTTATTTTTCCAAAGGGGGATTGCTTTTTCTTTTGAAGCATGTTTGTACAAAGACTAACATTTATTACTAGGGGTGCAACGGTTTGAAAAAATCACGGTTCGGTTCGTACCTCGGTTCAGAGGCCACGGTTCGGTTCATTTTTCGGTTCATTTTTCAAAAAAAAAGTGTTGTCTTTTTAATAAACACAGCTCATGTGGACTCGGCACCTGCTCTGACTGCCCCCCCTGACCTAGAAATGAATTAAGGGGAAGGAAATGGATGGATGGATGGATGGAATATTCCATCCATCCAATTATGTCTATTTAACATAATTAATGAAAAACAACACAAAGTGCAACATAAGAAGGCACTTTATGAGGATATTTACTCTCATATATTACACCACCTTCCTGATTCGAGGAGGCGCTCCATTCTGGGCCCAGCCTCATTCACTGCATTTATTTAATTTTTGGCATTATCAGTTGTGACTGGGATATTAGTACTGGGCGTTTGTCTTCCATTCCTCCGCTGCTTGTGTCAGTACCTGCGCTGTGTGACTGTGACTGTCGTAGAGGGGGCGTGTCTGCAGCGCCAGACTTTTCATCTCCCAGTCTGCGGTGATGAAGTGAGCGGTTCTGCTCATGGATCTATTATAGGTTCCGCGGGACGTCCAAGCGTCAGTCGTGAGCTGAGCTGAGGATGCGCGGGAGAGTTGACTCTAGCCCGGTCTGACTGTGCGTAAAGGAGCTGCTTAAATGCCGCGACAATAAGCGGTCGTTGAGACGCTTTTTTCACTCATGTCTTTCTTGTGCCACAGTGCTTACACATCGTGACAGTTTTGTCGAATATTAATTATCAGTGTAGTTACAGTGAAGCCAAAATGCTCTCATACTGGGGATTTAAATGACGCGGGGCTTTCAAGCATCTCCGTTCCTCCGCTCGCAATGACCGCGCTGTGTGTGGACTGAACAACGTGCGCACAACTTTTTTTTCATAAATCAAACCGCGGATAACGTCTGTACCGAACCGAAGACGTTGAACCGAACGGATCACGGATCAGTGATGAACCGTTGCACCTCTATTTATTACAGATTACACTGCTCCAATCAAAACAATTTCCTAGTTTGTGATTTGTTGTTATGGCAATACAATTATTACTTGGTGTAATCATTTCTGGTTTGGAAGTTAGGTACTCCAGTTTCGAGTCCATTCATTCTCAAGGTCATATTGAAGGGCAAAATAATCACAAATAATGAAGAGATTCGTCTCACAATGGGGAAATTTCAGTGTTGCATCACCTGTTACAGAACAGTTGGCATGAGGAGGTCACAACACAAGATGGAGAAACAATAATAATTCTATATTGAAATTAAATCTCTAACTTTAGCATAACAAAGAAGCAAGTATAAAGTACTGTATATTCAGACTTTCATATTATATTTCCAAAGTCTGTACAGAATTCGAGATCACATTTTTCTCTTTTGTCCCAGGTGTCAGAGCGAGCCCCATCAGTCTCGGGTTTATGCAGAGCCTCGGCACGGATGAGCGCAGATTGGCCAAAATGGCGCAGCAGGTGCAAGACGTTCTCCCGCACGTCCCTCTGAACGTCATCACGTTGGACTTGGGTGAGTTTGGAGTTTCAAATTCAGAGCGCATTTATAGAGTGGGAAATGATTTGTGTTGAATTCATGTTTTTGTTCAGTGAAAACCAACTGTGTGGACACGACCATCACAAACTTACTGGAGAGCAAAGAGGAGGTTCTGGAAGCTTCTGGGACTTCAACGTTCTCTTCTTCCCCGGGCTCTTTCTCCAATTCCACCCCCACCATCAAGGTCCGACACTCTCACAGAATATACGTCTCAAGCTGTGACCAAATATATGTGGAAGATAGTTCCCCTTTTGCTCAGATCCATCCATATGTTGTTTTTATCTGGAATGTTCCAAAGTATGGTATTAAACCATTACATCTACTTTAGTGACAAGCAATGGACATATTTTTCTGTGTTGCAATTCAAATCAAAAATCATTCGCAATAACATTCCTATTGCAACAAACCAGAAAGGTTTAACATTCTAACATTCCAGAACTTTGCCTCAATTTGGGAAAAGAAGGTCGAAAGAGGTGAAAGATTCAGCCCAAAATGGACAACTTTATTTATATGACAGTGTAACCACAAATACATCACTCATTCCATTTAGACTATAATTTAAAGAAGATGATGAATGTGATATGGTATAATATGAAATATAACTCCTGAACAAGTGTTTGCTCTTCACTGTTGTCCACAGCCCGCTGCCAAACAATTTGGAAGATCACCAGCCGACAGACACATGTCTCTCCAGGAGAGGAAGGAGGCGCTCTACAGCTTTGCCAGAAGGTGAGGAGCACAAATCTGTTACCTATGTGTAAAGGTAGTGGTTCAATTTCTGGGCCTTGAAAGCTTTATATCGTTAATAGATATGAGCGATTTTGGCGTTCAATGTTGTCCTTTTTATGATTTAAGACATTGTTAGTGTTCTGCAAAGCCGTATAGAGTAGCATAGAAGTGAAACGATCCTCTGAACAAAGGAAGGTTTCTCACCCATCATCTGTACTTGAGTTAAACCTCCTAACTGAAGTACAGATGATGAAACCTTTCTTTGTTTTGACTAATCCCTGTACAACTGAGAGATTACATAAACTGATCCCAAATCTTTTTGCCCCTGGATGGTGGCAATAAATGTCCCCTAAATGGCTTTGAGAAGTCTTTTAAAATCTCTTACATTTGACTTGACCAAACCTGGAATAAGTATATAATATAGATTATAATAATTACCTGGAACAATGACCCTGTGCTTGGACATTGAGCACATTTCCATTAGGCTGAAGTTACAGATTGCAAGCTATGATAAATCCATTAAGTTAACTTGACAGGCATGTGATTGTTGCTCAGCTCTCAAAACTATTCCCAATGATATCTCATTCTGTCTGTCCATTTGTCAGGCGCTACCTTGAAAAGCATGGACTGCCCCAAGAAGACGGTCTCTAGACTCCACGTCGACTCTTCATCCTCCATGCTGCTGTCTCCTTAAAGCGTTTTATATTCAGCCGTCTTCACTTTGGTTCAATCTCATTCTTGCTGGTTCATTATTTTGATAACAATTTGTATTACAATCCACTGACTGTGAATCATCTATTTATTTTTATAATGTCCAGAGTCATTGAGAATAAAGTTTTGCTTGACCTCCGTTCTGGTCAAACGTGTTTATTTTTATGACACTCAAGATTCTCAACTTTGTTTTTCGGTTGTTGTATGGTTTGTTATAACTGCTTTAATTCTGGTGTTTTAATTTGTACCTCATAGATTTATATTTTGGTCAATATTTCTGTTTTACATGATTTATGAAACAAAATTGGAAAAAGGAATTGGCTGTAGTAAATCCATCCATCCATCCATTTTCTACCCTTTAATCCATTTCTGGGTCAGGGGGGTGGCAATCAGAGATGCCACCCAAGTCTCATAGCACCAGCCCCTCACTGACCCTCTGCAGGTGGTGAGTCCACAGGAGGACGGCTGCTCTCTGAGTGTGAGCATAGCCTTGATCTTTCAGTGGGGGCTTTGGCTGTAGTAAAGATTTTTGTAAAACATTTTGTATATGTAAATTATTTATTTCAAACTCACCCAGCACAAACAAATATTCATTGTACAAAAAACCATTATTGGAAAAAATCCAGTAGACAGAGTTTTCATAAGAAGCTCTTTCACTCTTCTTTTTGCGTTTGTGTCAGCCAGAAACAAAAACGCAACCACAAGAAAACATCGATCACATTCGCACCATTCTGGAACTTTCCATTAGTGTCTACTGTTCTGGTCAAAGTCACATTTCTACTTCCTGGGGTTAAATAAAACACTTGTGTGGTGATTTCAGCCCAAACTTTAGAAGAAAGTAATGTTTCTGTCAAATACGAAAAGCTTTATTTATTTTCATTCGACTACTTTTTAGTTCCGTATTTATTTTATTAATTGAAATACATAGAACATAAACGCGCACACACAAACAATTCCAGAACATAATAATAATAATAATAGGAATCTGTAAAACAACAAAAGCTTTTAAAAAATGTATAACCGGAAGTTTTGAAGACCCTATTCCGGGTGATTAGCGGAAGTGTAGTGGGCTAGGCTAAAGGCTAAAGGCTAATGCTAAAGGCTAACAGAGACATGTCTGGTTTAGAAGAAATTATAACCGAATCCTCCGCAGTAAAAGACAACCAGGACATTGGTGGAGATGAAGAAGACCTGAGCGACGAAGAGTTTGTGGACCCGACACGATATGTGTTTTACAGGTGAAATATGTTCACTTTGCATCATTGATTTGGTAGAATCGGCTTAGCTTTACTGACATGCCGACTAATGTGTGCACTGTTTTACTGAATTATAATGGCTTTTAATAAATGCATACATGGTTCTGTGTAGATTCGATTGCATGTTTCAATTTGTCAATATGCTCTCTGAATAATGGAGCTTAATCCACAATCTCTCCTGTTGGGTTATTCTCATGAATCGTGGGGAGTTCAGGAGAAATTAGATGACAGTTCACATTTAGTTTTTATTGTTAATTTAATTCTTTTTTTTTGAAAATGTGTGTTGCTTGCCACAGAGATAGAAAAGAATGGGCTGATCTGGAACCTGTTCCCCAAGACGATGGTCCAAATCCAGTGGTGAAAATCGCCTATTCTGACAAGTGTAAGTTCAATTAATATATGATTAGCTGTTCCATGTTTTTATTGTCTTTCTCTGAATGGAGAGCTGGCAGTATTGTTTTTGAATCTTGAACGTGGGTTTTTGGAGTGGTTTTTAATCTAAAATGTTAAGGAAAATTTAACACAAACCTTTTCTGTATAACATTTGTCTCTCTACAGTTTCTGATGTTTACAATTATTTCCGAGCGCTGCTGAAGAAAGATGAGAGAAGTGAGCGAGCATTGGCTTTAACTTCAGATGCCATCGACCTGAATGCTGCCAACTACACAGTGTGGTGAGAGCTGCCACATCTTATATGAACTTACGATGACATGTTTAAGTAATTTAATACATTATGCTATAAAACACTGGCCTTTTTAGCTAGAAAATATCAAGTAGTATGTGTATGACTTACAATGTCCCAATGTTGTGAAGTCTTAGTTGTTGTGATTTGATCTCTTCTTCGTTTTTATGATGTGACTCTCTGTTGTCTTTAGGCATTTCAGGCGAGTGCTGCTACAGTCGTTAGGGAAAGACCTGAGGGAGGAGATGAGGTACATCACTGCCATCATTGAGGAGCAGCCCAAGAATTATCAAGTCTGGTGAGTTCTACCAACTCAAATAATTTGTGTATTTGACATACGCTTACTGTTTTCCAGTGCATTTATGTATCAAGTCTCAAGTAGCTTTAGACAGCAACTTGTTTTTGTGTCTGTTGTCTGTGTCAGCTACCGATGGTCACATGAATTGTCACATTGTGGGACATATAAAGTATTTATATCTTTATGTATAGGGATAAAAAAAATATATATATATTAATGCTATTAACTTTGAAAAAGCAACAAAATAAACAATTGATTCCCCCTTCTTGTAAAGCTCTGACAGTCACAAAAAACACAATTTTTACGATTGCCCTTGAATGCACCACTATGGCCAGTCAACCACAAACCGTATTTCATGCTTGCTTTAAGCCTAGTGTATACTTGCGCGGCGTGGCTTACGTTAGCGGTTGCGGTGGACCTACGTAAGCACAATTGATGTTATACTGGCGCGTTCCCCTTACGGAGTTTTGAGGAGAATGTTGTAATCCCACAACAAACCACATGAGGGCGATCTCACAGGAGCGGTCCCATTTATGCTGCTACTTTGTCCTCTTCAGAAGAACAATAGCAAACAAAGCTGTTTGAGCTCATTACACGTGTTTCTACTGTAGGTTTATGTGATAGTTTTATGGATTCATTATTTTATAAGTCATTTCAACTGTGATGCTGTGAATAAAGACACAGTTCTTGTTGGAAACATAGTTATTATTAAATAGTTTTCAGCACAAACAGCTAAACAATAATAGTGGTAAATATCTGAGACAAACATGAACAATTTACGAGTGCAGGAGGAAAGCAACAAACGCAGCTACGATTCAAACAAGACAGGAACAGTGCAAAACAAACGACTGCACAGTTTATAAGTTATATATATGTTAGATATAAGTTATATATATGTTAGATATAAGTTATATATATGTTAGATAGTCCACTGTCTCCTGTATATCAGGCTCTGAGCCCAAACTGCTTTTCCTTCGAAGCACAAAGCTCTGCTCCATAGTGCCTCGTCCATTGTCCCTGCTGCAGCCGCTTCATGCTTCCTTTCAATACACACACACTGACCAATCACAGCGGAGCTTCCTTGCGGCGACCCTTACGTAGTTAGAAAATTTCGATGCTGCGCGGCAGGCAACGTAAGGGCCTTGCGGTGACCAACGCGTTGCGCAAGTGACGTCACGTCACCTCCGTAAGCTCCGCGCGAGTATAAACTAGGCTTTAAATCGAAAGGTGAAGCGACCAATGACAAACACCAGGGGGAGATCTTCTGAAAAATGCTTGGTTTTCGAAAGATGAAATGTTGTTCATATCTTTCAGCCCTACTATGCACAAATATAGAAATACTTAACTTTTGTGCAGGCATCACAGGCGGCTGGTGGTGGAGTGGCTGAAAGATCCTTCTGAGGAGCTGGAGTTCATTGCTGAAATTCTGAGTCAAGACGCCAAAAATTACCATGCCTGGCAGCACCGGCAATGGGTCATCCAGGTATAGTTCAATAACATATGTACTGTACTTTCATAGTTACTCAGTGCATTCAAAGTAACCTTATTATTATTATAATTTTTTAGCTGGCATGATTCTTGAAGCTCACACCCTTGTCTCAATAAGTATGTTTTTGTTTTTCAGGAATTCAAGCTGTGGGACCACGAGTTAGAGTATGTGGAGAGACTGTTGGAGGAAGACGTCCGGAACAACTCGGCCTGGAACCAGCGGCACTTTGTCATCACCCACACCTCAGGTTTCTCCGATCTGGCCGTCATACAGCGAGAGATCGAGTCAGTGTCCTCTCTCCATACAGCCTTAGAAACACTGGCCTCTTGTATAACACACACTTTCTCTTCTGTTTGATGCAGATACTGTTTGACCCAAATCAAGAAGGCGCCGCACAATGAAAGTGTCTGGAATTATCTAAAAGGGTGAGACTTGTTTTATTCCTATTGCATCTATGTGTTTAAGTGAACACAATACAAAAAGGTTTTTCACAATTTAATTTCAATTTATAATGAATAATAATGCCACAATAAGGTTAGTCACTGATTGTAATATACAGTGCCTTGCGAAAGTATTCGGCCCCCTTGAACCTTTCAACATTTCGCCACATTTCAGGCTTCAAATATAAAGATATAAAATTTAAATTTTTTGTCATGAATCAACAACAAGTGGGACACAATCGTGAAGTGGAACGAAATTTATTGGATAATTTAAACTTTTTTGACAAATAAAAAACTGAAAAGTGGGGCGTGCAATATTATTCGGCCCCTTTACTTTCAGTGCAGCAAACTCAGTCCAGAAGTTCAGTGAGGATCTTTGAATGATCCAATGTTGTCCTAAATGACTGATGATGATAAATAGAATGCACCTGTGTGTAATCAAGTCTCCGTATAAATGCACCTGCTCTTTGATAGTCTCAGGGTTCTGTTTAAAGCGCAGAGAGAACCATGAAGACAAAGGAACACACCAGGCAGGTCCGAGATAGTATTGTGGAAAAGTTTAAAGCCGGATTTGGATACAAAAAGATCTCCCAAGCTTTAAACATCTCAAGGAGCACTGTGCAAGCAATTATATTGAAATGGAAGGAGTATCAGACCACTGCAAATCTACCAAGACCCGGCCGTCCCTCCAAACTTTCATCTCAAACAAGGAGAAGACTGATCAGAGATGCAGCCAAGAGGCCCATGATCACTCTGGATGAACTGCAGATAACTACAGCTGAGGTGGGAGAGTCTGTCTATAGGACATCAATCAGTCGTGCACTGCACAAATCTGGCCTTTATGGAAGAGTGGCAAGAAGAAAGCCATTTCTCAAAGATATCCAAAAAGTCTTGTTTAAAGTTTGCCACAAGCCACCTGGGAGACACACCAAACATGTGGAAGAAGGTGCTCTGGTCAGATGAAACCAAAATCGAACTTTTTGGCCACAATGCAAAACGATATGTTTGGCGTAAAAGCAACACAGCTCATCACCCTGAACACACCATCCCCACCTCAGCTGTAGTTATCTGCAGTTCATCCAGAGTAATCATGGGCCTCTTGGCTGCATCTCTGATCAGTCTTCTCCTTGTTTGAGATGAAAGTTTGGAGGGACGGCCGGGTCTTGGTAGATTTGCAGTGGTCTGATACTCCTTCCATTTCAATATAATTGCTTGCACAGTGCTCCTTGAGATGTTTAAAGCTTGGGAAATATTTTTTTATCCAAATCCGGCTTTAAACTTTTCCACAATAATATCTCGGACCTGCCTGGTATGTTCCTTTGTCTTCATGGTTCTCTCTGTGCTTTAAACAGAACCCTGAGACTATCAAAGAGCAGGTGCATTTATACGGAGACTTGATTACACACAGGTGCATTCTATTTATCATAATCAGTCATTTAGGACAACATTGGATCATTCAAAGATCCTCACTGAACTTCTGGAGTGAGTTTGCTGCACTGAAAGTAAAGGGGCCAAATAATATTGCACGCCCCACTTTTCAGTTTTTTATTTGTTAAAAAAGTTTAAATTATCCAATAAATGTCGTTCCACTTCACGATTGTGTCCCACTTGTTGTTGATTCATGACAAAAAATGAAAATTTTATATCTTTATATTTGAAGCCTGAAATGTGGCGAAATGTTGAAAGGTTCAAGGGGGATCAAATATCTTTCTGTATAGTGGATTCATCCTTCAATATTTGGTGAAAAGTTAAATTAGACTAGATTTGCTCGGTGGTTAGGACTTGTTTTTCACAGCAAGAAGGTCCTGGATTCAATTCCTCCTCCAGACGTGACCTTTCTGTGCAGGAGTTTGCGTGTTTTCCCCTACCACTAAATACATGTGAAATAGTTCAGGTAGAATGAGTGTGTGTTTGTGAGTGCGACTGTGGAACAATGAATCAACATTATGGTACAATCTGGTGTATTTACAGCTCTGATGTTCATTAATACACACTGTCCCATTCAAATTAAACCAATGAAATACAATGAAATGTATAATAATAAATCCATATACACTTTATGAAATGACAATAGGTTTTCTTAGTTAGTTGTGTTGTCATGTTCAGCCCTGTTTGTATTATTCATTGTCATAGTCGCCAATGTATCTAAACAAGTTGAAGCTTCATTGCAGTTAATTCTAGTGTAGTTTCTGCTTTTTAAACAAAATTTAGATGGACATTTTGAACCATTTAAAACTTGAAATACTTAGTTGGGACTTGATTCTTATGTGTTTGTGGCCATAGGATTCTACAGGACCATGGCCTCTGCTCTCAGCCCGGACTCATGGAGCGTATCCTGGAGCTGAAGGAGACTCACTGCTCTCCGTATCTACTCGGCTTTCTGTTCGACTGCTACGAGGACGCCTTGGAAACCAGCAGCCAATCAGAGACGGAGGAGCGGGCGGACACGCTCAGGAAGGCCCTAGAGGTGAGGCCTAGCAGGGCATTGCCCAGTATGAGTCTGGTGTGTACGTAAATGATTGGTGGTAGTCAAATGGGCTGATGGCAGAGGTTTGTAGCCTTGCTTCCTTCAGCCTATTTCAGGGCAGCTGTGGCTTCAGTAGTAGTTTACCTCCACTGTGAATGGAGTGAATGAATAATGCCCTGTTAAGCATCTTTGAGTTTAGAAAGCGCAATATAAAACCAATGCCTTTAAACAAATGTTGGCTGATCCACCCTCGTTGTGTGAAGAGGTCTTTCCTCCCTGCTGCTGTTAAACTATACAATTCAACCTTCCTACAAACTCTAGGTTCAATTTATAAAGGTCATCTGTAAATAGTAAATACTGCAATCATGTGCAATACTGCAATTTCAGAATGTCTTTATGTATTCTGCCATATTGCACTTATAACTTGACTTGCTAAACTAAATATATAGATACATACCATTGCTCTTATTATGAAGCATTTACAGATATTTATCTCTGTTCTCTTACTACTGTCATGTGTGTGCCTAAATTTACCCACTGTGAGACAAATAAAGTTCCTCTTACCTTAATAATTACCTTATGATAAAATTATGATCACAGTGTACGGTAAAATGTACAAATTCAATGTAATACCTAAAATGGTGTCGTGAGCTTGTAAGACTTGGACTTAAACAGACATTATTGATCCACGAGGGAAATTGCGTTGTCAGAGTAAAATAACTTATTATCTCCCCGCAGATTAGTGACCTGTTGGCAACGTCGAAGGACACGATACGTAAAGAGTACTGGCTGTTTATGGGACGATCTTTAAAGAACAGATTTGGAGGCGCAGATGTGAACGCGGAGGAGGCCGTCCCGCCACCGGAGCCTCAGGAGCCTCAGGAGCCTCAGGAGCAGAGCTAAAGCTGATGCGGCTCCACGTTTCCACTGAGCTGAGTGCGGGAAGTCGTGCTGAAAAGGGATCGCTATTTTCTGTGCAAATACAGGCATAGTTATTGACAACACTAAAGCAGCACGCCGTAAAGGATTGTACAAGTGTTAAAGCAAGAATTGTAAAGCGCTTTGTGTGACCTTGGTCTGTCAAATATATAAATATATTTTATTTACTTACTTAAAGCGACAGCTGATTTGCTTTTTTTCTACTTTTTTCTGTTTTGAAGCACTTTTCAGGCTGGACAAAAAGAACTATACTGTAAAAATATGTGGGGTTTTTTAATTGGAAAGGGTTAATCAGCTTATGTTGTCCATTAACGCTGGGGTACCTAGCTTTTATCTCTCATAAATTAAAAACCCAGACCACGACATGCCATCCTCATAGTTGTAAGAAATAGCCCAGTGAGTCACTATTTGACGCTTAGAGCTGAGAGCTGATTGGCCGAATGAGGGTGGGTCCTCCCTTTTCCACTTTTCTGCCTAATCTAAAGATGTGACAGAGGCCGACGAAATACAGACATGCAAAAATTAGTGATGGAACTGAACTGCTTTGAGAGAGCGAGGAGCTGGTTTCATGGACTGTGTTACAAAGTTACGTCAAAGTTGGGTACCTCAGCTTTAAACACATAATCATATAAAATTGTCTCTAACAGTCTTTTTCATATATTTCTGTAATCTGATTTACACGACTAGACTAAATGGCCATACTCCTCTTTCTGGACCCTTGCCACACTCCTCCACTGGAAACGGCTTTAGTTTTCTAACTGTGTATTCGCTTCATGTATAGTTTATTTTAAAATGATAACAATGTGCAAGAATTTGGAATTGGCTTTGTTCTTTTCTCTTTCTCTCTCTGATTATGTCACAATGTCTCTTCTCTATGGCACTGATAAATGTGGAATAAAAGTCAAAGACATTCTAGTCATGTTCATTTTGATCTGAAATAGTCATTTTTCTTGTTTTATTTTTTATTTATATTTTGTTTCAGTCTGTGAATGATCTGTATGATAGTCTACATTTGGTAGATTTTCCACACCCCATGTTGGAAAAACATACTTTAATACGTATAGTGTGTTTCAGTTATTTTGTGTGATATAAGTTCTACTATAATCGCACGCCCCCCACTTTGAGAACCATTAGTCTGATTGACCCAGTCCTCATCCAGTACTGTTCTAGTAGGACTAAAGCTGGTCTACAGCATAAGTGAACCAGTACTAAAGCAGGTCTACGGCATGACTGAACCAGGAGTAAAGAAGGTCTTAAGCAGGATTGAACCCGGACTAAAGCAGGTCTTAACCAGGACTGAACCAGGTCTAAAGCAGGTCTTTAGCAGGTCTTTAGCAGGATTGAACTACTAGGTCTAAGGCACAACTGAACTAGGACTGAACCAGGTCTAAAGCGTAACTGAACAGGACTGAACCGGGTCTAAAGCAGGTCTTCGGCACAACTGAACCAGGTCTTAAGCAGGACTGAACCAGGTCTAAGGCATAACTGAACCAGGTCTAAAGCAGGTCTAAAGCAGGTCTACGGCACAACTGAACCAGGACTGAACTAGGACTAAAGCAGGACTGATCCAGGACTAAAGCAAGACTGAACCAGGACAAAAGTATATAATTTAATTTGCCAAAACCTTGAAGCCCTAATTAATATGAGAATGTGCAGTCCCTCACACTGGGAAAACAATTCTGTAAAAATGTTCCGATACAAATCTTTCAGCGTTTTGGCAAATATTGACTCAAACATTAAGCTAAAACTGTGACTTGTTCATAGTGTGCGGTGTTGGCCGAAAAGGACTTTTTATTATTTGCATAAAGTTGTAGAAACTGGTATTGTTTGGGTAAGGAGGTCGCTGGTGTTTATGGCCTCGGGCTGTAGTGCTGGATTCGTTACAGGGCTGGACTTATTTCAAAAGTTTCCCATATTTTGTGAATGAGTCATGAGTCACGTTAAGTCACAGTTTTCCTTTGGCATTTACTTTTACTTTTTGCTCAACTTAATTTGGTTTTATTGACTTATTCGCTACAATTCCACCAACTCAGTTTTTCTGACAAATCTGACCATTTTTTATTTTCTGAGCTTATGATTTTGTAATGCAAGTTCATTAAAATGTGATTAATAACGGACCCTAAAAAAGCCAAAACAGACGCCTCACTGTATATATAATAAGAGATCTCTTAATATTCAAGAATCTTTTCATTTGCTGTAAAACCACATTGGAAAAACTGTGCAAGACTATCCCAGTGTGCACCAGACAGCACACAACAGAATATATACACACTTTTATCTGGGTTTGAAGACTTTTAACTAGAAATATTTGACTAATATCACCATTAACTTTCGGCACAGCACCAAATAGCAACTTTTTTGCTTCAGTCATAGAATACATTTTGTTATATTTCATCTATCCCTTTGTTGTCTTTAATAAAACAAGGCAATCAATATTTCATCTATCCTCCAAACGTTATTTCACAAGAACAACAAGGTCCAAACAAGTGCTTTAGAACCACATGTATTTTATTACGAGCAGGATCAGAAAGAAAATAGCAATACCCCCTTCATTATCCCAAATGTAATATATTTTATGAGAAAGGTCAAATGTATAGAAATGCCAGGCTTCATTCATTTGTTTTCTCTAGATCTTGTTGCACCTGTTTTTGATCAATCGCTCTCCCACCACCACGTTTCCAGAACTTTCTCCTCCATTCAGGAATCATTGAACAAAGCCTGAATCTCAAACTTTGTCGATTCATCCCAAAAACATGCACCGACTCTTCTCATTATCATTTTCTTGTAATTATTAAAAGTGCTTTATAATAAATCAGCAGAAGCGAGTGGTCCGCTGCGGTCCAGGTCTGGAACTGCATCCCTGCAAAGATATCAATATTGAATATGAGCTAATACATACATGAAAACACCAGCGTTGTAACGGCCAGAGCAGGGTTACTAAAAGCAGTGGGCAACTACACATCAGGCTCCACAGTGACTGCAGTCTGAAAAAAGGGAATTATATTTAAACATATAGAAGTACTTTAAAATCAATATATCTAAGTGCAAGGAGCTGCTCTGAACGGATTAACTTTTGATTTAAAAACATGTTTGAATAAAGTTAAATCCAAAACACCATTATTCAAGGAGGAGGCGGTGGGGAGGTGAGTGTGGGTGAGTGTGGGTGAGTGTGGGTGAGTGTGGGTGGGTGTGGGTGTGTGTGGGTGGGTGAGTGTGTTGGCGAATGTGGGTGGGTGTGGGTGAGTGTGGGTGAATGTGGGTGAGTGTGGGTGAGTGTGTTGGCGAATGTGGGTGGGTGTGGGTGAGTGTGGGTGAATGTGGGTGAGTGTGGGTGAGTGTGTTGGCGAATGTGGGTGGGTGTGGGTGAGTGTGGGTGATTGTGGGTGAGTGTGGGTGAATGGGGGTGGGTGTGGGTGAATGTGGGTGAGTGTGGGTGAGTATGGGTGAATGTGGTTGAGTGTGGGTGAGTATGGGTGAGTATGGGTGAGTGTGGGTGAATGTGGGTGGGTGTGGGTGAGTATGGGTGAATGTGGTTGAGTGTGGGTGAGTATGGGTGAGTGTGTGTGTGAATGTGGGTGAGTGTGGGTGAGTATGGGTGAATGTGGTTGAGTGTGGGTGAGTATGGGTGAGTGTGGGTGAATGTGAGTGATGTGGGTGAGTGTGTGTGAGTGTGGGTGAGTGTGGGTGAGTGTGTGTGTGTGGGTGGGTGTGGGTGAGTGTGGGTAAGTATGGGTGAGTGTGGGTGAGTGTGGGTGAGTGTGGGTGAATGTGGGTGAGTGTGGGTGAGTATGGGTGAGTATGGGTGCACTTGTTTTCAACTCCTGGTGGGTTCCATAACCTGAGATTCCACTCACGTCATGGGGACTGGTTTTACGTGGTGGGGCCCGAACACCGGACCCCACTGGTCCAAGCTTAATAATCAATGGGTAATGCTTTTCTAACGGTCCTTATGCAGTCTCTGTAAAAATATGGAAAGGACCCCTGGAGGTTTACTTTCCTGAAAAAAGTGTGTTATGTGTCGGAACCCTGGTGGTGGGTTGCGGGATATCAAGGAGGGGCACACTGGGGCAATTTCAGTCCAGCAGGCTGGAGCCAATCATGGAGCAGCACAACAGAGGAAATCAGGTGTCAGGCTAGAAAAAGGTGCAAGTGTGTGGTTCATTAGGCTGCAAGAAATCATGGAGGAGCACACTGAAGCGCACGCTTACAAACCACTGGTAAGTGCTGACTACAAGTCATGACTTCAAATTGTTATATAGAATGATTACAAATTATTTGTTGTTTGTGCAGCTTAGTCAAGAGTCCCTAATTGATGAAGTCGACTCAGATTCTGACGATTTAACTGTCAAGAAGAAACCTGTAAAAAAGTATGGAAAAAGAAAAATCAAAAACACTTTTCTTCAAGACTCGGAAAGTGACGAACCAAAGGCAAATAAGATTGTTATCATGCAGCTGCAAAAGAAGAAAAATGGGGGGCGAGTATACAGCAAGAGACACTTCTGCCTCTACTGTTCAATGTCCTGCCACAAAATGTCCCGTCATTTGACTAGAAAACATGGAAATGAAAGTGACGTAGCCAGAGCATTGGCTCTACCTGTGAAATCTAAAGCACGTAAACTTCAGTTTGATTTGATCAGGAATAGTGGAAACCGTGAGCACAATTTTGAGGTTTTAAAGGCCGGCATTGGAACTTTAGTCCCAGCTAAACAGCCAAATTCCCCAGTTAAATCCAGTGAGTTTTTGCACTGTATAGACTGTGGGGCATTGCTTAAGCGAAAGTCGCTGTGGAGGCATGTGGCCAGGTGCCGGCTTTCACAGAAAGATGCCCAGGCTAAACCAGGTAGAAGTAGGGTCCAGTCCCTCTGCTCCCTAGCCCAGCCTGTACCGGAGGGCATCAGCAAAAAGCTGTGGTCTTTAATTTCGGCAATGCATCAGGATGAGGTCACGGGTGTTGTCAAAGCAGAAAAGGGGATTCTGAGACTCGGAGAGCACCTGTACTTAAAACACGGGCATGATAAGACAAAGCATGATTACATTAGGCAGAAAATGAGAGAAGTCGGTAGGTTAATTAACGAAGCAAAAACCGCAGGGAAACTGAAAACAATTAAGGATTTCTTTATTCCTTCCAACTTTAACCATGTGATTGATGCAGTCAGGTCTGTGGCTGGATATGATGAGGAAACAAATCAATACAAGACTCCATCCTTGGCCCTCAAACTCGGCCATAGCCTCAGAAAGCTAGCAGATATTCTTGAATGTGACTCAAAAATGGAGCATTGTGTTGATGAACTATTTATTAAAAACCTCCAACGAAGCCGGCTGCTTTTTGAGAAGAGGTGGGACGTCTGTGTTTCTTCTGCTGCCCTACAGACCCTCCGGCAAGCCAAGTGGAACACTCCGGACCTGCTCCCTCTGACTGAGGACGTTAGAGCCATGCATGCACATATTGAGGTATGTCGACCTGAATATGTGCAAACCCTAATAAGTGAGCCAACGTCTAAGCATTGGTCTAAACTGGCAGTTTTGACTCTTTGTGAGGTCATCATTTTCAATCGAAGAAGGGAAGGTGAGGTTTCAAAGATGCCACTGACAGCCTTTACCTTAAGAAGTAAGACTGGGATCCATTCTGACATTGCTCTGGGACTGTCCCAACTTGAGAAAAAGCTGTGTCAGCATTTTCAACGCATTGAAATTAAAGGGAAAAGAAGTCGGAAAGTGCCGGTTCTTTTGACTCCTGAAATGATTGCTTCGATGGAGGTGCTGGTGGAGAACAGAAGGGCCTGTTCCATCTCTGACCATAACCCATACTTCTTTTCCCGCCCGGGCGCAGACACCCACATCAGGGGATCAGACTCCCTACGCCAGGTAGCCAAAGAATGTGGTGCGGTGCATCCAGAGATGCTATCCTCAACCAAACTTAGAAAGCACATAGCTACTATGTCTACAGTTCTCAATATGAAAGAGAATGAGATGGACATACTTGCCAACTTCCTCGGCCATGACATTCGCATCCACAGGCAATATTACAGACTACCAGAGGGGACACTGGAGCTGGCCAAAATCAGCAAAGTGTTGATGGCCATGGAGCAGGGAAGAGTGACGGAATTCGAAGGAAAGAGCCTCGACCAGATACAAATTGAGCCTGAAGGTAATTCTTGATATTATTAAAATATGTATGATTTTTTTCCCCTAAAGGCCACTTGTATTTTTATTTTCTGTGCGACAGGGAGAGCAGTAGAGATCCTCTCACAAACGGACGGGCTAAAAGAAACTTCAAGCGGAGAACCTTCAACCATTCATCCAGATGCACCCCATGGTAGTGGCAGTGCCCCTTCTGGTAAGTGTACCAGGTGGGGGATTACAGCCAGGCTGCTTGGTCCTCACCCTGGGAGTGTATATTGCTAATATATTTTTATTTCTCTCCCTAGAACGTGTAAGAAAGCCATGGTCTGCATCTGAGGTGAAGGCTGTGGAGAAGACCATGACACCTTTCATACAGACTGGAAAGGTCCCTGGGAAGTCTCACTGCCTGGCCTGCATTAATGCCTCACCAGATGACCTTAGACATCGGACATGGAGTGGCATTAAATTCTATGTCAAAAATAGAATCACTGCAATTCGAAAACAAAATCTAAAATAAAATTCCTTTAAAATAGTTGTTTGGTTTCTATTGACTGTTTTGTATTACTTAAAGTCTTGGTAAAAAAAGATTATGTCTATGGGTCCCATTCTGAACGGCCCTGTCAAAGGGACCCACCAGGTAACAAAAACGTGTATGTGTGAGTATGGGTGAGTGTGTGTGTGAATGTGGGTGAGTGTGGGTGAATGTGGGTGAGTGTGGGTGAGTATGGGTGAGTATGGGTGAGTGTGTGTGTGAATGTGGGTGAGTGTGGGTGAATGTGGGTGAATGTGAGTGAATGTGGGTGAGTGTGGGTGAGTATGGGTGAGTATGGGTGAGTGTGTGTGAGTGTGGGTGAGTGTGGGTGAATGTGGGTGAGTATGGGTGAGTGTGTGTGTGTGAATGTGGGTGAGTGTGGGTGAGTATGGGTGAGTGTGGGTGAATGTGGGTGAATGTGAGTGAATGTGGGTGAGTGTGGGTGAGTATGGGTGAGTATGGGTGAGTGTGGGTGAATGTGGGTGAATGTGAGTGAATGTGGGTGAGTGTGGGTGAGTATGGGTGAGTGTGGGTGAGTGTGGGTGAGTGTGGGTGAATGTGGGTGAGTGTGTGTGAGTGTGGGTGAGTGTGGGTGAGTGTGGGTGAGTGTGGGTGAGTGTGTGTGAGTGTGGGTGAGTGCGGGTGAGTGTGGGTGAGTGTGGGTGAGTGTGGGTGAGTGTGTGTGATTGTGGGTGAGTGTGGGTGAGTGTGGGTAAGTATGGGTGAGTGTGTGTGAGTGTGGGTGAGTGCGGGTGAGTGTGGGTGAGTGTGGGTGAGTGTGTGTGAATGTGTGTGAGTGTGGGTGAGTGTGGGTGAGTGTGGGTGAATGTGGGTGAGTGTGTGTGTGAGTGTGGGTGGGTGTGGGTGAGTGTGGATGAGTGTGGGTGAGTGTGGGTAAGTATGGGTGAGTGTGTGTGAGTGTGGGTGAGTGCGGGTGAGTGTGGGTGAGTGTGGGTGAGTGTGTGTGAATGTGGGTGAGTGTGGGTGAGTGTGGGTAAGTATGGGGTGAGTGTGTGTGAGTGTGGGTGAGTGTGGGTGAATGTGGGTGAGTGTGTGTGAGTGTGGGTGAGTGTGGGTGAGTGTGGGTGGTGTGTGTGTGAATGTGGGTGAGTGTGGGTGAGTGTGGGTAAGTATGGGTGAGTGTGTGTGAGTGTGGGTGAGTGTGGGTGAATGTGGGTGAGTGTGGGTGAGTATGGGTGAGTATGGGTGAGTGTGTGTGTGAATGTGGGTGAGTGTGGGTGAATGTGGGTGAATGTGAGTGAATGTGGGTGAGTGTGGGTGAGTATGGGTGAGTATGTGTGTGTGTGGGTGGGTGTGGGTGAGTGTGGGTAAGTATGGGTGAGTGTGGGTGAGTGTGGGTGAGTGTGGGTGAATGTGGGTGAGTATGGGTGAGTGTGTGTGGGTGAGTGTGGGTGAGTATGGGTGAGTGTGGGTGAATGTGGGTGAATGTGAGTGAATGTGGGGAGTGTGGGTGAGTATGGGTGAGTATGGGTGAGTGGGTGAATGTGGGTGAATGTGAGTGAATGTGGGTGAGTGTGGGTGAGTATGGGTGAGTATGGGTGAGTGTGGGTGAGTGTGGGTGAGTGTGGGTGAATGTGGGTGAGTGTGTGTGAGTGTGGGTGAGTGTGGGTGGTGGAGTGTGGGTGAGTGTGGGTGAGTGTGGGTGAGTGTGTGTGAGTGTGGGTGAGTGCGGGTGAGTGTGGGTGAGTGTGGGTGAGTGTGTGTGAATGTGGGTGAGTGTGGGTGAGTGTGGGTAAGTATGGGTGAGTGTGTGTGAGTGTGGGTGAGTGCGGGTGAGTGTGGGTGAGTGTGGGTGAGTGTGGGTGAGTGTGTGTGAATGTGTGTGAGTGTGGGTGAGTGTGGGTGAGTGTGGGTGAATGTGGGTGAGTGTGTGTGAGTGTGGGTGGGTGTGGGTGAGTGTGGATGAGTGTGGGTGAGTGTGGGTAAGTATGGGTGAGTGTGTGTGAGTGTGGGTGAGTGCGGGTGAGTGTGGGTGAGTGTGGGTGAGTGTGGGTGAGTGTGTGTGAATGTGGGTGAGTGTGGGTGAGTGTGGGTAAGTATGGGTGAGTGTGTGTGAGTGTGGGTGAGTGTGGGTGAATGTGGGTGAGTGTGTGTGAGTGTGGGTGAGTGTGGGTGAGTGTGGGTGAGTGTGTGTGAATGTGGGTGAGTGTGGGTGAGTGTGGGTAAGTATGGGTGAGTGTGTGTGAGTGTGGGTGAGTGTGGGTGAATGTGGGTGAGTGTGTGTGAGTATGGGTGAGTGTGGGTGAGTGTGGGTGAGTGTGGGTGAATGTGGGTGAGTGTGTGTGAGTGTGGGTGAGTGTGGGTGAGTGTGGGTGAGTGTGGGTGAGTGTGGGTAAGTATGGGTGAGTGTGTGTGAGTGTGGGTGAGTGCGGGTGAGTGTGGGTGAGTGTGGGTGAGTGTGGGTGAGTGTGTGTGAATGTGTGTGAGTGTGGGTGAGTGTGGGTGAGTGTGGGTGAATGTGGGTGAGTGTGTGTGAGTGTGGGTGGGTGTGGGTGAGTGTGGATGAGTGTGGGTGAGTGTGGGTAAGTATGGGTGAGTGTGTGTGAGTGTGGGTGAGTGCGGGTGAGTGTGGGTGAGTGTGGGTGAGTGTGGGTGAGTGTGTGAATGTGGGTGAGTGTGGGTGAGTGTGGGTAAGTATGGGTGAGTGTGTGTGAGTGTGGGTGAGTGCGGGTGAGTGTGGGTGAGTGTGGGTGAGTGTGGGTGAGTGTGTGTGAATGTGGGTGAGTGTGGGTGAGTGTGGGTGAGTATGGGTGAGTGTGGGTGAATGTGGGTGAATGTGAGTGAATGTGGGTGAGTGTGGGTGAGTATGGGTGAGTATGGGTGAGTGTGGGTGAGTGTGGGTGAGTGTGGGTGAGTGTGGGTGAATGTGGGTGAGTGTGTGTGAGTGTGGGTGAGTGTGGGTGGGTGTGGGTGAGTGTGGGTGGTGTGTGTGGGTGAGTGTGGGTGAATGTGGGTGAATGTGGGTGAATGTGGGTGAATGTGGGTGAATGTGGGGGGGGTCAGAGAGAGGTTTGGGGCTGTGTCTGTGTGTTTTGAGATGTGTTGAATAAGGTCGGACTAAAGCAAGTCTGAACCGGGTCAAAAACTGCAAATAAGCCGCGTCCAACCCCTTTTCAAACTGTTTATTTTTACATACGGTTTGTTTTTTATTTTTGTATTTTTTGTTGTGTTCTGTATGGTTGTAAGTATGGTTGGTTGGTTTGAAATGCGGGTGTGGAGTAGGATTTTATACAGGCCGTGATGTTCTTACTTATGTGGACCAGGACAGAGTGATGAGGCCCGGGTTTGGATCGTCACGAATGGACCTGCGGCGTCTGGATCCACAAGTCTACAAACAAACACATTTTAAATCAATATCATTGTCGTAGTGAATCCGACATTATGGCCATTCAATATTATCAGGTCAGACTCAAATCCCCTTTTGGTTCTGTCAATTACACTGTAAAAAAAATAAAAATAAAATAAGCAATAATCCAGATTTGCGAGTTTGGATATTTCGTGACACTTTGAACCAACCTTGATTTTCCACACTAGAATTATTTGAGTTTTTTTTTAGCACAGCAGCATCAGGCTAAAATGTATCTTGATTTTAGCCAATGTTATTAGCCCCATAACAAGATTTGCCAATGGGACAAGCAAATGTGTGTTGTTTTTTTAAGAAACAAAACATTCTCAAGAAGATTTATTCTAATTTTTATTTGTCCCAATAGCAAATAGATTTTTTGTTGAGCAGTGTTCTAGAATCCATGACATGAATATTCACACAGTTTGTCTTAATTAAGTATGAATACAGTATTACACGGTTCATAATTCGCCTGTGAATTTACAATCCTGAAAATTGATACAACATTTGAAAAGTATAAACTTACTACCGTTATAATCTATTATTGGTGCAAACACTCACAGACTCATAACTTATTAGAAGAGATATACTTTGTTCTGTAAAGTCTTTGAAGAAAGGGACTGTTTTGACCCAAGAGCCAGCATCAAGCTCCTTAGCAACTGTTACTATGACCAACATTTGAGAAAAAGCTATGTTTTTCTACATTTAACTCAAGAATAATACAGGTTTTGCATGTTTAGCAACTTAATTCAACATCCTGCTGTATCATAAACCTTTTTAAACTAACTTCATCCCTTTAATGTTCATTCCTTGAAGAGAAAGCAATGCAAATGTTTATTTTTTTGATTTTCTAAGATGTAGGAGCACTGATCATTTGTGACAAAGCTCCAAAATACTGTGAATCTTGTGATCTAGATATGAAGGACATTGAGATTCTGTCAGTACCGGAGCACATGTGGCGCTCTTATGGGTGCACAGCATGACTTTGCAGTGAAGGAAAATGTCGCTGCTGCCCTTGAACTGGAACATGTTGAAGAAGAAGACGCTGGAGGTGCCGCGGCCGTTCCCCACCACCCTCACCGTCGGATCCTTTGTGTTCGGGCAGCTGGAAGGTAAACGGGAAAGAAAAGATAAATCTCTATTCGTCCCTCAGTCAGGAAATTTCAATGACTGGATTTAGGCTACTTTAAGTTTTAAAATGGGAGATGACATGTTTATATAGATTTCACATTTAATGGAAGTGAAGTTGGCTGAATGTTAGCTGCATTAGCATCATATACAAGATTATGGTATAGAGGAGTCAAGGTTCTGAGCATTACAGCAGGGTATACTGTACATGACTATAAAAGGTGTAGCTGAAGTTGGCTGGATGACACTGGGTACTGGCCGGACATTGGGCCCTGGTCTAGGTCAATATTGAGATTAATATATTTCTCCATTTTCCTTGCAACAATCTTAGCAGTAGAGGGTCATTTATGATTGTTTAGGCATGGATAGTTATTTGTATGGCACAGTTCATACACAAATCCATTTGAAAAACAAGACAGGTAAACATATTGTTCTCAGGCTGAACAAAAGCTAATGTCTGCACTGTGAAAGATGAAAAAAGTCCATTTATATTAAACATTTGTCCTGAGAATATGTTGCCAATGTCTTTTTACAAGAGAAGAAATGCTCCAAATGAGAGACAGCATTGCAGATTTAAAACTTAAAAGAGCGCATGAAAAACGCAAGAGATAAACCATTATGACATAAAATCACAACGTCATCAAAAAAATAGTAAACAATAAAACTAAAAACTAAAACCATGAGTCAGCTCAGTGTGTGCAACAGAAAAAGGTACATTTTTAACAAAGACCGGACAGAAGCACAGGTGCCAGTCTTACCCTTGTTGGACCAGGTCGTATTTGGGAGTGCTGTTGGACTGTGGGTGAGATGTGGCCCAGCAGGAGTCCACGACGATGGAGACCAGACTGGGGTTGAGGCCCGCGGCGCTGAGCTGGACCCACACGGTCTGGTCCAGGCCCAGGTCGGTCTGCGGCAGAACGGGCCGAGTGTGAGCCGAGTCCAGGAAAGACTTCATGGTCAAGTTATAGGACCAGCTGCCAGACACCAGCTGCTGCACCACCGAACTGCACAAGAATTTCACTATTATTACAATTAGGAACGACAAAAAAGACATCGGATGGAGGGAAGTGGTTAAAGAAAGGAGAGGAATGACACTACGGTTGTTGAAAGGAAAAGGAAAGATGCTGATGAGTATATTGCTATCAAATAAATGGTGCTAATGATAAAGATTACATTTTTATTATAATTTTAAAAAGAAAACACACACACAACTCACAATTGCACACAAACAGGCAGACACACAGACACAGACAGGTCTAGGATGAATGAAATAAAACAATAATAATAATTAAAAAAACAGGAAACATAGACTCACTTCTCACATTCATTTCAAACATATGCTTTGTGACCCACCACACTCACAATCCTATTCATTTGTGTTGATAATAATAGTTATTTTAAAGAAAGGTCAACATGTGTAGAATATTTATGGTACATCATACTATCTGAGACAGGGATCTTAGACTCAAGGAGCGGAGATACATAAATTCCTGAAAATAGTTCTTAAAAACTACTCCAGGTCTGATGTTGATGAGGAATAACTTTGTAACGTGGTTAAAAGCTAAAAAGGTGAATTTAGCATAAAATGGTGAGCCTATACCTCTTTTAAAAGCTGCATTAGTACATCCCTAAGCACAGATGTAAGCCTTGTAAACATGTGAGATGTGAGGCGCGTGCTTTGGACCTGTCCCGGATGCGCAGGGCCACGGTCCTGATCTTGGGCTGGCTGTAGAAGCAGGAGAAGTCCAGGGTGAACTGATCGTGGCGCGTCACCATCCCCGTCTGGTTCATCAGTTGGATTGTGTTGCTCATGATCACCATGTCGTTCTCACTCTGCCATAAGTTTAAAAACACCGTCATACATGCACTCAAACAAACAGATTCTTTTGTGCTATTTCAAACTAGGACACATTGACAGTTTGGCACGCAACAACCGCAGACGCCCCACTGTGGCATATGGTAAGTAAGTAAGTAAGCTTTATTTATATACCGCCTTTCACAGACCAGAGTCACAAAGCGGTTTACAATTGTTATTTTTTGGGCACTTGTCCTCTCACTCCACACAGAGTTGGGAGCGGGGTCGCCGAACAGGAGGCGCATGCCAGACCTATTGTACATAGTTTTAGTGGTAGGGGAAACCGGAGTACCCGGAGGAAACCTACGCAGGCACGGGGAGAACATGCAAACTCCACTCAGAAAGGCCCTGGTCCGGCCGGGATTCGAACCCAGGACCTTCTTGCTGAGAGGCGAGAGTGCTATCCACTCAGCCACCGTGCCGTGGTGTTCCCAAGGGTCTCCCATCACCGTACTAAACAGGTCTTGCCCTGCTTAGTATGTTAAGTTATGTATGTACAGTATGTACTGTATGTATGTATGTATGTATGTATGTATGTATGCTAATTTGCAATGTCCGTCCCTAGGAGGGCTTTAAGTTTTAACGCAACTAAAAACACATTTTACATTATAGTATCCACATTATACAAACACAGGTGTTCTCCCAACTCATGGATGCTCACACAACTGGTTTGTTTTTAAAAATCGCTTCAGTTTGTGTTTAAAAACAGCCCAGTCAGAGTTTAGTTTTAGCTGAGGGCTTAAAGAGTCTCAGAGCTTTGCCCTTTGGACCGAGACTAGACTTCACAGAAACAATCAAACCCAGGTGCTGTGTTGGTACAGACCGTGAACTTGGTGCCGCAGGGGTGGACACTGTCGAAGCTGAACTTGATCATGTGTGTTTCCGGTTGCATGATGCCTCTGCACTGCGGATCGTTGGCGTCGTTCAGCAGGAGATCTTGCTCTTTGATGCCCTTCTCGTTCAGCAGACACTTGGCCAGATACAGAGTGGCGGAGTTGTCCCTGCACTCAGTCGGCTCACCTGGACACAAACACCAGCAGTCCAGGAGGTTATCGTGAAGGCAGGGATGCCAAAAACATACATATTAAAAACATTCTATTCAATTCATTTTTGTATAGCCCTAAATCACAACTGCAGTTCTCTGAGGACCTTACAAAGTTGTCGATTCGCAGGTCGGAGAATCAACAGTTCAAACACAAAGAAGGCAGTGATAAAAAACACATAGAGCCATTGGTCCATAAGGGGCGGATGTCCATAAATGTTAAAAAAAAAAAGTTCATAAATGTCCTGGTTTATCCTTCCTGTATTGGCAAGGATCAAAAAGTGGGAAAAGGTGAGAAACTTTGGGGAGGCCCATGTTGAGGGAACATGAGTGGCCTGAAAGCATTCTCAATTATCATTCATAACTTGTAGCTCTGGTAATGGGCATGTTACACCTTATTTTAAGTCATCCTACCTATTTCATCTCTATTAAAGGTAATTCAATTATTCACAATTAGAAGGGGCGACAGTAGCTCAGTTGGTAGAGCATTGGCCTTTGGGCCTGGAGGTCGTGAGTTCGATTCCCACCATGGGACCTACTCCAACTGCTCCCACTGATGACTGCTGTCGTTGTGTCCTTGGGCAAGACACTTAACCCCACGTTGCCTGAAGCCCCCCCGCTGAAAGATCAAGGCTGTTTCTCAACTGATGGAGCAGCCATCTTCCTGTGGACTCACCCCCTGCAGAAGATCAGTGAGGGACTGGTGCTATGAGCATTGGGTGGCAGCTCTCATTGCCACCCCCCCGACCCAGAAATGGACAAATAAAGGGGTTGAAAATGAAATGAAATGAACAATTAGAAGTTAAAAAGTGAGATACAAAAGATAAACCATCGGCCAATCAGTCTTCTTTATCTTTGGTTGATTTTGATTTGATCCAAACAATAAACTCAAAATGTTCAGAGAAATTTACCAAAAAATAATTCAATTAAATTTATTCTAATTTATATCACAACAGTAAGTAAGTAAGTAAGTAAGTAAGTTTTTATTTATATACCGCCTTTTCACTGCAGATCTGAGTCTCAAAGCGGTTTACAATTGTTAAACAGTAGTCATCTCAGAGGACTTAACAAAACCTTTAAAATTTCCAACACAAATCAGAGAATCAAACCGTTAAAATACAAAAAATATAGATATATATCCAAAGATTTTTTTCTTAATAAATAATACATTCATTTTATTCTTTTGGCCCCTGACATTACATTGAAAAACAAACTCCTCAGCTCAGTAACTATTGTATCACACTGATATAAGGAAATGGACTCCAGCTAACCAGCACTTCGTCAGTCCACTCCTAATATGAGAGATAGGCCTAAAGTTCCTCCATATTCTCCTTAGTGCCACAGTAGCATTAGATTGTGGTTGAATACACATTATGCCGTTTCTTCTGTTTTTTGGGCATCATGAAAAGCACTAAATAAGTAGAAAGCATTATTATTATTGTATTCTCACCAAACATCTTGTTGGATCTGTATTTTTGGGCGAAGACGGCGCGACAGAAGCACATCTCTTTGTTCAAGTGGATCCCACAAAACTCATGTTCGCTGCAGTAAGTTCCCTGGCAGAGGCCATGAGCATCCGCTGAAACAAAACAAAAAGTCATCTTCAGAGAGTCGAAAAAATATTGTTATCGCGATATCGGTATGTGCAATATCCATATCGAAAAGATGCGCACATTTTTATTTACTGTTTTTTTTTCTTTTTTTTTTCCTTTATTAAAGACAACAAAACAGAAAGACACATCAACATTCAACAAGAACAACAAACAAACAAACAAAAAAGTATATGCTGTAAATATATGCATTTGAATGTCATTAATGTTATTGTTATTTCTTGCCTTTCAATGCAGATTGCAATTTTAGGTGATAGACAATAATATCGCAATAATATCGTTTTCGAAATACTAAACACTCATATTGAATATCACTCTAATTCCAAAATCGTGCAGCCCTACTTAAGAGTCTGTTATGTTAAGCTGCAGTTGTACATCGTGCATAGCTTCGGTGCCCACATATTTCTCTTAGTGATTATTCACGACAACATACTGAGTGTGTTTTCATTAAGAATATAAAGTTAGTTCTCACTGCAGTGGCTCTGAGTTTCCCAGTCGGACAGGGTGACGTTGGCGCGTGAGCAGAGGGCCTGGTAGGTGTGGTGGAAGCTGCATTGGAGGCCGTCCTCTGAGGGGTAACTGCACAGGGTCTGAGTGCACGAGCTGATGAAGGGGTCGGGGTCGACGTGGGCATGGCACGGGGCAAAAACAGAGCCGTTCAAGAGGTTACAGCTGAAACAAGAAGGTCAGAAAGAACTTACAAACAGGACCACAGCAAAAAGTTAATTCCTCAGTATTTGACTTCAATTCATAATAACGTCAATTCTTTAGGATATGTCTTGTCAATATTAGGATTTGTCTTATTTTAGGATCATTAGCATATTGAGAAATTGTGGTCTCCAACATTTTTCACCCAGAGAGCTACTTTCCTGGGACGATAAAGGCAGCGATCTACTCCTTAAAGTGGCCCTGGGAAAAATGTGGTGTTATATTGGCGTGAACAACCCTGATATTGGGAACAGTATTATTTATTATTGCATATTTTTTACTAGTGACAAAGGAAATTAATTTAAAGTGATAAATAATGATAATGAACAATACCATTTGTGATTATATTATCTCATTTGTTCATTTCGAAATCTTTTGGCGAGCTACCTGGAAGGGGGTGGAGAGCTACTGATGGCTCCGAGCTACAGGCTGGAGACCATGCTACCACCAGAGGGAGATGTTGAATTTGTTTGTGTTCTTTTTTCTCAAAATTGTAATTATATAATTGTATTATAATTCCAAAACTGCAATATATGTATTTTTTAAAGACAGATTCTCCAAGTGAGATGTCATAGTGGTACAAAGACGTCATACTGTTACAGGACTGAGACAGGAGCTTTTAGACAGAAGGATCGAAGTTACACGTTTGTGCCACTAGTTCCTAATATTAGCATGGATAGATCTAAACACATCCCCAGGTCTGGTGAAGGAACAATGTTGTTACACTTTTCTCAGTCACATGCAGTGTGTCTCCGGAGTGGGACTCTTACTGTTCGGTTGCAGTTGCACAGTCGATGGTGGGGTCCTCAACATCTGTGTGGGCTGTGTCACATCTGGGGGAAAAAAACACAACACACATAAACACATTGAAGACAAATAGTGACTCACAGGGTTCTTCTATGCTAGAGATAACAGCATATGGCGGTCTTTTTTGTTCACAAAAGTATATCTAGACTAGTTATATTCAACATGTATTATTTATGGAAGAAAAACATAAAGATGCAACAACTTTAAGTAGAACATTTATGGATATACACAACAAGAAGAATGAGCAACACTGCCCGCAAGTGGGAAATTATCAACCCAGTCCACTTTGGATTTGACTCCCACCTGATGTCACTCATAGTACAACATTTGTTTTTCTTGTCGTGAGACATTTGTAAGATAGCAATTGTAATTACCTTGACATAAACTTTATTCTACTGAGAAGACATTAAGATTAAGATTAAGATTAAGATCCCTTAATCCATTTCTGTGTCGGGGGGGTGGCAATCAGAGATGCCACCCAAGTCACATAGCATCAGCCCCTCACTGATCCCCCTGGCGGGGGTATTAGGGCAAAGTGGGGTTAAGTGTCTTGCCCAAGGACACAATGACAGCAGACCTTCAGGCCAAAAGGCCAATGCTCTACCAACTGAGCTACTGTCGCCCAGAAGACAAAATTAATCTTTCTAAAGTTTTGAGTGAAGTTTTCTGTTGTCGTACCCATCTTGACTGAGCTCTGACAACTTTGCAGAGTTCAGCTCCATTGATGCATCTATGCACAGACCTGTCGCAGCTGAAACGTCCAAACCTGGGGACAAAACAAAGTGAAAGACTCAACATTATGATTAGGTTTTGAATGCAATATTGAGAGAAAGAGTGACTGTTTTAGCTCACTGCAGAACTATCTTCGACCAGAGGATAATTTTTAGACCAGATAAATTGCACAGTGCACAAAGGCATCTGATCCCAGGCCCCTAGTTTGGGAATCATTAGTGATACCACCTCTGAAGTAGATGAGAGCTGAGTGTCCATTGAAGTGCAGGTCAAACTCTTGGCTGTATGTGAGTGACATTTCTGAGGAAGTTCTGGAGACGGAGAGTCCTTCTACCATCTGGAGTGTGCTGACGTTCACTGCAGAACCATTCAACTGCAACAGAGAGCATATCAATCAATCAACACCATTAAATGTTAATCGGACAATACAGTATACATATACATCCTTAACACACATGCACGGACGTTTTCATATTTTGTTGTTAACGTTTTGATGACAAAATTACTATTATAATGTGACAAAAAGCGATCGCGAAAAACCCGGAAGTAACCATTAACACGAAACTAACATTTTAGGACACACACGTGAAAAGTTACGGTTATAATCAATGACCTCAAGTTTTCAATTAAATTATAGATTATAATACAACGTGTATGTAGTAATAAGTATTTTTATGAACTACTTAGAAAAAAAAATCGTGTATAGCTTCTAGAGACATTGCACATTATTGAAAATTTCTGTGAATGCACTAGAATTAGCCAAGAAGGATATTTTCCATCTGCTAATTCAGGTGTACACAAAGTACATAAATATGAAACTACTTATTTAATCCTAGGTCATTCACTGATTTTAGCCTGACATGAATATTGATCAATCAGCAGACTCATTGCTGCTGCATTATCAGAGACCATTCTACAGTGTAGAAAACTTGTGCTCAGGGCAATGTAAGTATTTTATTTCTCTTATCAGTTTTTAGTTTCCGAGTTGAGTGTATTGGCTAGTTAAGCTTATGCTAACTGTACTAAACTTTCATAGAGCTAAAAACCGCTAGCTAGTGTAAGCTAACGCTACGGTAACAAAGTTGCGAACATTACACCAGTCGCTTGTTGTTGGTGAATTAAAGTTAAGTTTACCAAGAACTTTAAGAGCAGTGTTGCTTATGCTTACAAAGGTATAGTGAGCGTCACTCACATGGATCAATTATATTAGTTAACTCACTGTTAATATTTTTATACTTTGCCTGGAATATTCTACTAGTTAAGCTAAATATACTTTACTGTATGGTGGGAGCAAGGGTTGCTAGAAACAACTAATAATCTACTAATCATATATTACAACGTCATTTTTAAATTATGATTATATTTATGTTATTATCTGAATCTATTGAAAACCTGTTTGTTTAAATTATTTGTGAATATATTATAATTCTTATATTATTTTGATACACAATGAACTCTCTTTCCCCTCACTGATGATTTTAAGTAATAGACGTCTAGTCTGGAGTTGTTCCTTTGTTCTCACTTTGTATCCTCCAGGTCCCATGTAGAGATGAGTGGCCCCTACAGTGAGGCTGATGTGGTCCAACAGGCTCACATCCGTCCTGCGACGGTCCCTGAACACAGCCCCCAGACGCAGACCGTCCCGGGACAAGAGAGAGTACCCACAACGGTCGGGGATCGAGGTGAGGACCCCCGTGATGTCACTTATGCTGAAGCCAGTGACGGAGCACCAAGGCTCAAGCAGACACCTGTCAAAAGATTGATAATTTTATTGCGTTCTTATCTTGTCACACTGTGAAACTCAAATCTCCACATAAAACCTGGTGGACCTTAAAAGATACGTGTGTAACGCTTTTTACAGAAGTGCGTTACAATCTTGGTGGTGGCATTACATCTGTCCTGGGACTGATGCTCATGAATTAATTGTCCATCCATTTTATACTGCTTTATCCGTTGCCGGTCACATCTTTGAGACGCCCAGACTTCCCTAATCACCACGCTTCCTCCCAATCACCACAAGTATTTTGATCACCACAAGAGGAGACCTCAACTATCTCCTCTTGATGTGGAGAAGCAACAGCTCTACTCCGAGCTCCTCCAATGTGACTGAGTTTTTAGCCCTATCTCTAAGGGAGCGCCCAGCTACACTGCAAAGGAAACTAATGTGGACCGCTTGTTCCTTTCGGTCATTACCCAAAGCTCATGACCATAGGTGAGAGAGGGAACTGAATAACGTATAATGTGTAAAAAGCCTTATTAATAAAGTTGTATTGATTCTGATTATTAGTTGTTTAGAAAGAATAGAACAGTAATTTCCACTCACTCTCCTTTGTGACAGGTGCTGCAGGGCTCTGAGCTGAAAACACTAGACTCACTGCAGATTCCCACAGAACCATTTGACAGACAGGCCTTGGAGTTTCTGCGCAGGACCACACCTGGGCACAGCAGGAGCAGACTGCATTAGACCGGCTCATGATCAACCTCAGTCTCCCAGATAAAGGTGTGTGACAGACCAACAATAGCTGCATTTGGTACACATTTTTATGACCCACGGAAAAGGAAAACAAAACACCTTTTACATGTAATTTTGGAAGATATATTTTCTATGGAATTTATGTTAGAAATGCATTTGGCCTCACCCTGGTTTCTACATCCACTCAAAAGCATTTCACCCACTCCTAAACTGAGCTGTATGGAGTCCACTGCACTCGTCTCAGGGCTGATCTCCAAATACAACTGAAAAAAGCAAAACTCAATGAGCATATTTTACCTTCCGAGCAAATCATTATGACTGCTCTGTTCTTACTCTTGTCTCAGATTCAGTTGTGTTCAGTCGAGCCACTCCATGGACCCCAAACATGGACAGAGATACACTGAACTGTGAAGTCCAACAAAAGTAAAAGTATTGTCACTTCAAATGAGAATATTAATCATGTAGCAGAGAATAAATGGTGTCTCAGAAAGCACGGGTGAAAACAAATATTTGTGGTAATTTTGGAAGATTCATTTTATTCACAAAAATAGTAATACATTTATTTTATTTATGACTCTACTTTTAAATAAGCAAAGTGATAATGGCTCTGGGAATAATGGGTCAGAACTTTCCAAAACAAGATTTCAAGATTTCAATATTTTTATTTGTCAAACCAAGTGAATGTTTTGAAATTATATTTCTCTCATCCTTGATTGTGGAGCGGGGGGTGGGGGAAGAGGGGTGGGAGGGAGGGCAGGGAGTTCAGCTTCCTGATGGCCTTGTGAATGAAACTGTTTTTAAGTCGACTGGAACTGTTCTGTAAATCCTGCAATCTCCTCCCTGAAGGCATTACCCTGACGAGCCTGTGTGATGGGTGCGTAGGGTCCCTGGTGATTCTGACGGCTCGCCTGCTTTGAAAACTAAACTGATCTGAACCTAACATTTGCAATTTTTCTGTTTTGAAATCAGTATGATATTACCGTCTTATTGGATAATGCATAAGAATGTTTTATTTAAATGTGTAATATCATTGTTTCAGGGCAATGATAAAGTTGGGGTAGTAGAGAACATTTGTATGAGCCCTGACTACTGCAAACTAGTTGACAAATATAACAAAAATCAGATAAGAATTTATACTAAACTAGTATAGAAACTAGATACAAATTTGAGCAATAACCAATACTAGATTTAAGTACATAAACAGGACGGAATTAGACATTTATGAAGTATTTTTAATAAATGTTTAACTATATCAGAAGTGCCGGTACAACATTTTGTAGTATCAAAATAATGTTGGAAATGTATTTGGATAACACTTTGAAACTCGCTCACCTTTGTGCCGTTGCTTTCGTCCTCAATATTAAACTGGACGGAGCAGGTGGAGTTTCCATCGAGCTGTGAGGAAAAGTTGCTTTCCACTTGGTCTGACAGAGACAGAGACACGGCTCCCACCCCTGAGCTCTCAGTCCGCAGACAGTCCCCCGGAGCAGAGGCTTTGAACCCATCAAAACAGAAGTACAAGAAGCCGTTGTACTCGCTCACCTGAGAAATACACACAGACACAGACATGTATAGCACTGTGTCTCTCCGATTTTTTTTTGCAATTTAGAGGCTGTTTAATCAAAATTTGAATCCACATTTGCACATATTTGGACTAATTTCCGTTTAGAACCTTGAATACTGAGTAAAAGTGGCAATACAGATTATTTTGGGTTATTAAAAATGATAATGAGAGACTATTGACTTAATAATTTGTTCATAAAAAAATGTAATCGTGAGACAGGAGCTTTTAGACTGAAAACATCTCAAAATAATTCCATGTCTGTTTTAATATATATATGTTTGTTTCAGGGCTTACAGAGAGACACCAGACCTACATAGCTGCAACTATTACTTGCTACTAACTACTTTTTTTCTCCCTCTCGATCAATCATCTAATCCAGAGGTCGGTATCCTTTTTTAGCAGAGAAACCCAAAAAATGTCATATTAATATGTATTTCTGTGAGAGCCATACACTTTTTTTACTGTGAATTTCGGCAGTATTTTAAAACACAATCAACACATTTAGAGCGTAATATTAGTCTCAAAATATATTCTTTTTGTAATGTGAATTTACAAAAAGAATTTGAACTGAAAAAACCAATACATTTTGCATTGTTATTAATGGCGACTAAGAATTGTCTGAGAGCCAGACACAATCATCATAAGAGCCACATCTGACTCGGAAGCCATAGGTTCCTGGCCTCTGACCTATGGCTTACAAGGTTTAAATAATCCTTGTAATATTCTTTCTCGTTGTCCTCCAGTAAGTTAATGATATTGGATAAAAAGACAAAGGACAATGAAGTTCTCCCTCCTGTAGATGTATTTTTTTTGTCATTTGTTTTACATTATTTCATCATTCAATACAGCTGGTTCTTAAAGTAGCAAGCCCTTTTCTCTATTGTAAGGAGTTGAATGTATTTGTGACTAAAAGCAAGGACTACAAAAGTTGAAAAGTTGGCAGAAAAATGTATACTCACACAAAATAAAGTTATCAAAAAACAATAACAGAATACAATCACTTGCCGATTCTCCTTATCTGTCTGGTCAAAACTCACATAAACGGTTGTGTGTTGGATTCCATAGACAGTAATGGGGCAGGCTGTGATGTTGTGCTGCTTTGAGGTAACAGCTGCCTCTGTAACAAATAAAAACACATTTATTTTTATACACTGTGCTTTGTGATTTGATTTACAGTTTCATCAATTTAAGAAATACAGTGGAGTGTCAATTATTTAAAAAAATCATTGTATGAATTCTGGTTTTGTTTCACCTGTCATGTGGCTCAGAGCTGCCACAATCATGAGGAGAAGGAGCATTTTGAACCAGCTCATCCGCAGACCTGGAAGAAGAAAAAGTTACACACACAACCAGGAGTTGAGAGGATGAATGCATTTCTCCTTGGAAGCAATACAAATATACAAAGGCTGTACTCAACTTAAAATAGGTCTAAACTGGAACGAAATCTGGAAACAATATTCTGGGACCTTATTAAGGCTTGGCTTTGCTGTATCTATCTGTGGCTTGAAGTAAAAGTTTTACCAATTGTTAATCTTCCTGTCCCTATCGGCTCTTCAATGTTCTGTCTTCTGTGTGTTGTCTTCAGTGTGTTGTCTTCAGTGTGTTGTCTTCAGTGTGTTGTCTTCAGTGTGTTGTCTTCAGTGTGTTGTCTTCTGTGTGTTGTCTTCTGTGTGTTGTCTTCAGTGTGTTGTCCAAGTTCAGGGCAGAGAAGGATCTGAGAGTCCTGATTGTGAAGCCGGACTATATGCTGCTGCTCTCGGGCCCGGGGCTCCATCTCCTGACACAAAACCACTCGCCAAACCAGTCCCAGGTCGACGGACTCCTGAGAAGATGCAAATATGTGTAACATATATATCGAGAATGTATCTGACAGGAAACCATGTCTGCAACATAATGATGTGACTCAGACTTTTTCATAATTCCCCAAACAATATTCAATATAGAAAAATACTGCTTGTCTAGGGTTTGACGGTCTTGTCCAGGTTTAGTTCCTGGCTTATTTACGTACATTATATTTCAGGGCTCAATATTTATTGTCTGTAGAATATTCTATATTTGTTATAATTTTGCATTATAAGTATAAGCAGCATAGTTTTGAGGATTTCGATCTGGTTAATGTATTTTTTATTCTGCATAAAACCTCCTGAAGACCTCCGGGAGTGTTTTACCAGGAGGAGGCCCAGAGGAAGAATAGGACATGCTGGAGGGAGCTGGCCTGGGAACTCTGAAGGATTCCCCCAGATGCAGATGCCCAGATGATACAGATGTATGTATGATGGTTTTTATTTGAAAAGGCAAGGCAAGTTTATTTGTATAGCACAATTCATACACAAGGCAACTCAAAGTGCTGAACAAAACAAGAAAGCATTAAAATCATAAATAATCACAGAACATTAAAAAGGAAGCTAAAAATATAAAATCCCTCAGTTGTATGCACAGCTAAACAGCACTGTCTTTAACCTGATTTTAAACATTGTCAGAGAGGAGGCCTGTCTCACATCTTCAGGAAGATTATTCCAGATTTTATCAGCATGAATCTGAAAAGCAGCCTCCCCATGTTTAGTTCTGACTCTGGGACTCTGATAAAAGGAATGTTAGCATTAGTCTATTAGTTTATTTTGGTATGGATCCCCAATAATTGTCACAGAAGTGACAAATCGTCATCCTGAGGTCCATCATTAATCTACAAATATACAAAGTCAAAACATGGACAAAAATACATAAATCAGTCTTAATCAGTTATTTCCTTGAAATGGAAGCGCCTGACATCACTTAAAAATCTGATGGAAATGTGTTGTAGTGAAACTAAAAAACAGTTTTCCAGATGTTTCTCTGGACACAGTGACAGTTTTGTCATTGTTTGTTAATTGTCTTGTGAATCACAGACGTATACAATAAACTGTTTCAAGTCTCTTGTTATTACAAATATTGTGAAAAAGGATTCTTCAGCAGTCTTCTTTTGACTAGCAGCCATGAGTTTGACATGGAATCACAATATTAAGAGAGGCATCTTACCAAATTGTATAAATGTCCAGAGTCATAATTTATAATTATAGGTATATCACTTGGCTTCATATCAATATATATAAAATCGTTCTACAAATGTATTGTAACACATTTTTTAAGCTTTTAGGAGAATTGACCTGCCCTCTGTCCTCTGCATCATCATTCACACAGACATCTGTACATTCCAGACATATCCAGTTCTCTGTGCGCCTCTGAGGCCCATTCTCATTGTCCTTTTCCCAGCATCATGTTGCGGCTCCTGTTGCAAAAATATAGAGGCCTAATGTACAACCTTTCTCCTTTTAGCTCCTGATCGGTGTATGGTTCATTAAAACTCCTTCCGAATGTGCTGCATAATAGAAATACTGAATGTATTTTTTTATATTGAGCACATTGAACATTGTGTGCTGCAGTCCGTGGATCCAGACCAGGACTAAAGAGGTGTAACTCCGACCCCTCCTTCAGGTCCAATGGAGGGACCAATGACCAATTACATTATTATCAGAGTAGTGAGTGGTAATGTGCATTGTTCTTATATTACATAACATAACATAAGAACACAATTATATACATTCATACATACTGAGCCAAAATATTTTCTTGAATATCTTAAACAGCAGCTTTGCTTTGTAGCATTCCAAGCATTCCAGTTGGTAATTTTTATGAATGTAATGATTCCACAAATGTCATGACTCATGTTACACATACAAACTTAATAACTAATTATTACTGCATTTAGTAAGTATTATTCTAGTAGTATTATTACTTATATATATGCCTCTCTTTGAAATTGTATAAGATATATCCCCATAAATTAATCTAGATTTTTGTGCTATTCAGTAAATAAGAGGATTTTCCACTTCCGGGTGGATCATCAAGACTATTGGTCCATTGTCAATCATTCTGGTGATATGTGCTCATCAAATTAGACTAGAGAGATTTGTTCGAAAAGTGGAGAGGGCTGTTCTTTCCTAAAATTTGGAAAAATCCTCTATATATAAGTGGCAGATGTTACATGAAAATGCTTAATAGTTCGTTTAATCATGTGTTTATACTATTCTGCAGTGTATGTGACCATCCTCATGAAACTCTACATACGATATAAACAAAAGCACATTGTGAACATTAAAATCAATGTAAATGACGTATAGCTGCTTCTGAAATTGTCTTAGAAACCTTAGAATTTCATATTATGCCCTTTTATTACCAACACTGAAAGATCTTTGACTCTTCACTAATTTCTTCTGTTTTGTTTGTTGGGATGAAATCAGCCAAACTTTTCCTTCCTTGTCTCCTTGGACCAGTCCTTGAGTAAACATGCGTCCCTCCCTTCATCAAACACTCGCTCACTGCTACAGTTTGGTTCGGGGCAGGTGCAGAACAGTAGAGCTGTAAATACGGGAGAAACAACAGATGAAACCAAGCGTGAGGCGAACAACCAGAGGATCCTGCAACTGAGGTACCAAGCCACCATTTTATTTACAGTGTTGTCTTCTTAGCCTAGGTATTTAGTCTGCATCCAAATTCATAAAAATACCTCCTTCCTTATACTTCCTTCTCCGTCATAGATCTTTGATGATAGAATTCAAATTTAGATTCAGATTCATTTTATTTGCCATTTGCAGTAAAACCACATTGGAAAAACTGTGCAAGACCCCAGTGTGTACCAGACATAGAAGACGGCACACACCAGAGCCCTTGCCATTCAGTATGTATTATTGCATTTTGAATATTTTTTATTAATCTATGAGAAACTTCACAATTGGTTTTCTTACTTATTATTGTTATGGTCATGTTTTGTGCTTTAGTCCCCTTTCTCTAACAAATCTGACTTATATTGTTTTAGTTGGAGGAGCTCTCTGTACTGGGAGCAGTGGTGGGCTGGGGCTGTGGGGGTCTGGGGGTCTTCCTAATGGAAGTTCTCTGCTCTGCTCCTGGTGCAGACAGGTCTTTCCATGGTTTTATCTATTTTACCCATTGGATGTGACTGTGTGTGGGTCAAGGGTTAACTTCTTGACCAAACCTGGAGCTACCCTCTCGCAAAGAAAATACAATTTAAAAGAAAGGTAAAGAGAATGTGGTTGCTGTCTCTGTATTGAATTTTAACACAAGTAGTACATTTTCAATTCAAATCAATTTCATTTATTTTTGTACAGACTTTAAAAAACCGTTGAATTTGCCAACAAAGATCAGAGAATCAAACAGTTCAAACACAAGAAATGCAATGATAAAAAAAATATGTATTGGAAAGCTTAGGTCCCTTTTGAATAAGGCTTTAACAGATCATACATGTATAGAGAGAAAACACGGAAAATTACAACATCGTTCAAAAGTTAATTTAAGTTAATTAATTTCTGCTATTAAACCCAAAATGTAAAGTCTATATATGACATAAATTCATATGCCAAGCCCTTGTTAGTTGTAATTTTTGACCTGTACTTGGACTTTTGAACAATATTTTAATTTCCCGAGTTTCACTTCTCAAATACTGTATGTGTTGTCCTTGTATGTCATGTTGTTTTTGTCTTTGTGCAACCTCGAGGCTTACTCACTTTGTAAATACTCTGTTCCTTACTCTAACACTAACCCAAACTTGACGTAACACAGAAAAGACATAGAGACATTTTTTTGGCTGAACATGAGTAGATTTTAAACAATTATGGTAGAAATGTTCATAATAATTAGATTTGAGTTTTGAGTTGACAGTGTGATGTTTTTATTTATGGTTTTAAGGTTCTGATCTGAGTCGTGCTGGAGAATGCATAGATTCTTGAGTATTTGGACATAATGTAAAAAAGAACCCTTCGCCTGTCCTGGCTCCAGCGGAAGATGTCGATCAGCGCCACTCTGACCAAAGTGTGGAACTTACCCGGCCGCAGCGACAGGAAGGTCACGCTCAAGTTCAGAGGTGAAACAAGAATGAGATAAGACTGTTTTGTGACGTCTGGTTCCATTTGTGTCTAAATCATGTCCGTCTCTTTGTCAGGTTTCAGTCACAAAACTAGGATCCTTCAGTGTGAGGAAACGGCAGTCTTCAATGAGGTTAAACACTAATCCACAACACAACTTCATCCAACTACACAACTAAATCCAACTACACAACTACAGTACATTACCAAATTCAAATTCAGTGTATTTTCAATGTGCAGTAAAACCACTTTGGAATACCACGATTAGGACGACAGTAGCTTCATATGTAGATTTGTTCAGTCTGCAAGAAAGAGGCAGCATTTTTTAACCTTAAAGATGCAGTAAGCGATGTTGTTAGCTTAGCTGTAGCACCAACTGGAAACCACTCCCCCCTCCCCTCGCCTCTCCACCGAACCAAACATCCAGCATTTTCTTTTCTTTGTCACAACAGGGAGAGTGGGTGACAAACGTGATATTGGCATTTTCTGTTCAGCCCTTTTAGGTTTCAGAAAATCCGATAACTCCGGTGCACTCGCGAGAAACAGGAAGAGGGTGAAGGGGGTAAACGCATCCCATTGGTTTATTTTTATCATTCCGCTCCACAATATTTTTTATTAATTTTTGGAGACTACAGGCATCTGGTCAATCCCATTACTATTTGAAAACACATGATAACTTGACTACTTTTAACAATTAACGATTTAAGTTGTGTGAAGGAAGAAATAATACAAAACAATAATGTGCCCTGGAGTTTAAAGCAGCCGTATGTAATATGTTAATTTCAAATCTCGTCAAAATTGTTTATTTGTGTCCCCAGATAACAGGCCAATGTCTACAAATCGCATATGACTATTTCTGGACAAAAGTTAATTCTTGATTAAAAATGCAACAGACATGTTTTTGATCTCTGCTCTTTGATTATCCAGTCAGAGAGCAAAATGAGGCTGTCATTTGGGTTGCCAGTTTGTTAGGTGTAGTTTAGCTGGTTCAATCAATCACACAGCCCCGATCGCATACGGCATAAATCATCACATGAATCATTAACATTAAGATCACAAAGGTGGTGTTAGCGTCCCGTGCCCACTGGGAGGCGTCAGAGCGCCGTTGGTGGATCGCCAGTTGTCCCAGGGGAGGAATGTTCTCTGGAGTGAGAGCAGAACTTTGATCTCTGATCTCGCCGGGTAGGGGGCAGAGATGTTTAGTCCCGTACTCGATTTATTGCTCCCTGGTTGACGGTCGTTAGCTCTATGACCGATGATAGTTCTCCGTCCGACCCTCGTTATTCCTCAGATGTAGCTCATGAGGGTCGTTTCCCCGGAGCGCATGTTTACGTCGTTCGGCTGGCTGGTTAATGTCTGACTGGGGCCAGGTTTGCGGAGTGTGTCCTCTGCGTCACCAGCTATGCAACGTTTCTGTCAGGGATCTACTGCTTCTTTACTGCTCTGTATTGTGCTTTAAACTGCTTTCCTCACGAGGGAAAAGCAGGTGAATCCTGGGACTGTGACTATAACTGTGTATTTCTTTGCTTTAAGATACATTTTTGTCGTTCTACAGTATTTCCGCTGGCCTCACTATGGTAACCTGAGAAGAGATGAAGCACTGTCCATCTGTGTTTACAACTGCAGCAGAATATTCTCCAACAGGTCAGTTCCCAATCTAAAGCTGGGATATCTAATTCCCTCCACAATATTATTTTTTTCCGTGGATTTGGCTCATTTCCTGAAACTGAAACGACATTCTCAAAATAAATCTCTATAGAACCTTGTATTTGTTTAAAACTGAGTGTCATTCATCCAATTACAAATCTGAGTCGGAGTTATAGGTTAGGGTTGGGGTTACAGGTGTGGTCCGGGGTTAAAAAAATAAATAGAAGGAAAACTGCAATTGGCAGTTTTACGTTACGAAGGAATGTGGAAAAATTACCATACAAAGTAACCAGCTTATATTTAGGATTGATAAATAATTAAATATGGTTTTTTTTATGAGAATATTGGTATAACATGCCATAATAGCTCATTACTATCAATGTCATAAGTCAATGATAACAATAATTGAAAATAATATGTAGACCCAGTGAAAAGGGTCTGAGTCTGACCTGTCTTAGTACATCTCTCAGTGTCTCGGTGCCTCTTTACAAATGGTTGTGTGAAGTTGCCTACAGTAGGATAAAACTACAGTATTTAAATGTCTCCTTGACCTCCCCCTCTCTGCTCTCGTTGCAGACTGCTGGGTCAGTTGGAAGTCAGCCTGCAGCATGTGTTAACATCTGGGCGGTTAATTGTCAGAGAGCCACTGACAGATGCCAACTACAGTCTCACAGATGTAAGTGAAAACACAGGCTATGTATATTTTTATTTTGGGAGAGTTGGGCTGTTGTCAGTTTTAATTGAGTTTATAGACTTCATCAAGTTTTAGCAGCTATAGGACGCTGGTTTGTTGTCAAAACAGACTGGTGAAAGAGCACCGGTTAAAGCAGCTGTTAAACATCTTAACCTGACTTGCCCAAGGGCCGGCAACATAGATTGTGAAACTGTTTTAACGGTGTGGGCTCTTCTGGGCTTTAAAATAGTCCGTAAATTATGTCAGTATTTACAAATTAAGGACTTTAAGGACTTTTGAAGCTATAGGACCATTGTTTATTGTCAAAATAGACGGGTGAATGAGTTCTGCCATGGAAGCTAACGGTTAAACTGTTAAACACCTCATCATTAAATCCTGTTGTGACCAGTTAAGACAGTCGTTTATCTGCTACATTATAAAATGAAGATATTTTAAAGTACGGCCTATATATGGACAAAATGCACTCTCTTATCAAATTTGGCTGTGCATCTTTTTTACAACTGCTCTTAATAGTCCAGAAAGTACTGAAGGCTAATCAATTCTTACTTTCTTATTGGAAAATTGATACAGTACGTGTCTAAAATTGGCTTAACAAATGTTGCGGTATCTTATATGTAGCAGGCTATGATCGTGAATGTTGAATGTTTTAATTAATGTTTTATGTTTATTTGAACATAGAATAAATATAAAAAAACAGTAAGAACAAAAACAAAAGCAAAACATCCATCCATCCATCCATTTTCTACCCTTTAATCCATTTCTGGGTCAGGGGGGTGGCAGTCAGAGATGCCACCCAAGTCTCATAGCACCAGCCCCTCACTGACCCTCTGCAGGTGGTGAGTCCACAGGAGGACGGCTGCTCTCTGAGTGTGAGCATAGCCTTGATCTTTCAGTGGGGGCTTTGGGCAAAGTGGGGTTAAGTGTCTTGCCCAAGGACACAACGACAGCAGTCATCAGTGGGAGTCGGTGGAGAAGGTGCAGAGGTGGGAATTGAACCCACGACCTTCAGGCCTGAAGGCCAATGCTCTACCAACTGAGCTACTGTCGCAAAAGCAAAACAAGCAAAACAAACGACAATAAATACAAGACAAAAAAAGAAAGGAAAAAACCCCATATGTATTCATGCGTCACAGAGGCTTTTGACATTAAACTGTGCATTTACATTGGATACAAGCAGTTACAAATCATACTGGGAGGCAAATCTTCTCACTTACAAAAAACATTTCTTAAGCACTAAAATCATTCATAATTGAGAAATGTACATGTTTTTTGATGGATAGGATTAACACTAAATGACTTTCCACTGCATTATTTCTGTTCTAATTAGATGTACATTGAGTTGGACATAAGGTACCACCCAGTTCAAGGAGCAGCGGGAAACTGGGACGGACAGGACTTCCGATTAGAAGACAAAGACGAGTGAGTCACACAGAATATTACCATAATTTACAAAAAAAATGTGCTTAACTTAAACTTAAACAATGTAGATGTAGTTGTTTGTTTAACGTGTATAATAGTTTGGATAAGGTCTTGCAAGTAGATATTTATCATTGTTGTTACATGAGTCTTGTTACATGGGCTGAGTAGCACTCTCGCTTCTCAGCCAGAAGGTCCTGGGTTCGAATCCCAATCGGAACAGGGCCTTTCTGAGTGGAGTTTGCATGTTTTCCCCGTATCTGCGTAGGTTTCCTCCGAGTGCTCCGGTTTCCCCTACCAGATGAGTGAGTGAATGGATTTTGTTGGGGGCTTTGATGCTCCAGTGTGTTCGGGGTCGCTACATGAATAAACATGACTTACTTACTTATCCAGCCCTGCAGAAACCATATGTCACAGTAAAATAATAACTTTCTGATGCTTTGTTTCCAGTTCCTGTCTTGTGATCAGAAACGATGCTTTTAATGAAGTCGAAAGGTGAGTAATGTAAGTTTTTTCATGGACAGTGTTAAATATATGTATGATTTTTATCCACTGGTTTGTAGTCAGCTGACCGTGGTCCGTCCCAGTCAGTTGGAGCGTGAGGTTCGCCGTTTGGGACGAGAGCTTGTGAAGAGTGGTGACGATGACTGTGACAGCGATGAAGACTGGGACGAAGATTACTCTGAACTTGCATCGGTTACATTCACACAGCTGCTCAGGTACAGGCTGAGGAGTTGTTTTGCAGTTTTAAAATGTAATAGATTTGGTAGATCACTTTTTGAGTCACTACTTGAAGCTTGGAACTGAAATCTACCTCTTTGGGGCATTTCACTTGATTTTAGGCACTTTCACCATCAAACCGCATCTCAAACATTTGGTAAAGGCCTATAATGAAGAAGGGTATTTTGTATTTTTGTGTAATAGGGTTTTTTGTGTGATAAGTGCTCCTAAATCTAAGAAAATCCCAAAAGAAAAAAATATATTTCTTTCTTCAAGGAGTGAACATCAAAGGGCTAAAGAAGAAATATTATGCATTATCTTTGGCTATCAAAAAACTATTAGACTATCAGACTATTTACTTTGTCATTTCATGTTTTAGAATGTGGAATAATATCTTAAGTGGAAGATATATGGTGAAGTGTGAAGAGTAAATAATGCTATTGGCCTGTTCTATCCCTATGCTACCACCAGAGGGTACCACTATGACATGACTCTTTCTGTTGGAACAAACTACCTGTATTATTTATGAAAACAAAAGTTAGTAGCCACAGCTTTAAGTGCTCAAAATATTGCATGAAACTTGTATAATGTGAGAAGAGCTGTTATTTCTGTTACAACATGCACTTTGTTTATTCAGTCGCTGCAGAGCTCTGTCCAAGAGAGAAGCAGCAGCCGCTCCCAGAGTCCACAGCTTCCAGGTCAGGCCTTTGTCAAATCACTCATTTAAAGGAACATGTTTAGAAATGTTGATTAAGATAACTACCACCAGAAACCAGCCATGCATAAGGAAAGGCTGTTTTGTTTTTCTATGTGTCCAGATAAGTGTGAATATTCTGGAGGCGCAGAAGCTGGCTGGAGTCAACATAAACCCAGTGGTGTTTATCCGAGTGGGGAACCACAAGAGACACACAGCCACACAGAAGTCCACCAACTGTCCGTACTACAACGAGGTAAACGCCATTCAATTGCGTGAGACTAAATGTAATAGATAAGTCAAGATTCTGCCTCACAAAAAGAGTGATATGTGTGCTTTAAACAGGTGGAAAGTTTATTTATTTATTCTTTAAATATGAAAACCAATACAGGATTTGCCGATGCAGAGGGTCTGAGAACAGTGGTGATGATCCTGGACACTTGACATTAAACAACATTTTTTAAATATTTTAAGTACTAATGTTCCGTTATGAATGTTTTGCTACCTTAAAAGGGACTACTGATTGTCTCACAAGTAGCATTTCAATGTAAAAGTAATTCTTACAACACGGTATCACTCTCGCTTCTCAGCAAGAATCCCGGTCGGAACAGGGCTTTTCTGAGTGGAGTTTGCATGTTCTCCCTGTGTCTGCGTATGTTTCCTCCGGGTGGTTTCCCCTACCACTAAAAAACATGCACAATATGAATGTTAATGAGAGAGTGAATGGAAGCTTTGATGGTCCAGTGTGTTCGACGTCTCGCTTCCGTCATCACCGTGTGGAGAGAATGGAACGACATCTCAATTCTGAACAATGTAAAGCACTTTAGGTGACCTTGGTCTGTAAAGAGTGCATTTATATTGACTCATTGACTGCCATTGACGTATTTGTCTGAGACCATCTGTTCGACTGGGGATTACAGGACAATAAAAATAGCTAGAAAGAAACTTATTTTATCTGATGAAAGAAGACAATCCAGTCTTTCAGAATCTGGTTTCATATTTCACATAGTCTTAGGAAATAATATTCTGTGGGTCTTGAGAATCAGTGAAATCATCAAAAACAGCTGGTAGTCAATGAGTTAACCATTCATATATTAACCTCTTGTTCTTGTTGCAGAATTTTGTGTTTGAGCTCCAGGAGGCTCCAGAGATGCTTTTCGACAAAGTCATTGAGATCAAGGTACGTGTGTGTTTGTTCACTAAGCAATTTTTTAAGCTATGGATTATTCAAATTACAATCACTATGATATGTCACTGTCTGTTTGAGGCATTCTTTACAGTCCTATTTCATTGGTAATTTCAGGTGTGCCATAGAAAGACACTGCCATTTCTCTTGAAACTGATCGGCTTGTTCAAAATGGACATAAGGACTGTCTTTAACCAACCAGGTACCAGATGTTTGTCTTCTGTGTTGCAAACAAATAAATTGCACAGCTTTCAATCGCAATCGGTTTCATCTCCCAACACCTGCTGTTGTCCAATCTCTGCAGACAAGTGTCATGTTGATACTACAGTGATGGTTTAAAAGCTGCGCAGTGTGTGTGTGTGTGTGTGTGTGTGTGTCTACTGTACTGCTTTTGTATTGTTCCTTACCGTCTTGTCTCTGTGATAAATGGGTGAGGGGCATTTGGATTTGTGTAGATGTTTTTTTCATCCATGCCTTTTTCAATTCAATCTCGAACAGACAAAACATAGTATTACATAGTATAACAATATTTTCAAGATTACATTTATTGTGCTGAACAGAATGTGGTTAGGATTTGGCCTTGCACGATTGCTGAAGGGGAAAGAGATTATGAGATGAAATCCCCTGGGGCCTAGACCCTGGTGGTGGTAGTTAGGAGAAGGATGAAGGAGCTGGCCTAGAATAAGGTAGATGGGGAGGAGGAGGGTTGCAGCTTCTGCGTGATATGAAGCTGATGCGGGCAGTGCCTGATTTTTGCAGGTGAGGATTTGCGTGAGGTGCTGCACAACTGAGTGTGATTGACTGATTTCTGTTGCTGTGGGCAACAGCAGGAGAACTAAGCGCTCTTGTCTGGGTTCTCATGTCTTCCACTCTGAATTTGCGCTTAAGCTTCTCAACTGTCTGTTATTCTGTTGTTTTGTTCTGTAAAATGATATTGTATTTTTTTCAAAACTATTGGTCCATTGGTCCATGAGGGACAGATGATCAATGTCCATAAATGATGATAAACGTCCATAGATGTAGTTTTGTATCTGATTCGTGCAACTTTTACATTGCTACTGCAGACCAGCGCTTCTACCAGCAGTGGGCGCCGCTGTGTGACCCCTCCGACACACGCTCCGGGGTGAAAGGCTTCGTGAAGGCGACGGTCGGGGTCCTGATGAAAGGAGACAGTGTGGGGACCAATGAGCTCACGTCAGGATCCAACGGTTCGCCAGAAATCGAAAAGTTAGCTACGTATATTTCTACCTGTGTTTTCATTTATCTATTTTATTTTATTCAGTTTTAATTCACGTAAAGGATCGGTTCAATCACTGAACTGGCTCTCAAACTTCAGTTGCGGTCTTAGGCAGGACACAACAATCTATTAGTATCAATGCTGAAATTTTATCATTATTCATTATTTAATAGATTATTGACCCATATGTATCTAAACAATGCTACTGTTTGACTGTGAAAATGGAAGGAGTCAATTTGTGACCTATTCTACTACAATTGAGAAGCAATCTCTCCAAAAGTGTCTTGTTATAGATGAGTAATTTCTCAATTATTAAACAGTTTCTCAGTTTTTGTTGTGACGTCTATATTTGTCATCAAACTAAGCCTTCAGGAGATACTGCTCCGATGTGCACAAGTTGGCTGAAAACATAACTTCTCTTGAACCACAGAAACCTGATGCTGCCCCGGGGCATGGCCAAAGACCGACCCTGGGCCCGGTTCAGGGTTCGGATTTACCGAGCCGAGGGACTTCCCGCCATGGACTCTGGACTCATGGCGCGGATGGCTGTGTCTGACCGCACTGTGTTCATCGACCCGTATGTGCAGGTCACCTTCTGCGGACAGCAAGTGAGGAAAACACTAAATACTTTATTGATGTTGTCCATGAAAAGGTCTTTGCTGTGTTTTTATGTATTTAAAATAAAGAAAACCTTTATTTATTATTACATTACAGAACAGTAGCTATTAGAGCTAAGAACAAAAGCCTAAAATCTACGCAAAAAAAATCCACTTTACTTTGTCATTTTCCACGTGAATAATCACTAACAGCTGTCAGAGAAAATGTATTGAAGATAAGATTTAATTTCTCTTAATATCTTATAGTTGTGGTAAAAAAGTTCAGAGTGAAAACAAGCACTAGTCAGCCCCGCCCATGCTCATCTCTGCAGCTCCCTGATTGGATGAAATAAATTAAAATCCTTGAGGCCCCTCCTAATTGGTTTAACTATTCTCCTCCAGCAGATATTACTGTTATGTCAAGGGGAGGGACAATAGTGAGACAATAGTATAGTGGCCCATGATCTGAAATGTCTCTTATTTTTTGTTCTTACTTGCTTTTTATTATTATTATGAAATGTAGTATACAGTATTCTTGCATTCAGGTCTCAGTCAAGATGTAGCCACGCAAGATAATGATAAATAAGAATAAATATCTCTTCTTTTAATAATACAATTTAGGTGATAAAGGCCTATTGATTTAAGTCACAAATACAACTATTTCAGTCAACAAAGGACAAATACTGTAACTAAAGTAGAACATAAACAGAGATCATAAATGGAATGATGGAGACTTTCTTCCTCTTGTCATTTACAGACACACACACAACCATATACACACATACATACATGAACCCTGCTGCCTTGTTTCGTCTTTCAGGGTGAGACGTCGGTTGCCGGAGCGAGTAGTTCTCCCGTTTGGAACGAGGAGATTTCGTTCATCGAACAGTTTCCACCTTTGGCTCAACGAATCAGAATCCAGATCCTCGATGACGCCAAGACGGGAGACGTGGCTTTGGCAACACACTTCTTAGATTTACAGCAGATCTCAGACCCGACTAGGAACGGTGAGTTTTGTTGGTCCGACAAGGTTAAAGCTGGGGTACCTACTTTTTTTTAAAATAACTCATACATTTTGTTTGTTGGTTTTGTATTTTAAAAAGTATCAATTTCAGTACAAATAAACCAAAACTTCTTATGTCAATCTCATGTTATCTTTCGTCTACTAAGTAAGTATAGTGAGGGGTGTTCTCTCTCTTTTGTTTTGTCTAAAAAAAAGCGGCACTAAAGAATATGTCACTGAGGCTAATATAGATGCATGTGAAATCTGGGGATAAAACCAATCTGTTTTGAATGCGAGGAGTTTAATATTTTAACAGTACATTAATTGTGGTTTGAAAGCCAGGTACCCCAGCATTAAATAATTAACAAGATACATTTCTATAATCTGGACATTGTTTATAAAAATGTATGTATTTTAGGTTTTAACCCCACGTTTGGGCCAAGTTGGGTGAATTTGTACGGATCGCCTCAGAACTCTACTCTCAGAGACATACACCAGGTGTGGGAAAAGCAACCACTTTGTCTGTTTGTACCAAGAACTATTTTCTTTCTTAACGTGAAAGATTTGTTTTGTTTGTACGTTTGCTCCTGAACGCTTTCTTCTTGTCCTACTTTTCACCGGGTTAAACCTATTATTGATCTATGGTTGAATACCGGTTTAAAGTCCAGTTTATACCCTATTTTTGTTCTGCCAGGCTCTGAATGAAGGACTTGGAGAGGGCATTTTCTATCGAGGCCGAATTCTGATTGCTCTTAGTGTGGAAGTCTACTCTTCTCCATCAGCTGCCAACGAGGTCCAACCGGGTCCAGTGACAAAGGCAAGATTTATGTTTTGATAATCCATTAGTTGTCAAATAATATTGGATTTGTTTTTTACGCATTTGTCCAAAACAAGGCTCTATTGATGCTCCTGAAAACCTCTTCATAGATATGATTGTTACACATTGGGTTGTTTGATTGAAATTCTGGGTAAACACATTTTTTGGGTCATAAAACCTATTCCCAGCACGTTTCAGTCTAAGTAATGTGGATGAATTGTTATTAAATTAGTGGACAAATACCTGATTTTCAAATTCGATTAACTTCTTACAGACCTATTGCAATTGATTGCTCTATTGAATTAATGTGTTATTTTCATCCAATCTATCTGCAATATTTCCAAAAACAGATATAGCGGAAAGTCATCCTTAAATGTTGTTATTTTATATCCCTACTCTTGCCTTCCAACAACATCCCTATAAGAATATTGGATGTCTGCTACCCTCCCAACACCCTCCCTCTGCTAGACACAAAAAATCCTGAAATGGGAAAATAAACAGTGCATTTCAATCAATTTAACTTGACAAACTCATGTAATTGAAGGTGAAAGGAGCTCTGGGAATGAGGAGGAAGAGGAGCAGTAAGAGGAAGAGCCAGGAACAAAGCACAGGTCTGTCCAGCAGCGCGTGGCTTTATCACCGCGACATAAACTCATTCTCTTCAGTCATGGTCTCTCTGCGTCTGTTGCAGCTCCTCGGGCAGCAGCTGCAGACGCCGTCGAGGACTTTGGGGAGGTTCCTGAAGCGGTAACCGTGGAAACAGAGGAAATACATCCACTGCCTGAGGTCAGACACGTTGAAATCTACTACAAAGATGCATGAGGAAATGAGAATGTGTGTGTCTGAGTTTGACATTTATTGTTTCTTGTTGTGAATAAGTGGGGAATTGTCAGTATTGTCACGCATATTATAAAAGAGTAGGATGAGAAGGAGAACTCACAAATGAATGAAATGAAAAACAGATATCACATAATCAACGCTGTGAATAGTCCATATCACATGTTATGTGTACATAACATAACACAACATGTACATAACATACTAAAAATATGTACAATAGGTCTGGCATGCGCCTCCTGTTCGGCGACCCCGCTCCCATCTCTGTGTGGAGTGAGAGGACAAGTGCCCAAAAATAACAATTGTAAACCGCTTTGTGACTCTGGTAAATAAAGCTTAAAGCTTATGTTCAATTTAACAACATCAAAAGTTTAGATCCAATCCAAATGTTTTAGTGAGTTAGTTTATTTTACTAGATAGATAGATAGATACTTTATTGATCCCCCGTAGGAGAAATTCAGGTGTCCAGTAGCAGAAGACTCTTTTTTGTTGTTGTACAGTCAGTCAGGTTGGTTGAACAGTCTGACAGCCGACTAAAAATCATAAGCTAAAAATAAAACTTAAAGGTATATAGGAGGATTATCTACTTCCGGGTGGGTCATCAAGACTATTGGTCCTCCTGATTGTCAGAGAGTTTTGTTCAAAAAGTGGAGAGGGCGGTTCTTTCCTTAAATTTGGGGAAATCCTCCTATATACATTTAACTAGGTACGTTTCAATTCAGAAAGTATTGATTCTAAAAAGGTCATATTCAACGTGGTATCAGAATTGTTATCAAGGACCAAGTCTTTTTAATATCATAAGAATAATTCGCTTTTCCTTTCCACTATAAACACGGGTTTTTATAAAATTCACCTTGAAAACAAGTTTCCTGTTTCAACATTTCAATATTATTCAGAGCTTTCTTGCACACCAAAGCCTTTACACACATCTTTTTTCTCACTTTTCAGCATTTTTTCCAGTACTTTTACACAATTGCCATTACACACACAGTCATAGTTCAGCTTCTAGTTTATTTACTCAATATTTATGTCCGTTTTGTCAATCAGGAACTTTTTGTATTGACAGAGTATTCTGGGGGAGAAGCAGGAGTTTGTGCTGTTTGCGTCGCTGTTTGAGATCACAATGATGGACCTGAGAGTGGGCAACAAGCCACTTAACTTCGAACTCTCCATCGGTAACAAATCCTTAATAAAAACAGTTGTAAGAGATCATTTTTTTGAGTTATTACATTTAGATAGGTCTGTTTTCCCTTGTTTCTCAGGTAACTTTGGTAAGGCAGTGGAGGTGGCGCAGAGACGAGCTCAGAGCAGAGAAGAGCTTGGTGGGAGCAGACAGGAGCTGAACGAGGACAGCCAGACCCTGCTGGAGTCTGAGGAGGACCTAGACCAGGACCCGGACCGACCGCAGACCCCAGACCCAGACCTGGAACCAGAACCTGATAACCACTCTGTGACCGATCCAATGAGGCCAGAGTTCACAGAGTATGACAGGTAACATACAAGGAAAATATGTTGTCCACAGCATAGCATAAGATTATTCATAATTCAATATAGAATTTAAATATGGGATTTCTCTCCAAGGCTGCAATTTGTTCCGTTTTATTCTCAGTTCTGGCTCAAATCATTTTTTATTTTTTTTATAGTAGTAGTATAAAATAAATATCTTGCTTTGATACTGTCAATACTGAGTAACAATTATTATTCATTATGAGTTCTATTTCATCAACAATAACAATATCCTCCAATTACCCCCAATTTAAGGCAAGTTTATTTCTATTGCACAGTTCATATTCCCCATGTTTAGTCCTGACTCTGTGCAATAGCAGGAGACCAGTCCCTGTGCTCCTCAGAGTCCCAGCAGGAGACCAGTCCCTGTGCTCCTCAGAGTCCGAAGAGGAGGCCAGTCCCTGTGCTCCTCAGAGTCCAAGTTGGTTCATATGGGACTAACATGTCACTGATGGAGTTTGGTGCGAGGCCATGGACAGACTCGAAACAAACAGAGCTGCGTTAAAGTCTATCCCCTAAATGTATTAAACTATTGATACTATTTAAATCTGTAAATAATTTGATCTAGAAAGAAGTGTTGTTTCATTGCATTAATATTTTTTCAGACCTTTCCTGTTTCTCTTTCTGGCTTTTGTAGGTCTTTCCGGTGCATCCCTCTGCAGTCCGGGTCCAAACCCTGTCTCTGGGTCCTGTCCCGGTTTGAAGACCACAGCCCACGTCTGCATCAGTCCAGCTGGCTCTGCAAGATCTCCGACCGGCTGGAACTGGGTCTGGACCAGGTGGAGAGGCTTCTGCGGAGGCCCGGATCCAATGCTAAGAACAGACTGCAGGAGGCGCTGTTGGAGCTCATCGCATCCTGCAAGTATGGGATGATTCTGGCTATGGCTCTGAACCAGGTTTTTACAAGGACTAAATAAGTAATGCAGCTAAATTCAGAAAACAATTCCTCCCTCATTATAGTTCCTTGTCCTTCCTTCTTTTCATCAAGATAGTGGCTTTATTAAATGAATAGTGAAAGAATATCTTTTTTGTCTTCTGTGATAGAAATTCATCTTTTGCCCACATATATAAACACTGAAAGAATACATTTAAGAATAAAATTCAGCCCTAATAAAATGCAATAAATGCAGAATGTATCAATTCATTTCCATGAGTTTATCTGATCCAACTGCAGTGTTTAGAACGACGACAGCTGCGGGTAAATTATTTTTAAAGGTTTTTCTTTTCCTTTGACCAAACCTGGAGCTACCATGACACATGAAAGTCTATAAGAAAGCCCAAAGAGGTATTTGTATTTTTTCATATGAAAATATACTGATATAACATGACAATAGACCATGTTTCAGACGTCTGTGTGAAGTTTCTGTTTGGTTTTTAAAGGTCTCTCCGAACATGGTAATATTATCAGATCTATTGTTATGTTCACTGATATCAATCTGAACAACTCTTTAGAAAGACAATGACCAAACTTCAATGGAGCCATAATAAGCCTCACACAGACCTGAGCTTGGTTTTAACACGTGTCTTGCTCTCAGACATTTCAGCGTATTTTCGGACAGACGCTCTCAGTTCAGACCCAACACTTTGGACCGTCAGCGGAAAGACTTCATCAAGAAGAACCTGGTGAGTCCTGGCAGCTCTGAGGAACTGGTTCACATTTGTTTAGGTATAGTCCAGGTTTAGTCCAGTAAAAGCTCTCATATTGTCTCCCACCTCTGCTCTCTTGCCAGGTTTTTGAAAAAAGTGTATTTATCATCGTTTTCTCCTCTCACTTTTCCTTTAATGTCTCTTTTTGTGGAAACTTTTACAGGTGATCTTGGCCCGTCAGGCAGTTAGAACGCGCAGGAGAATCACAAAAAGAAATATCAAACAGAAGCTCAATGATGCTAGAAAGATCCTCCGCAAGCTCCGTCTCCTTTCTCAAGAGGTGAGAGAAATATTTTCAGAATCTTTAAAGAATTCACATTTGGCATCAGATCTTGTTGATGGTGATCGGGAATCGTCACAGCAGTGAAAGAAGTGAGGGGAAAAAACTTTGTTGTCAGGCTGTTTTGATATATGCCTCATTTGCATTCATGTGTGCATTCATTGTGCTATAAATTAATTTTCCTCCCTTCTTTCCTCCTTCCTAATTAATACGAACCAATCCAACAGCACTGTGATTGGTTCTTTCAAACACAGCAGCAGAGAGAAGATGAGTTGGCAAATTTCCTTATAAAGATTTATTTTTTTCAAGAGTGAGGGAAGGATAGAGCATGAGATTGACAGGCGAATTGGAGCAGAGTGTGCAGTGATGCGGTCGCTGTATCGGATTGTCGTGGTGAAGAGAGAGCTGAGCCGAAAGGCAAAGCTCTCGATTTACCGGTCAATCTTCGTTCCCTCCCTCACCTATGGTCATGAGCTTTGGGTAATGACCGAAAGAACGAGATCGCGGATACAAGCGGTCTAAATGAGCTTCCTCCGCAGAGTGGCTGAGCGCTCCCTTAGAGATAGGGTGAGGAGCTCGGTCACACGGGAGGAGCTCGGAGTAGAGCCGCTGCTCCTTCACGTCGAGAGGAACCAGTTTTCAAAGGCTCAGGCATCTGTTCCGGATGCCCCCCGGACGCCTCCCTGGGGAGGTGTTCAGGGCACGTCCCACCGGGAGGAGACCCCGGGGAAGACCCAGGACCCGCGGAGGGACTATGTCTCTCAGCCGGGTCCCCCCGGACGAGCTGGAGGAAGTGTGTGTGGATAGGGAAGTCTGGGCGTCTTTGCTTAGACTGCTGCACCCGCGACCCGGCAACGGATGAAGCGGAATAAAGGGATGGATGGATGGAGATTTTTTTAAACCTATTTTTACTCTTGCACCTTGAGCCAAAGCAAATTTCTAGTCAGTGACTTCCTGTGACTTACAATGGCAATAAAACAGAATTGATAGTGCAGTTTAATTAAGGTAAAAACAGATGGTATTTTGCTGGTGTTTTCATTGTCGAACGCTTCCTAGCTTCCTCCGACCATGACCAAAGCCAAACGGTTTATTTTTTGCCCGTTTGTTTGCCTCCAGCCTCAGAGCACACTTCCTGATGTGTTGCTATGGTTACGCAGTGGGAGGAAGCGATTGGCCTACGTCCGGATCCCTGCTTACTCAATCCTCTTCTCCATGGTCGAGGAGCAGAAGGGGCGGGACTGCGGCCACGTGTCCACTTTTTACATGAAAGTGAGTTTGAGATTATTCTATAATAAGTCTTGTTGTCTTTTTTGTCGTCTTCAATCGGACGTAATTTTGAAATGTGAAGTTAGAAACAGAAATTCTCTCTAGCTAGAGTTCTGCATGCTTCTTTTCTCTCTAATGGGTTTTTACCCTGCAGTCTCCGGGTTCAGCTCCCGGGGAGGTGTTCGCGAAGCTGGAGCTGTACCTTTGGCTGGGGCAAAGCAAATACAGTAAAGAGGCTTTGGGCTCGTTACCAGAGGACTTCACACCTGTGCGCACTCCAGAGGAGGGGGCGGGGCCACCGAGCAGTGCACTTCCTGTCAGCCTGGTCTGTCAAGGTGAGTTAGTAGCCGTTCAGATTCCGATTCACTATATTTATCCCAGCAGGGGCAGTTAAGGGATAAAAGACACTTACAAAAACACAGGAAATATGCAATGAGAAGAATGCAAACTATACATATATAACTAACTATAAACTATAACTATAGAAGCTCAAACACACTAAAGTCCATCACCAACAAGCTACAGAGGGTTCAGCAGCCTAATAGCAGGTGGGACTCAAAAGATGGCGGTTGGTTTTATAATATGGAGAAACAGAACGTCTTACTGATGGAAGCAGTGAACACATTTGGAGATGAGACCTGCTCCAGATGCAGAGTTATTCTAAACCAGATGAATTAAGCAAGTGCTAAATCACTTTCTCACGATCAGTTGCCTCTGTCAAACTCCAAAAACTGTCAACAGATTTGCACGTTTCGACTATTTTTGTCATTGTGCAAAAGATTAAGGAACCAACACATAAAGGAGAAGCACTAAAGGCTCTCAATGAAGGCCTGATAAAACCGAGACAAAATAGTGGAGCTGACGGCAAAGTATTTTAACTGCTGGCTGCGTTTCACAATACTGTGCTTGAGTGCTCTTTCAGAACGCCTGGATTTCAGACCAGAGCAGGAGAGTGAAGGCGGGTGGACAGGAGAAAACCACTTGGAATTAACTTGGACACAGCAGCAGCTCGAGATCATGAGAAGCTTCAGATCCCAGATAAAAATGGACTAAAACTGTGGGAAGGCTGCTGTTTCCCTCACACTGACGCACACACACACACACACACACACACACACACACACACACACACACACACACACACACACACACACACACACACACACACACACACACACACACACACACACACACACACACACACACACACACACACACACACACACACACACACACACACACACACACACACACACACACCATCACAGCAAAGTATCATTACATTGTATAACCTCCTGCTTCATTCATGTTAAATAATCTATGTTTAACTCCTCAACAATCATATCAATCACCTTGTCTAAACTCTAAAGAAGCCTGGAACCTGTCTCTCTCATAATAAACATCTACAATGAGACAAAAGTGAAGAACAGGGGGAAATCAATACAGCTGAGTAGAATCACAAAAGATGCGGGGGTTCCAATCAGCTGTCAGCCGCTCTCCGGTGAACCCCACTGCATTATGGGGAATGTAGTGCGGTTCACAGCTGCTCCTACTCTGCTTCACTGCCTCTCAGATCTGAGTGGTCACCGGGAGCAAATTGAGAGCCAGTGGAACAGATGTCCTTCCGTCTGACAGCCAAGCAACTCACAGACAACTATCAGACTCTGAAATGCACACAAAGTCTCAGTACATGTGCCATACACTTACATATATACAATGAGGAGACAAGGGACTGGACTTGGCTTTCAGCTTGTGTATTACAGCTTAACAATGTAACTTAATTTTTGAATAAACGTAACTTTTGTACATGCGTAAATACAGTGGAACAGAAACAACTTACTATTATCAATGCATAACAACATGAAAAAAATAGCAAAAATGTGAGTGAATTTCAATCTGTTCCAGTGGCGGTTCTGGCCTAATCGACTCCCTGGGGGAACAACACCCCTCCCCCAGCCCATGAGCCTTGTGGGCCGCTGGTCTTGATCCATTGTTTACTCCACACATTCACTGAGATGAGGGTGGAAACATTACTCGCCATAACCTAGCTAGCTTATTGGCTATCGTACACTGTTTATTATTATGTTTTCTCTTTCATTATTATACATTTTTCAATACATGTGACCGTGTCTGTGAAAAACAACACTATCTATCTATCCTTCTTTCTTTCTCTGCAAAACCAGCTGAGCCCATCACATTTGTCACAGATCTGTTCAGTCCTCTTCAGATAAAGATACTGAACATGTAGGCTAAATATGACCATAAACATAATATTACATAATGTTTCACTTACATTTGTGTCTGCTGCTACCATATGACTAAAATGATTTGCATTTATTGTAACGAGAAGACCTAATGAGCTGTATCAGATTACTTGCATTTAGCACCAACTGTTGTTTTCAGCCATTTTGTGAACCCACTCTCTGTATTGTCTGTGTTGCCTTCACAGACAGTCGGTATTTCCAGCTCCGGTGTCACCTGTACCAGGGCAGGAGTTTGTTAGCTGCTGATGATAACGGGCTCTCAGATCCATTCGCCAAAGTGCTGTTCTCCACGCAGTGTCAGGTCTCCAAAGTAAGAGTGAATTTATCCCACTTTTCTCTTTCCGAAATGTTGTCTTAAGTGATTGTTATGGATTTAGGCAAAATTCAATTGTTTTCCTTGCTGCATTCAGGTGATGCAGGACACCTTGTCCCCGGCCTGGAGTCAGTGTTTGCTCTTCGACAGAGTTTTATTAGAAGGATCTAGAGAAGAACTGGAGCTGGACCCACCCCTCATCATCATTGCCATATATGACAAGGACGCCATGGTAACACCGTTTATTCATTAGAAGTATTCGCTATTTTTGGCTTCTTTGACTAACTTTTAAAACATTGATATTCATTCAGTCACCAACTTAATGTATCCACTACTTGGGCAATACCATATGCCTTATAAAAGACTTTTTCTGTGCTCTTCTTTGCTCCAACAATTGAAAACTCAAACTGGATCAACTTACAGATAATTATACAGAGAACACTTGTATGGCCCTAGGCACCCTACCCCCGATGCACAAAGCATTATGGGTAATGTGTGAGTGATCATTGAGGTTCCAAACCTACCGCAGATTTATTTCTAAGCCTTCTCATCAGGACTCACACACTTCTACAACACGCATTGCACATTTTACAGTTAGTCAACATTACTACTCCAGCTTCCATGAGAGCGACCCCCTCAAGCCGAAAAGCATTATGGGAATACCACAATTTTCCATCAAACGGACAATCTCAACTTCCCTGTTACAGCTTCTATTGTGTAAATGTTTCTTTTTTGTGTTGCGTTGAAGGGCAGTCCGCGGGCTCTGGGTCGGGCCTACGCAGAGCCGCAGATCAAACGAGTGGAGGAGCTCTACTCCAAACCTCAGTTGAAGTTTTACGACGTTTCTCTGGGAAAGGTTTCTGCCGGAGAACTCCTCGCCGCGTTTGAACTCATCGAGCTGGATTACTCTGGACCTGGAGAGGTAACAGTCTGCAGCATCCAGTTCACTTACCAAGTTCGGCTGAGGTATCTGTGGTAACAAAGCAAATCTGTTCTCGGATATATAAATGAAGTCCTCTGTAGAGACTTTGTTAGAGACTGTAAATACACTTTTAAAATCAGTCTGACAGTGATTTCTTGTCACCATCTTTCGCACACACACTTTCATTTTGCTTGACTGTTTTTTCTGTTTTTGAGGCTTCGTTGCTTAGAAAATATTTATTTCACCTGCCACCCTATGCCAACCCAGTTCTACTTCCTGCTTTTACTGATCACATGACTCTGTTCAGCCCCGCCTCCCTCGCAGTCTTGAACCTCAGGAGCTGGAAGAAGCTGAGGACCGGACTTTCCTGATCCCGCAAGGAGTGAGACCAGTTCTCAAAACCTTTCGGATCGAGGTAAACACTGAGAAATACTAATTTTGTTTTTAGTGGCGAGGAAGATGTAATAATAATAAGGATAATGATGACTTATATCAGGGCCCTGTGCTTGGCTATTTTTGTTTTAGTTCAAAATGTTTCATTAATATCATAAAAGCAGCCATTAGGGCTTGGATCACATTATAAAGTATGTGTGAAAATAACTTAATTCATTCATTCCAATGTTGTGATGTCATCTAAAAGTTCCATTTCTTATGTCACAAGGACATTCAAACTTCTTCTCTTACTCTTCAGGTCTTATTCTGGGGCCTTCGTGACCTGAAGAGGGTGCAGCTGTTCGAGATAGAGCGCCCCCTGGTGAGAGTGGAGTGTTCCGGAAAAACTCTGGAGTCTGAAGAGATTGAGGATTACAAGAGCCAGTCCAACTTCAAGGATGTGGTCCGATACCTGGACGTGGTAAGCGTCAAATCAGGACTAAACCAGTTGTAGATCCAGGACTGAGGCTGTAGATCCAGGACTGAGGCTGTAGATCCAGGACTCAGGTTGTAGATCCAAGACTCGGGCTGTAGATCGCTGAAGCCACAGGATGCAGGACTGAGCCAGTTTTAGGATTTATGTGTCCCAGCATTACGCCATGAAACAGACAATGGGAGAATAGCAATGAACAGACTACAGCTGGTCATAATGATGTCAGATAAAGAGGAGAGGACAGTGCTCAAGTTATGATACTACTCCCAGTTAAAGGGTCTCCATATGCAGCTTGACTACATATGAAGATGCCTTATTCGGCACGGTGGCTGAGTGGATAGCATTCTCGCCTCTCAGCAAGAAGGTGGGTTCGAATCCCGGCCGGACCAGGGCCTTTCTGAGTGGAGTTTGCATGTTCTCCCCGTGTCTGTGTAGGTTTCCTCCGGTTTCCCCTACCACTAAAAACATGCACAATAGGTCTGGCATGCGCCTCCTGTTCGGCGACCCCGCTCCCATCTCTGTGTGGAGTGAGAGGACAAATGCCCAAAAATAATAACAATTGTAAACCGCTTTGTGACTCTGGTCTGTGAAAGGCGGTATATAAATAAAAATTACTTACTACGTACTTATTCACTTCAGTTGAGTTTTGTCTGTTCTCTGGAGTCACGGGTCAATCTACATCCGCACGTTCCTGAGCTTTGGGTAGTGCCCGAAAGAACTGCATATATCATTGTTGAAGTATCTATTATTAAGGACGCATAGAAACAATGAATGTTCACTACACAATTCTAAAGCCAGGCTTAAATCTACTTCTCTCAGTCCTGAAATATGAAGTGTCCATAATCGTGTCGTCTGGTCAGGAGTTGCCGGAGCAGATTTACCTCCACCCTCCCCTGAGCCTGTTTGTGGTGGAGCGGAGGGCCTTCGGGAGGCTAGTCCTGGTCGGGTCCCACGTGGTTCACAGCCTCATGTCCTACGGCCCACGGGAGCCAGGGGCAGAGTCAGACCATGAGGGGGAGGAGCCTACACAAAACGGTAACGCCCACTGAAGGAAAAGTCCATGTATGTAATCGTCTATGGAGGATAAGTTACTGTGTTTTGTTGCTTTAAAGTAGCAATATGTAAGATTATCATGTAAAGTTATCATTAAATGACCTCAATATGTCAAAAGGCATTAATAAACCATCCTCTTATACAATACTTCTTTAACTGATAACAGTAGTTCAGCCGTTTTGCCAGAACTCACCGCGTAGAGCCAATCTCACTGGTAAAGAAACACGTGGCCGCAGAACTAAAAACGGTTATGATTCTCACATTATTAACAAAGCAAAGAATAAAACTAGGATTTCTATCTTTGTGAAAAAGGTGTTGGTTATAGATTTGTTGTTGACAAAACTTTTTATTCAGATATTATGGTCTAAGCTGGATTTGTCTGCAGTTCTTACCACTTTTGTCCAGATTTTTACATACTGCTCCTCTTTTAGAGTCAAAATGATATCAAATGTTTTCTGTGATAATCAGAGTTTAGCTGTAGTGTTTGGTTCACCCATCCACACACTCTCCGGTTCACATGAGGGAAAAAATGTGTAGTACAGTAGATCTGTTGCAAAAGATGTAAACTGACTTTTCTTGCATCCACAAATGAAGACTATTTTTTTGTCACGTAACCAGAACCGGTCCAGTTAAAGTGTGAATGCACCTAAACAGCGGTGTTGCAATGTTGGAACATAGATTTTTATTTAACCTTTTCAACTTTTCATTGATTAATATGACAAATATCTTGTTTTTCTTCTTATACACAATACTGTAAGTGAAAGTTGGCAAATACTTCCTGGAATGTGGTTGGTATTTAAATTTTTCTTTCATGTTTTTAGTTGTTCAGACGCCTCCCGTGAAAGTGGCTCCTGTGGATATTGTCGGGAAGCTGGGACTCACCACATTCAACTTCAGACAGAGCAAGATCCCTTTCAAGGTACTATTAAACCAGGACTAATGGGAGACTAGACCAGGGACTGTTCCAGGTCTAAGCTAGAAACCATCAGAGCCATTTGTACATAAAACAAAAACTATAATGAAAGCAAATTCCAGGATTAGTTTATCTCACTATCAAAGAGCGCTAACTTTCTTTACAGGTCTAACCACGATTCTTTGTCTCTCAGAACCCTCTGAAGATGGTGACCAAAAGACTTATAGATTCAGATGAGCTTGAGGAGGAGCCCGTGGAGCAGGAGGAACTCGACTGGTGGTCCAAGTACTACACCTCTATCCACGAACGGGACAAAGAGGTCGAGTTGTTCACACACCAAAAGAGAGCAGGGTTCAAAGGACACTAATAGTCTGTGTTCACACGACAGAAATGATGTAGAGCTGGTTGAATTTAAATGCTAATATGTGTTTGTATTTGCACATTTACCTACATCTATCCAGAACAACGACTCTACAACACAAGGACAAGTTCCTTCTGCAACTAATAAAGCGTTACAATTATAATGCAAATCTCTGACAGACTCATGTTAATATTAAGATTGAGGGATCCTTTATTCATCCCACTGTGGTACTTTTAAAGATTAAAAACGATGTAGAAATATGACGTCTCGTTTTCATAAGTGGTAAATTACTTCCCACAGCTGTGCTCTCAACAGTAGTTGCAGATTATAAATGTATACATAAAAAGACAAAATTTTAAATAAAGTGGGAAAGAAGGGGAGAGCGATGCGTACCAGTGTGATACAAATTCAGCTTTAGAATAAAAATATATAATATGTCATTGGTTTTGAAATTAATTAAGAAATAAACAAATAGATGTTATTAAAAATGGGAGACCTAACAAGGTTTTTGATAATAATCTAGTCTGAAAACATTTCTGCTTATTGTAGGCTGCGTCACGGAGAGAATTGGAGGAACAAGCAGAGACAGGTCAGTGTCTCGTGGACCTTGGTGGAACTGTTACATAATGGTGAACGCTTTAAGTATTATATCCATTAATTTCAGAAGGGGCAGATATGACAATGGCAAATATCGAGGATGATGAAGAGGAGACGGTGGTGGTGGAAATGGAGCCTCCAAAACGAAAGAACATTGCAACGCTCACCGTAAGAATCAATGTTATTGTTATTTTCATTTATTAAATTAGATAAAACATGGTACAGATTCTATTGAAGCTTGCCCTGCAACGTTTCATTTAGTTGTTGTAGAAGTAGCTTCAGGTCAAGTAGTCTTCTTGTATTAGAGGACTCCTCTGGTTTCTTTGAGTAATAATAGTAATAGAAGTTTCACTAATGATAGTGTGTAATTCATATTAATTTAACATTTAGATATTACAATAAATTAAATATAAATTTACCACAGTGTTGCAATTTTGTCAGAATGTGACAGAGCATTGGATAAGGGGCCAAACGTGCATATTGAATTGTTTGGAAACATATCAAGTTGAAAGTCCCCTGTATCTCAGCCCTACAGTACATTGTAGGTTTGGTACCACATGTACTGTAGTAGTTTTGGTACCACATGTAGTAGTGGTACCAGACTTTGACTGGTGTGTTCTGTGCAGCTGTACAGTGGTGAGTTGGAGGCTCAGTTCCATCAGTTCCAGGACTGGCTGCAGATCTTTCCCCTGATGAAAGGCCGTGCTCTGGGAGACTCTCTGGATGAGGAGCCGGAGGAGCGCCTCATGGGAAAGTTTAAGGTCGGTCATGAATCTATCAATAACTGGAATTCAGATTGTCACACTGGTATTATTTCAATTGAACCAGAAAAGGACTGCTTTGAGCTGCAATAATGTAAAGACCGAGATTTTACAAAAATATATATATTTTGGTCTCATATGACCAGATGATATTCTCCGAGGTCTCTTCTGGGCCTCTTCTGGATCATCCAAACAGTCATTGGAACACTGTTTACATCTCTGGACATGGTGACACCATCTGACTCAACATATTACTGCATTCTAAAATACATACCTTGAAACATGCAGTATTTCCATTATTAAGATTAAGATATGGACAGTGGCTCAGATGGTAGAGAATTGGCCTTTGGGCCTGAAGGTCGTGGGTTCGAGCCCACCGTAAGACCTACTTCAAGACTCCCACTGATGACTGCTGTCGTTGTGTCCTTGGGCAAGACACTTAACCCTACTTTGCCTGAAGCCTCCACTGAAAGATCTCAGCTCCTGTGGACTCACCATCTGCAGGAGGATCAGTGAGGGGCTGGTGCTCTGTGTACTGGGTGCAGCTCTGACTGACACCCCCCGACCCAGAAATGGATTAAGGGGAAGAAAATGGATGGATGGAAGATTAAGATATCCTTTATTCGTCCCACTGTGGGAAAATGTCAGTGTTGCAGCATAGTATTTTGTCTCATTTTATGTGAAAGCCAGATCCTGTCAGACATCTGAAGCTAGCAGGGCAGGTTGGTACTGTGATGGGAACACCAGCTGCGGCTGTAAAGTGACTAACTGTTGTTGTGTCCTTAGGCAAGACATTCACCCACATTGCATGAAATACTGGTTACCTCACTTCTGTCGGTGTGCTGCGGGGCAGCTGTGGCTAGAGTTGTAGTTTATCACCACCGAGTCTGGAATGAAAGAATAATGACATGTCTTTGACTGTCCAAAAAAGCGCTTTATAAAAGCGATGCATTGTTATTATTATTTTCAGGGTTCGTTCCTTGTTTATCCGATCGACCCTGAGGCAGACAGCCCGATGCAGATCACTGATGGGATTCCAAAGAACTCCCCCATCAAAGTCCTGGTCCGTGTTTATATCATCAAGGTATTTACATACAAACTGTAATAGCCTCAGATCACGTTTCAGGGCGAGTCCTGTAAGAGACCAAACAATCATTTTAATTTAGAAATTTCATTTTGTTTTTTTATTGTATAAAAACCCTGCTGTCTCTGCTCTGTTCTCGGCTCAGGCCTCCAGTCTGTCGCCCACTGACCCCAACGGCAAAGCGGACCCCTACCTGCTGCTCCAGGTCGGGGCTCAGAGCCAAGACACAAAGGACCGCTACATCCCCAAACAACTCAGCCCGGTCTTTGGAGAGTCAGTATCATCACGTGCACAAGACTGGTTCAGAACATTTTATTCCTTTTAGGAAGTTATTCTTCACAGTTTTTGCTGTTTTCTGAACGTGTTTCTCATTTAATTAAATGAACATGTAAATATTCTGGGATGATTAAGGATTAATAATACCTTCTAGCGGAGAAAATAAGTTAAACTTCAGTCACCGCAGTTTGGTGTGAATGACTTCAATGCAGACTATATCGGTTTAACTCGGTAACTCTGTCTGTTCCAGAGTGTTTGAATTCACCGTCTCGTTTCCGTTGGAGACCGAACTCCTGGTCAAGATTCTGGATCACGATCTGGTCGGAGCAGATGACGTCATTGGGGAAACTCGTCTGGATTTGGAAAACCGGTTCTACAGTCGGCACCGCGCCAGCTGTGGACTGTCGCTGTATTACGACACGTAAGAAGTACCGTGTTAGACTGAATACAATCTCAAAATAATAATAAATGAAAGTAACTTTGCTGCCTTTAGGGTAATTATGCAGAATGTCTGTTTGACTGGCCTGTACTATAAAGCTAATGAGATAAATAAAACAAAGAATACAGAAGAATACATAAATTAAATACATGAATAATCCCTCTTGCTTTTCAGAGAAGGATACAACATGTGGCGCGACGTAAAGAAACCCACCACCATTTTAAATGAACTCTGTCAGAATCACAACATCCCAGAGCCAGAGTTCAGGACCAACGAGGTCAAAGTCCTCAACAAGATCTTCAAGATTCCCCCGGATGCCATCCCTGAGGGTAAAACCTGCTTTAGACCTGCTCTAGTTTAGCTCTAGTCTTTCTCTAGTCCTGCTCTAGTCCTGCTCTAGTCTTGCTCTAGTCTTGCTCTAGTCCTGCTCTAGTCCTGCTCTAGTCCTGCTCTAGTCCTGCTCTAATCTTGCTCTAATCTTGCTCTAGTCCTGCTCTAGTCCTGCTCTAGTCCTGCTCTAGTCTTGCTCTAGTCCTGCTCTAGTCCTGCTCTAGTCCTGCTCTAGTCCTGCTCTAATCTTGCTCTAATCTTGCTCTAGTCCTGCTCTAGTCTAGCTTTAATCCTGCTCTAATCCTGCTCTAGTCCTGTCCAAGTCCTGCTCTAGTCCTGCTCTAATCCTGCTCTAGTCCTGCTTTAATCCTGCTCTAGTCCTGCTCTAATCCTGCTCTAGTCCTGTCCAAGTCCTGCTCTAGTCCTGCTCTAATCCTGCTCTAGTCCTGCTTTAATCCTGCTCTAGTCCTGCTCTAATCCTGCTCTAGTCCTGCCTAATCCTGCTCTAATCCTGCTATAGTCCTGCTCTACTCCTGTCCAAATCCTGCTCTAGTCCTGCTCTAGTCCTGCTCTAGTCCTGCTCTAGTCCTGCTCTAGTCCTGCTCTAGTCCTGCTCTAGTCCTGCTCTAGTCCTGCTATAGTCCTGCTCTAGTCCTGCTCTAGTCCTTCTCTAGACCTGCTTTAGTCCTGCTTTAGTTCTTCTTTAGTCCTGCCCTAGGCCTGGTTTACTCATTGTTTTAAAACTGCATTTGAGTTTCTATATCGCACACAATACTGAAGCCAAACCAGCCATACAAATGTGACTCATCTAGACCTGGTCTGGTCCTGCTGTTTCATTGTTTTTGGTCTGTTCTTTGGTCAAGTTCTGCATTAGTTTTGATTCCGATGTAGTTCGTCGTAGTTTGAGTCTGTTGGTCTTAGTCCTTTCTCAGTCTTGGTCTTAGTCCTGTCTTAATCTTGGTCTCTGGTCTGGCTCAGCCCTCCTGAAGCAGAACGAGCCGTCGGAGGTCCAGAAGGCCGAGCTGGAGGAGCACATGGCCCTGAACGTGCTCCGTCGCTGGGCAGAGATGAGCGAGTTTATCCCTGGAGCCGTCGCCCTGATCCCGGAGCACGTGGAAGTCCGGCCTCTAGTGAACCCTGATAAACCAGGACTACCCCAGGTCTGATTTCCTGCTTCATTTTTAACCCTGCTTTAGTCCTGATTAACTGATAAAACACGTCGATTAACACAATTTGTCTTTTGTTTTTACTTTTATGGAGTTATTTTCTAATTTTCATTTTGCCTTTTGTCACCATTATTGCCCATGAATAAGTTTTGGCAATTTCTCAAGTGAAATCATGCTCCTTGTTATTGCATGGTTGTATTTGCAGTCTGTAGTTTTCAAGTTTAGACAAAACAAAACAAATACAGCTCCCTCTGGTGGTGGCACAGGGATAAGGCAGGTGATAGCATTAGTTTAAATTTGACATTTATTTCACCATATATTTTCTACTCTAGATTTTATTTCACAGACATTAGATATGATTTCACATTCTCAAATATGTGAATAGCTTAATTATTATTTCTAATGGTGGGATGTTTCTTCTCTAACTTAGTCTTGTCTTGTTTTTCTGATGAATTCTTATCAAAGCAGTATCATTCGTGCATTTAAACTCACTATTCAAATATTATACTTTTTTGTACAGTTTCATACTTTCATCTGGTTTCTGCCCCAAAGTTATTTTTGGTTTTGTGTCTATCTTTTGTTTTAATTTATTTTTATATTTTTTATGTATCTAAAAAAAGTAAGAAATTGGCATGACCCCACATTTCAAACAGAACTCTTGTTTGACACTGGAAGATATTCTTGAGCAGACATTGACTCTTAAAAGCATATAGACTGGAAGATAACGACACGTCCACATAACTGTAATAAATCACTTCTTGCTTTGTCACATTCAGGGATTCCTTCACATGTGGGTCGACATGTTTCCCACGGACGTCCCAGCGCCGCCTCCGGTCAACATCAAGCCCCGCCTCCCTGTGCAGTACGGGAACATAATAATAATGTTTAATAAGCATTGTTTTTTTATATAGCGCTTGTTTGGACACTCAAAGACGCTTCACATGTCATTATTCACTCTCTCCGTACACAGTGGTGATAAACTACCATTACCATAGCTGCCCTGGGACAGACTGACAGAAACGGGGCAACCAGTTTGTGCTATCGGCCCCTCTGACCACCACCAACCATTCATACACACACACAGGACTCATTCTAGCGTCTTGCCTAAGGACACAATGACAGTTTGGCACTTAGCAGCTGCAGCCGCAACACCGTGGCACCTGGAGTCTCCCATCACAGTACTAACCAGGCCCTGCACTGCTTAGATTCAGATTCCTAACAGGATCTGACTTTCACCTGCAGATGGTTGATGTAAACATTATTATCTGTTTATTTACCAAATCTATTATGGACATGAACTAAAGGGACATTTATATCCTCCTTTATCGTCGTAGAAACAGACCATATTCAGCCATAACTGAAACATAGATATAAAAAAATGAGGATTTAGTCCTCGTTTATTCATTAAACACATTCAAATATGATGGCTTCTCCAGATATGAGCTGCGCGTGATCATCTGGAACACGGACGACGTGTTTCTGGACGACGTCAACCCGTTCACCGGAGAACCCTCATCGGACATTTACGTCAAAGGGTCAGTCCCTGAACGCACCACATCTACCTTTACTTCTGTAGCTCAACTCACAATGGCGTTGCTAATTGGTTCACAGCTTGTAAAAACTCAATAAAACTCCTCAGAAAATGTTGATATTTTGACAATGGACTGTATATGTCACTACAGTCTCTACATCATACCACCACATTTTAGATTGAATTACAGAAATACACTTTAGAATTATGTTTAAATTTTTTCACACCGCTGGAATGGGATCTTCCAAGTCAAATGAATATTGAACAAATGTATGTCTTATCAACTCAAAACTAACCATGTAAAAAAAGTAACCAACCAAGATGATACCAAAAGTGCCATATGCGTCACATGAACAATATCCCTTTGGTTTTTCTTCTGTCAATCACAACTATTAGAACAGAGAGGAACCTCTGTTTTTCTTGTGGATTTAATGTAATGTTGAATAAATTATATAAAATCAACATCAAAAACAGTATAGGGGACAAAACACTTCCTCGGGGAACTCTTGAATAGCAAATTGAACATATCCCAGAGATGCAATGATTGACATTTCTTGCTGTTTGTGAGCTTTTAATAAAACGTGTGTTGAATGTTGCTGCAGGTGGATCAAAGGTCTGGAGGCCGAGAAGCAGGAGACAGATGTGCATTTCAACTCTCTGACCGGAGAGGGCAACTTCAACTGGAGATTTGTTTTCCGTTTTGACTACCTGCCTACCGAAGTACAGGCCTTTAGAGGATTATTATATTATACAGTTCCTTACACACATGACCTAAACTAAACTGTGTTGACTGGTATAGAAAGAAGTGGTGTTTAAGAAGAAGGAGTCCATTTTCTCGTTGGAGGAGGCAGAGTTTCGACAGCCGGCAGTTCTGACGCTGCAGGTTTGGGACTACGACCGCATCCTCGCCAACGACTTCCTCGGTGAAAAAACAGGCTGCATTTCCTTGTTCTTTAAATTGGTCTTTTCTGAGACAGAGGAGCTCCAGGTTTGGTCAAGACCGTTATTATACTCTATAAGGTCATAGCTCAGACAGGTACATTACATACCAAAAATAATTAACAAAAACAATTAACTGTTACTGTGTTTGCCAACATGTGCCATAAGAGGTTCAGTTGGAAGTTGGAACTTCTCCGGTCGCTCTTGCTATCGCTCCCCCAATCTCTCTCCACAAACTCTCACTCTCGCCCCCAATCTCTCTCCACAAACTCTCACTCTCGCCCCCAATCTCTCTCCACAAACTCTCACTCTCTCCCCCAATCTCTCTCCACAAACTCTCACTCTCTCCCCCAATCTCTCTCCACAAACTCTCACTCTCTCCCCCAATCTCTCTCCCCCAATCTCTCTCCACAAACTCTCACTCTCTCCCCCAATCTCTCTCCCCCAATCTCTCTCCACAAACTCTCACTCTCTCCCCCCAATCTCTCTCTCCCAATCTCTCTCCACAAACTCTCACTCTCTCTCTCAATCTCTCTCCACAAACTCTCACTCTCTCCCCCAATCTCTCTCCACAAACTCTTACTCTTTCCCCCAATCTCTCTCCACAAACTCTCACTCTCTCCCCAAATCTCTCTCCACAAACTCTCTCTCTCTCAATCTCTTTCCACAAACTCTCACTCTATCTCCCCAATCTCTCTCTTTTGCCCTACTTTATCTCTTTCTCAATCTCTCTCCACAAACTCTCACTCTCTCCCCCAATCTCTCTCCACAAACTCTCACTCTCTCTCCCAATCTCTCTCCACAAACTCTCACTCTCTCCCCCAATCTCTCTCCACAAACTCTCACTCTCTCTCCCAATCTCTCTCCACAAACTCTCACTCTCTCTCCCAATCTCTCTCCACAAACTCTCACTCTCTCCCCCAATCTCTCTCCACAAACTCTCACTCTCTCCCCCAATCTCTCTCCACAAACTCTCACTCTCTCCCCCAATCTCTCTCCACAAACTCTCACTCTCTCTCCCAATCTCTCTCCACAAACTCTCACTCTCTCTCCCAATCTCTCTACACAAACTCTCACTCTCTCCCCCAATCTCTCTCCACAAACTCTCACTCTCTCCCCCAATCTCTCTCCACAAACTCTCACTCTCTCCCCCAATCTCTCTACAAACTCTCTCTCTCTCCCCCAATCTCTCACTCTTTCACCCTACTTTATCCCTCCCGCAATCTCTCTCCACCAGCTCTCTCGCCCTACTTTCTATCTCTATCGCCCCCAACTGTCTCTCTCTGTAGTAAAAAACTTGTATTCTTCAACAGTCAACAGTTCTCCAATGAAGTTGACATATTTGATTAAATTATAATAATAAACAGAAAGTGTTTCTGGATTTGAATTCATTTTGTCCAATCAGGAACCTATACGGACGGGTCTAACTGGCGCTTAGTTGGAGATGATGGAGAAGATAGAGATACTAAAGTTTCTTCATCTTCGCAATTTGAAAAGTAACTTAGCTTGAAATTACCGTGTTCTTGATAATTTCATGCTTTCTTCCAGAAATGTTGTCACATCTTTCAGTCGTCCAAGTGTGTATTCGATCAACGACAGCCCTGATATTATAACCTTCATATGTGCTTTCTGTCGGTGCAGGATCCATCGAGCTGCCTCTCTTTGACATGGTGCGGCCGGCTCGATCAGCCTCTAAATGTTCAGTCAAAATGTCCAGGGACCAGGCCTCTCCCCGCATCTCCATCTTCAGGAGCAGAAAGCTGAAGGGCTGGTGGCCTCTGACACGACTGAAAACCCCCGAGGACTGTGAGAAAGAGAAGGAACAGGCGTCCAAGAACAAGGGCAACAAGAGAGACCGACGCAGCCAAAACAAAGCAGAAGACCTGCAGTTTACAGACGCCAGTGGAGCCACACACGTGCTGATGGTGGGACCTACTCTCTCCCACTCCCCCTTCTCTCTCTCTCTTGGCCTACTCTCTCTCTCTTGGCCTACTCTCTCTCTCTCCCCCTGCTCTCTCTCTCTCTCTCTCTCTTAGAACCCGGCCTTGGCTTTATTGTAAGTCTTGTGTTGGTCACTTGTGTTGTATGTCTGTTGTAATTTCTCCAGGGCAAAGTCGAGGCCGAGCTGCAGCTGGTGGCCCTGGAACAAGCTGAAGCCAATCCTGTGGGAAAAGCCCGGAAAGAACCGGAGCCACTGGACAAACCAAAGTATGTGACGGCGTTTCAGTCCTGGGCTGCATCCAAATTCATGCAAAATACCTCCTTCCTTGTCCTTCTTCCTTTTTTTCATTGACTTTGGTCTGAAAGTGTAGTTTTTTTCATTACTTCAAATTGTGACGGATTGTTTTTTCCAATGAGAGTAGCAGTTAGTCCCGCCCCACAGCTTCCTGATTGGACGCAATGAAACAAATCCTTGATAAACAGCTTAGGCCCCTCCCCATTGGTGTCACTACTGTAGTACATCTCACTGGTGATGCTTATTCCAACTTTGTCCGAACAGAAAAAGTCTTGTAAGACCAGAACATGCTGTGTTCATCTATTTCTAAAACATGTTATCTTTAGCATAGTGGTAAGAAAGAGGCTGTAGGTGATACTTTGGGCTGAGAGCTGATTGGCTGAGGATGGGTGGTCCTGTTTTTTACATGATCTACAGATGTGACAGAGTTATGAATGTACCTGTATGTGACAACTACTGATAGAACTGAAACGTTTTGAGAACGAGGAATTAGTTAGACCAGGGGTGTCCAAACATATCAGTGAGTGGGCTTTTGAGTTACCTAGACTTGTCCAGGAGCCGATGACCCGGATTTTATAACAGTTTCAACTGGCTGTTTTGAGCTTAATCATTATCTCTAACAAAGCTGAAGTTGGCTGAGTGACAAATGACCATCTCACCAGCTCCATTAGCAACAGCATATATGAAATTTTGCGACACAATAAAAAACAAGGGTCAGCATTTACAAATACAACTACAATTCTAGAGGTCCTGAGCTTTACAACCAGGTCGACCTATGTCGGTGGAGCTGAAGCTGGCTGGATGATATTGTAGTTGTGGTTATGATCTCACAGACGATTTGGTGTTGGCAAAGATGAGTTTGGACACGCCTGAGTTAGACACATATAGTTTTGCTGTGTCAAACTCCCTTGTCTCATAGAGGATCATTGAAAAAGGACAAGGAAGGAGGTGTTTTCATATGAATTTGGAAGCATCCAAAGCTCCTTCTTCCTCTCTCCTCAGTCGCCCCACCACCAGTTTCGCCTGGTTCTTGAATCCGATGAAGACGTTTGTGTTTCTCATTTGGAAGAACTACAAGATGTACATCATCGGTCTGCTCGTGCTGGCCGTCCTCACGCTCTTCCTGGTCTTAGTGGTCTACACGCTGCCTCAGAACATCTCCGCTCTCATGGTCAACGGGTAGACCGCACCAGTAGGTTCAGGTGTTCATGTTGTAGAATTTGATTTCAGTTGTAGAGCAACAGCCAATGAGAAAGACGCCATGTTGAAAATGCCCAGATCATGAAAGTGTTCCTAGATTCTCAAAGTCGCCAAATTATTCTTATGTCTTAAAGTGCTTTCTACTCGCCAACATCATGCTTATGTTTTGGAATTCAGCCACCTCTTCTAGACACCGTTATGAAAAAAGAATTAGACCACAGCTGATATGCACTGACAAAGATGTGAAGTTTTGGGACCTTTTTTCTTTCATGTGGATTGTCACTCTGAAAATGAGCTCTGAAACTTAAATTAAAACATTTTGACAGTTACCAGAGTTACCAATTACGACTTTTCAGCTAACGTTAAAATATAGGCTCTTTGGAGTGTCTTGTGGTAACTTCATTCTGGTTTGAAAGACTTGGCTTCCCCCACGCAACCAGTGATAACGAATGAAAAATGACATTTTATATGACATCATCCTGAGTCTAATGGATGAAAATGAAGGTGACAGAAAGGCATTGCCCTTCTTTTATTAGTCACGTAATGTCTCCATCTAATTGACGTTCTATTGACTTTTTCAATGATTTGAAGACACTGCTCCATTTCCTCTGCATTTGAGCAAAAAGAAAGTCCCTCAGCTTGGTTCGAAAAGCAGCTCTTCCGATCACCATCTGTGTCTATTTCTGGAACACTTTATTTCTCCTTTTCTGAGAATCTTTAGAAGCTGTCATCACACTAAGCCAAGGTTTTGAAAAGTGCCTCGTAACAATTGTGATTTTTCTTGGACTGCTGCAGCCTTTTTAACATTTTGAATGTTGAGAAAACATGTAAATATTACTGCTGCCTAATCGTGTTTATAGGATGTTTGTAGGAGTCCTGCGCATAAGCAGGAATAAAGACCATATTCAGTTCAATGTATTTTATTTTTGTATCGGCCTTAATCAGCAGCTGTCTCCTTGGACTCAGATTCCTCAACAACTGATCAGAGAATCAAACCGTTCTTGTGCTATTCTCAGTGATTTAAAAAAATACCCCAAATTTTTTTCGGGCTGAATTTTTTTTTTCCTTAACTTGACCAGCCCTGGGACATATATACCCCAATTTAATGGAATAGGCCACTGTTTTTACATACTGACATATGTTTTTACCTTAGACTAGTTGATATGTACCTGTCTGGTCTGTGTCCGTGCTCTGTCATGCAAACGGAGCACAAACGCAGCCTCTTCCACAGACTGTATAGTTCCAAATCAGCTCCCGTTAGAAGCTCCCAAACTCTTCCACATGTTCCCTATTTAAATAGTTACGTGACGTGTTACTCTACAAAGTATAGTAACACAGAAATGTAACATGTCCATTTTCTCAGCGGATAAAAAGGGGAACTATATCGTGAGGCGTAATAATACGAGGAGCACTTCTCTCCCGCTCACTTCAGTTAATAGAAGCAGCGTGATAGAAGTCTTTAGGAGTTAGTGGCCTATTCCTTTAATCATCTGTTTTGACCATAGAGAGCAGTGGTTTAAAAATAAAAACACAGAAGCCATTGGTCCATAAGGAGCAGGAGGCCCAAGTTCATAAATGTTAATATATGGCTTGGATCATCACTGTCCTCAGACCCTCCTGCAGACTTGTAGTCTTCATAGAAATAATCTGATGGGTTTTACTTAACAATTTATTTTCTGGTTCTTTTGCAAATTTTAAAAACCTACAAGAGTCAAAAGTTGTTATACTTTTATTTTGTAACAGGAAGTTTACAGTCGAATTCAATAAATAGCTCCTCAGGTTCATGTGGTCAGTTTGTGGCTCGGGGCACACAAGGCATTTCAGACAAGGACGCTGCTTGAATTTCTAAAAAAACAAAAAGGAACCGTGACTTATTTACACAAATGAAAGACATAAAGGGGATGAGCCAATTTTATGTATTTAACTTATTCACAGAAATCAAAATATCTGTTCTTTGTGTTAAAACTAGACAAAAAGGTTAAAGCAGAAAAATCTTATTGCCAGATTGAGTATTTCGCATGTGGAGAGCTGAAAATCTTACCAAAACAAACTATAACGCAGTAGAATTCAGGAAAGCTCAGTATTGCTCCCTTCTCCAACAATTACACCACACACACCTTTCCCTGAGTGAGTATTCCCTTTAAAATACTCACTTTATCCATTACAGTTTTTGATGAATTGCAAAAATGTACATAGTGCGAGTGCCCCAATAAATACTTTTCTCACAGGGCTTTATCAACAGAAAAGGGAGTTAATAGTTTGTGCGTCATTTTTGTCTGGAACGATACAAAGCGTTGGCGTTTGGATATTGTAACCCCAGTGTGAGTGAATTTGAGCCGCGTTCTTTAGACGTTGAGAGTCTTTTTGATGGAGAAGATGATGTCCTTGATCTGCGGCACGCTGTTGTCCTCCAGGATCTTGGCGTAGGGCATCGGGATGTCCACTCCGGTCACTCTGGTCACAGGGGAGTCCAGGTAGTTGAAGGCAGGACCTGAGGCAGAGAAATCAATCAATCAAATTTTATTTATAAAGCGCTTTTCATACAAAAAGTGTAACACAAAGTGCTTTACAGTTAAAAACAATCCAACATGCCCAGCCCTAAACCCTCCTCCCCACAGACCCCCCCAAAACCACATTTATAATTATATATACAACCACATGCGTATACACACACACACACACATATATACACCCACACACACACACACACACACACACAAGTATAAAGTCATATCAGGTAAAATAGGTAAAACAATAAAAAGAAATGGGGCTGGGAGCAGATGTAACCGGCTGAAGAAGCGCCATCCAAGGAGCCATCTGCACCAGGAGCAGAGAGCCGGCTGCAGCCACAGGGAACGACACAGGACCCAGAGGAGAGAGGGGCCCCAGACCCCACCAGGCCCAGGACTCAGACCCCATAGGACCCAGAGGAGAGAGGAGGCCCCAGACCCCCACCGGATCCAAGAGCCAAACCCCCGAAGCTGCAGCAGACCCCAGCCCCCAGTGCAGAGGGCTCCTCCAGAGGAAACACTGGGGACACTAAAACAATACAATAATACAATAGAAAGTAGAACAATAAAATGCGATAATAAAAAGAAAAATGGCAGCTGCCTAATATAATAACAATAGTAAATGGGTAGATACAATAAATAATTAAAAATAGTAAATAATAAAAATAAATAAAAATAGAATGCGTATAAAAACATAAATAGATGTACTAAAAAGCAATAATAAATAATAAATACTAATACTAATAATAAGAAAGACACTTTAGAGATTTATAGATATTTATTAAAATTTATAAACAATGGTCATCCACCCCTTATGGACCAATGGCTCAGCGTTTTTTTATGATTGCATTGTTTGATTCTCTAATCAGCTGTTTGCTAATCCACAACTTTGTAAAGTCGTCAAAGAACTACTGTTGTGATTTAGGGCTACGCATACATACGTTGAATTGTTTACACCTTCAATTGTTTTATAAAGTTTGACATGTCGCCTTTAAACGAGAAATATCAGACATTTTTGGCAGTTGAAAATAATGACACAATTTAATGTTTTAAAATGTGAATTATTACCTTTAGTGGAAAATATATTGTGAAACAATTATGAACACTACAAAAATGCTCTCCGGCTGTAACTATGCAACCACCAGAGGGAGCAATTGTTTTCCGAATTTGAAAATGACCAGCTGCAAACACGCCATTAGATTGTAAAAATAATGCCATTTCATTTGAGAAACTGACAAAACAAATTAAAGTGTGATGTCATAGTGGCAAAATGACATCATAACATTACAGGACTGAGACAGGAGCTTTGAGATAAAACAGGCAGTTACATGTTTGTACCGAGTTCCTGGTATCAGCATGGATGGATCCAAAAAACATCTCCAGGTCTGTTTTTGATGAGGAACAACACATGATTAAAAGCTCAAAAAGGTTGATTTTCCAGAGCCACTCAGCCAAACAGAGAGGACTGATATGGGCTCTATGCATGCACCACTTGCGCGTTTTAGCTAAAGCCCCACCTCACTTCCAGTGCGCAGGGAACGGCTTGAGTGTCACTGGAGTTCAGCAGATGTTTACACGAGTTTCCTAAATAATGCTCAAACGGAAATTAAACTGTGAGGATACTGGGCATTTTTGGGACACAGCAGTGCTCTTTGATTGTGCTGTCATAGTGTTTTTATAAAGTTTAAAAATCTCTGAGTGGCCACAGTCACAGCTCTACCTCAGAGAGAAAGCACAGCGACACTTTTGGGTCAGTCTCACAGCTGAATGTATCAATCTAATTACTAAAAAACATCACTAAAACTCACCTAAATGCCATAGAATAGCATAGGCAGGAAGTGAACGGGCTGATCTGCGTTAACAGGAAATGACGTCACGCCTCCCCGTGCATATAGTCCATTAATCAGGAAATCTTTATCATGGAGAAGATGACCTTTGTCTCAGACCGACGGGAAAAATATGTTTGTAAAATTTCAGGACTTGATCTGACCTGGAATATGGTTACAATTGGCACAAGAGGTTTCTGTTGTCCAGATTTCAAAATGTTTGACTGGTTTCTCACATCTTTGTGTAAATGTGTTTTTTTTCTGTATGTTAAACGTTTTTAGAAGCCTATTTGCATAATTCGTCTCCTTTAAAGCAAAGGTCAAACATTTTAATACAGCAGTCCCTCGTTTATCAAAATAAGCAAAATCAGGGACGTAGCAGCTGCGTCTTTCAAGGCTATAAAACCCTTCACCACGCATTTCATAGACTTTTCTAACACCCTGAACTCACGACTGATGAAGTGCGAATGCAGATATATCAAACATGTTCATTTCAAGTCTTACAGCCGCCTGAGCGCTGCTGCAGCAGTCAAAAGCCGAGCATCCACTAAAATACAGCAGCAGAGGAAACCGTGCCGAGGGCTGCTGAACTAATCCCACAAGCCACAAATGCATTTCTGACTTAAAGAATACATACTAGCAGTAATTGTCACAAACTCCAGTAAATAACAGACAATGTAGCAATTTCGCAGGTGTCCACAAGATGGAGGCACCTGGGAGCAGGAGGACACACCCAAACTCTAGAGAGGCTACAAGTAGGCCTTCCTGTTTGTAGTCCATTGTTTCCCCCTTTTATGTTGACCATGCGTCTTTTGTTTCTTTTACAAATGTAAGTACTATTGTTTATGATTCTTGTGTATTGTTTACCAGTCTAATATGATGATTATTGACTGAGACATATTTACCCTACTTTACAGAACCATGGCAACTACAAATAAATGTGGGGTATAACAAGCTACAACTGTTTCCTGGTGGTCTGTGTCTCCAGTTCGAACATTTATACCCAACAGTAATGTTGTTAAGAGTATAAACGTGGGGCAAAAGAAGTACACATTCAAAAAAACACAACATTACCACAAAAATAATGAGACCGAATACAGCCAGGGACCACTAGGATTGTAAAGTGAGAGGTCTCCCATCGAGCTGCAAAAAGTCTCATAAACGAGGCAGTATCCCACCACGGTAACGTACCCTCCATGATCCTGGCACAGATCTCCGCTCCGACTCCAAACTGTGGCCAGCCCCCCTCCACCGTCACCAGGTGGTTGGTCTTCATCACGCTGGCCTCGATGGTGTCCGTGTCCATCGGCCGGATCGTCCGCATGTTGACCACCTTTTCCAGAGCGGACACAACAACTGCCATTACTTGGTTTACTTCACTTTGTTATTATTGTTCATAGGCATGTCTTTAGATCTCATGTTTGTAGGATTTTAAAAAACAACAAACCACCTACTACTGCATTAAAATATATATTACAAACTTAAGAAATTGTCTTCTGGAACTGAATACTAGTCATAAATCGTTAGCATCACAATAATCTGCACAGCGCATTAATAACATGGAGCAGTTATAAAACCGGGATGGGGTTGCTAGCTTTAGCTTCAGTTGCTACAGTAAAGAATCCCATGATCTAACAAAACATGTTTCCCATAAATCACAATGTTATAACTTACAACTGGTGGATTTTAAAAACCCAAAGTAACTGGATTATTCTGTGATCGGGTGGATTTCTTCTCGACATGGAAATACTCAATAGAGCTTTGACTTACCTCACACTCAATTCCTTCTTTGGCTAAAACTGCAGCTGCGTCTAAACAGTGTCCAACGTATCTGGAGTGAGACACCACCGTCACGTGAGTCCCTACAAAACGTACAAAAAAAGGAAATGAAAATTATGCAAAAGTCGATCATGTGCACTCATCAACTCAACCGTTTTCGGGCTCGCTAAAGACATCAATGAGTTCATGCATTTTCAGAGGTGTTATTAATAAAGTAGATTGGACACATCAGTAGCCTGGCCTTAGCCATCCATAAACTCTGTTCATTTATCATTTCCCTGCATGTACCGTCTGGGTCTAGTCCCAGTGTCTGCAATAACATCGGTTTAGGTCGAATCCCATCCGACCAATCAGCGAGCGGGGGAGGCGGGTTTTGTAGGTAGATGTGGGTGACGTCAAGAGTTTGCGCCGAAATGGCCAGTTGTAGTTTGGCAATGGCGAAGAATGAGATAGTAAAACATTCTGTTCTAGTTCAAGCAAAAAAATTGAAGCCGAAGAAAGAGGAATGTTTAGCTAAAGTAATCACTGGCAAAGATTGTGGCGCTACTGTACTTTAACCCAACATCACCAGGAACTCTGTCACGTCACGTCTAGAATTTGCTCTGCTCAACCAGAGGGAGAAGCAGGTGCTAAGACGAGTACCTGCTCTGAGAGGCCAGCAACCAATGGAAAATCTCTGAACCGTAAGTAAAATGTTTTTATTTAGCGCATTTCACAGGTCACACGATGCGCTTCACTTTGTTTGAGTAGGTCTTTTTTTCCATTCACTTCACACACAGTGATGACAGAAGCAGCAACCCCTCCAACCGTCACCATCCAATCACTCTCATTGCGTTCATTACTATTGTACATGGTTAGTGGCACCTGGAGGAAACCTACACAGAGAGAACATGCAAACTCCACACAGGACCTTCTTGCTGTGAAACACAAGCCACCAACAAAGGCAAGTCGCATTGAGCCGAGCCTAGAACGTGCAGCGGGAAAAGGTGTTTTTGCTCTGGTCCTGCCATAACTTCACACTGACCTTGCCGCTCGACCTTGGCTTTTCCGATGGGAACCACGAAGTCTTTGCCCTGCGCCTCGTCGGACATCTCGAAGGGGACGCCGTACAGGAGCTCGTTCTCCAAAAACACCACTGGAAAAAACAAACAAAAGAATCAGCCACAACGCCCTGGACACATCCCCCACCCCTCCTTCCCCGCCGCAGGGGCCAGACCTGGGTTGTCGTCCCGGATGGAGGCTTTGAGCAGTCCTTTGGCGTCCTCCGCGCTCCAGGGGCTGACCACCTTCAGGCCGGGACAGTGCGCGTACCTGAACACACCGGCCCCAGTAACAAACTGAATACACTGCTATAATCCAGTTCAGTCATGCTAGTTCTCTCCAACCTTTTTCCACCCAGAGACCTACTTTCCTGAGACAATAAAGGCAGAGAGCTACTCCTTAAAGCAGCCCCGGGAAAAGAATTATCATATATTGGTGTGAAAGAGTCTAATATTTGGTACAGTCATTATTTATCATCTCATATTTGTTACTAGAGACAAAGTAAGAGCATTTACAATAACAAATAATGATAAAGAATAATACAATCTGAAAAATTAAGTATATTCTAGACTATTATTAGACTCGGCCCAGTTTTTCAATGGCAGAATTATTCCACCAACAGCTTGTGTGTCTGTGTGTGTGGTCATTGAACGCACCACGCGGCAAAGCACTGAGAGTGTTGAGCAGCGACTCCGGCCGAGGATCCGTTGGGGCCCCGGAACACGATGGGGACCGTCTGCAGACCCGCCGACATGTAGTAGGTCTTGGCTGCGGAGTTTATGACCTGATCTATCGCCTGCATCGAGAAGTTGAACGTCATGAACTCGCAGATCGGCCGCAGTCCTGCCTGAGGAAGACACAAGGGAGAAAATATAAGTCCCACTTTTTATGAGATAAACAATAATAATTCACAGAAATTATAAAACAAATAAAAATACATGTACGTAATTTTGATTGGATGAAGCAAAAACCTCATTTTATCCAATCCCTTTCGCAGCCATTCAGACACATACAACAATACAAAAACAAGCTGTAAAGTGCCAAACTGCCGTTGTGTCCTTAGGCAAGACACTTCACCCCCATTGCCTAGAATGAGTCTGGTGTGTGTGTGAATGGTTGGTGGTGGTGGGAGGGGCCGATGGCACAGACTGGTTGCCTCGCTTCTGTCAGTGTGCCCCAGGGCAGCTGTGGCTACAGTAGTAGTTTATCACCACCGTGTTTGGAGTGAATGAATGACACATGTGAAGCATCTTTGAGTGTCCAGGAAAGCGCTATATAAACCCGATGCATTATTATTATGCGTTTACCCCCTTCACCCTCTTCCCGTTTCTCGCGAGTGCACCCGAGTTATAGGATTTTCTAAAACCTAAAAAGGGCTGAACAGAAAATACCAATTTCACGTTTGCCACCCACTCTCCCTGTCGTGACAAAGAAAAGAAAATGCTGGATGTTTGGTTTGGTGGAGAGGCAGGGGAGGGGGGAGTGGTTTCCAGTTGGTGCTACGGCAAAGCTAACAACATCGCTTAATGCATCTTTAAGCAACACTTTTGTAACTCACCATAGCAGCCCCGACAGCGATTCCAGTGAAACCCATCTACAGCAAACAGAAAAAGAAAAATCAGAAAAACAGGATGTTAAGATGGATGCAGGGTCCGAAAACGAATACCACCAGATCAAACTGTAAATACTTTTCACAGACGCTTCTCTCACCTCTGAAATGGGAGTGTCGATGATCCGCTGGTCTCCATATTTCTTCCACAAACCTCTGCTCACCTGAAACACAACAAGACTTCTTTACCCATTTTGTGTTAGCAAGAGGCTGGTATACAAGCTTTTAGTTTATTATCCCCAGAATGTTGCATGTAATCGGATTAAAAGCCGTAATATTCAGACCCCACTCAATCATGGGAGAAATGCTTGGCTCACACACAACCATAGTAATAATGTATAAATCAATGGAGTCTATATAAGATAACATTTTAGTGATCTCACAATAGATACATATTGATCCCCCGCAGGAAAAATTCAAGAATACAAATATTTACACAAGATGCTTAAATTAAACGTCTAATTCATTTTTAACGAGGTTTTATTTTTGTATGTAAAGTCTTGTGCCATTGCTATTAACTTGTCACGATCATGTTATCGGTGTCTGTAGATTTCCATGAATTTTCTTTTCCAGATATTTTCGCAGTGCGCAGTTAGGAATATGCACTTCATATGAACATGTCGGACCTTGTAGGCGCCGTCGTACTGAGCCACTTCCTCTCCCAACAGGAACACGCGCTCGTCTCTCTCCAGCTCCTCGTCCATGGCCTGGGTCAGCGCATCACGCACCGTCATCTGAAACGTATATATGTGTGTGTCATAAAACGTACATATGTGTGTGTCTGACCCACAATGTGCTGCTGAGACAGAGATCGTTATGATATGTGTTTGATATGAGTTTACGCATACACCAATAACTAGTTGTGGTTATCCCCAGTTCCTGTTGAGTCAAAGGAACCTCCCCTTGGGTTGTGTTCACTGTATATAAGCAGTGATAATACGTAATAGGAGTTGCAGTAAAACTAAAAGAGAAATCTTGACAAGATCCAAAACAAATTTGTTGAAAAGTAAACAATTATTCACTAGTTGAAATTCATACAACCCACAGTTTAAAATGCATTACACATGTTTATTAGTTGACATTTATATAACCGTTTATCTGTTTGGGAAAAGATTACCGAGGATGAAGATGGATAAAGAAAAAAGATGTATACCAAGGTCATTGTCACCAAAAAGGTTCCTGGTCTCACTGCGATACATTAAGAGATCCTTTATTGATCCCACAGTGAGGAAATTCCAGTGTTGCATCACGAGTTATATTGAAAGTGTAAGAATATTGAAGTAATTGGTCATTAGCTCTGAAGGTTCAAATATTCAGAGGAAACTAGCAGCGTGAGAGCGTTGGTTTCAAAGTGACTGACGAAGTAACAGTGGACACACGTGGTTCCATATTGCACATTGTTGCACAGATGCATGACATGTGAGGTCAGGCGGCAGTGTGCATCTTCATTGTACAATCCGCCCCAATAGATGGTGGATACGATGTTTGATCAAATACAAAAGTCCTGGCTGCAATTTATGTCGATGCTTTAGTCTAGTGCGAATGGGTCACTAGTATTACGCGATTTACCACTGAGATAATACGTTTCGTTTTTTTCGGATTTTACAACGTTACCATTATGATTTTATGTGACTGTAGGCAAAAATCAAACCCAAAGAAAATCCAGATTGAAATGCACGTTAAGTCAAATGAAAGTGATGGGCTTGTATTAGCAGGGTGTAAATACAAAAGGAAACATTCAGAAAAACTGCGTGGCTAATGCTAAAGCTAACACTGACCTGTACCGCAGCCGGAGCACTGCTGTGAATCCTGCTCCTCTGCAGAGCTGCCACCGCATTCTGCTCAAACACACACACAAAGACACAGTATTACACATCCGCACAGTCAAATACACTGTAAATAAAAGCGTTACAAAGCTAAGGGACCTTTCCGGAGCGGAGAAAGCACCTCAGAGACGCCATGTTTAACCTGTCCTCTGCCGGAGGAGGAAGCAGGTCAGCGGAGGCAGCCAATCAGCGCACGGGGTTACGATGACGCTCGAGACGTAACAAAATAACACCCAATCAGAGAAGGTCATGTGAAGTAGGGGCGGGACGATGTGTCTGTTTGGGAAAAAGCCCAAGGACAAGGGATGACAGCACAAACTAGATTATGTAGGGAGACAACTTTTACATAAAAACTTAGTGTATTCGTGCGTGCGTGCATGTATATGTCAGTGTATTTGTCGTGTGTGTGTGTGTGTGTGTGTGTGTGTGTATGTCATACCCTATTAGACAGTATCTACATTTTATTCTGTATGCCTTTGATTTATTGTATTGTATTAGGTGTGCTATTGATTATTGTATTGTATTATGTGTGTTATTGTGTGTTGAATGTGTGAGAAGGGTTTACAATAGGATAATTTTGACACAGAACTCACAGATTACACTATTTTCCAAAAACCTGCTGTATGGATCCAGTGGGCTGAAGTCCACTGAGACTTGAAGAATGCCTCTTGATAAAACCATTGCAAACATATTTCTACTGAAGTTTTATTTTGGAAAGGATATAATCATATGGATACAAGAATATGGAACATTCTGAAAAGTAGTCTTTTTGTGGTGATGTGGTGAGTCTCAGGCAAGGAAGGATGAGGAAAAGAGACAAGTCTTTATTCTGACTGTTTCCCGTTTGTGTGTGTGTGTGAGTGTGAGTGTGAGTGTGTGTGAGTGTGAGTGTGTGTGTGTGTGTGTGTGTGCGTGTCCATAAACAGTGTGCCCATATACATATTGCAAATTGTCCTCACCACAAAGCAATTATTATTTTGAAAACCGTGGAGAAACCTTTTCGATCAGTGTCTCGGGCAAAGCCTAACTGTATTTATTCTCTTTGACTGAAATCATCAGATGTCTTTTGTATAAAATAAATAGTATTATTTAGATTCTTTAGCATTTGAATTGAGGATATATCAGAATTACATACGATACATTATTAAAAGAACCATCATGTTTTGCCTTGACAGACATTTGTTTTTTACTTCCACAATATTCTATTTCTTATTTTAATTTTCTATTTTTGATCAATACATATGGACATACATTGGTGCATTAGTTAGTCTTTTGTTATAACATAACAAAATAAAAGACTAACGTTCATAAATACTTAAGGGTTAATGTTTTACACCTGTTCACACCAGTGGGAGCCCCAAGTCCCCTGCTCCATGCACGCCGCCCCTGCTCACACATTGGTCTGAAGACAGAAACACATTTTTGTCAAAGGCCTCCTTAAATGTATCCTTTTGAAACATTTAAGGAAGCATAGCCAGGTTTGGGGAGTCAGTCTACATTACAATAGTAAGAAAAAGATTTAAAAGACACTATAAGGAGCCCCTAAAGTTCCCAAAAGAAAGAAAAATGTTCATCTTGTGATATTGTTCTCACAGGAATAATATCTTATCTATCTATCTCTATTTTTACATTATGTGTTTCAAGGTTTGGTATGTAATATGCACTCTTAGTGGACTAATAATCTGGTTCTAGAATCTTCCTGCCTGTGACATTTTCGTAGAAACTATCACATGTGACTACTTACCTGCTTTCATTTAAATTTAGCTTTCAGCTCTCTGATTAAATGATCTGCTGGGGAATAGTAACCATAAATACTGCATACATCATGTACATTGTATTTTTCAATTAAAAAAATTACTAGTAGCTCTCGCAAGAAAAAAAGATGTATCACAATAAAAGTTGCATTGCAAAGTTTCCTCTGTATTTTTTAACCAGTTGGTGTTGCTTTTGCGTTTAAAACAATATATTGAACTGTCTCTACACTATTTGAACACTGAACACTATTTACATGTTGAAGGGGAATATGTTTCTTTTCTTCAACCGGTGAAACTGGGTTAAATGCACACATCCCAATAATGTCTTTGGAAGCCTCCCTGGAATATCTGTGTTTTGTAATCAATTAAATTAGAGCAATAATTACAATCAGGAAATTAATTCTGTATTGCTTTTTTTGCAGTTGTGGACAGATCTTTCAGACAGGTTGGCCGAGGTTGGATGAGAATCGACTCAAATCAAATCTTATGTTAAGATTTTGGTTTAAAACAATCTTCATACTGTGACAGTGAAATTATTCAATTAAACCAGAGAAACCGCCCAAGTTCACTCTGTTTCAGCCCAAGTTCGTTCGAGTGACAAGACCTTTAGACATTAGCCACTTTTAAAAAACATGATCAAATCCATGCTGATGCAAAGCCACGGGAGGATGTACAATGTGGAAAGACAATCAGCAGCAAAAACACAAGATAAAAAGGCACAGATGTGATCAGAGCCAAAAGGTCTTTGAATCACTGAGCCAACTCTCTGTTCGCAGTAGAGTCCACGCTGGAGAAAGACCATGCAGCTGTGATCAGTGCGGGGCGGGCAGCAGTTTAAACCGTCCGCAGTCATGTGAAAATCCACAGTGGGTGAAATGTATTCAAGTGTGATCAATGCGGAAAGGGTTATGCAACATCTCCAGAGCCACACCATACTCCACACAGGAGAAAACCATACAGCTGTGATCAGAGTGGAGAGACTTTTGCTGTATCTATTTCAGTTTGCACATGATCGTCCACACAAATAACTCAAAAAACATGAGAGCCTTCACACAGGTGAGAAGCCGTTTGAGTGTGACCAATGTGCAACAATGTTAAGGTTAAAAAAACTTTTGAGATTTCACAAACGGGTTTAAAGTGTATGCAACTAGTGTGAAAAATCCTATAAACGATCAGAGCATCTGACCAGTCACTACCGAACCCACACAGGAGAAAAACTGTCCAGCTCTGATCAGCGTGGGAAGGAATTTTAAACTAAATGTTCATATAAATCTCATTAAAATGTCATTATCTTTTTTGCCATTAACATCTCCTTTATTGTAATCCATTTATGGGTCAATGCTCATTTGTGCTACCCTCGAGTCAAGCTTACCCGCCGCAGATGGTTAAGTAGAAGAACATTCCCTAAATTAGGGTCTAAAACACATGTGTCAAAGTCAAGGCCCGCGGGCCAAATCCGGCCCGCGAATGAATTATCTATGGCCCCCGGGACATTGCCGGCCATTGAGGCAATGTATTGACCCTAAGCTCGCTAGCCCCCGCGGCGGGAGCAAACGAGGAAAAAAATACATCTGCTGGCAATAGCAGATGTATTTTGAACTTCATAAGCCACAAGCTATATATCATTTTAAAGCTTATTTTCTCAGCTATATTTATATGTAAGTGTAAACGATATCAGACTTTGCATTAAAAAGATATAATGCATAATATGGGCACAAAATAAATCAGTCTGTATTTGTTTTTTACCTTTCATCTTCTGCTGCTCCAACAAATTAGACTTTCCCCATCCTTGCTTAGTCTCTTTCTCTCCGTAACTGTTCATTGAAGAAGAATATCCACTTGTATTTCCCAAAGTATAATCCATTCTGCAGATTTAATCAAAAAACGCCCCGAAAAGAGGTCCAGACTGCTCTTTTACATTTCACCAAGTTTGAGCTTTTTCTTTTTTTACTATTTTCATGTTCTCAGATGTCTATTACATCTAATACATATTAGATGTAATAGACATCTGAGAACATGAAAATAGTAAAAAAAGTAGTACAGTATGAGGATTGGCTTTAGAGCATATTTTATCGAGGCAGCAGGTGTCACCGGCACTGCCTCTGGATGTTGAGAAACATTGAACCAGTCCGGCCCTCGGCGCGTAGCAAACATTTTTTTTTGGCCCTCTGATGTATTTGACTTTGACATGCCTGGTCTAAAAGGATCTAAATGACCCAGGGCTAGTCAAGTTAGGATATATCATCAAAATTCAACTTGAAATTAAAATATTTAGGGTAATTTTGAAACACTGGAGGTTCAATTTGACCCTAGAAGAGCACAACTTAAAAGTCTTATACGTGTGACATTTGGACATTAAAAACCCTCACAGCGTATTATGTACACACTGGAAAGCGATTGTATGTCTGTGATGAGTGTGGAAAGGCGTTTACACAATCCTCTGTTTTAAAACCCCATAAAACAGTTCAGTGACGAGGAGGTTGTATAATATGACAAATGTGGCAAGAGGTTTGAATTACTGTCACTCCTTGAATACATCATAATGTTCACACTAAAGAGAAACTATTTAAATGAGAGGAATGTGGACAGGCTTTCAAATCTAAAGCATCCTTATGTCATCAGACGTCAAGTAAATTATCACATCACAAACTGGTTCATAGTGAAGAGAGGCCACATGTGACCAGTGTGGAAAGGCTTTCAGACTAGACTAGACTTCTCGACACACTTGGACGGTGAACTTCTTCCTTCTGTCGCCCGATGCGCTGTTCTCCACGGGTCCTTTCTGACTAAACTCTGATAGGATACAGTAGGATGGAAGCCCCCTCACTCGCTCTCGTCGACTGATCTAAAAATCCCAATTTCTTATACGTTTTTATATTTTTCTGTACAGAGAATAATATATATATATTTTTTAAAGCTGCCGTGTGTGAGTGTGAGTCTGTGTAGAGTTCTAAGATTTGTGGAAATATTTCTAACAACAAATAAGAACATTTCCATAATATGTAAAGTCATGTTGTAGGGAGACTATTTGAGGACCAACTTGAGAGTGATATGTCATTATTTTAATGTTAAATCAGAATGATATGGTAAAGTTGGTACATTTAGACGGCAGTTTGGTCAGAGAACAGTGACAATGGTTGGATGACTTGGATCTGGTCATTCTTGTATTAGTATTACATGCAACCATTTCATTCCATTTTGATCAATAAAAGAAAAGATAGAAAAGAAACTGTACAAAAGCACAATCTTTTTAATCCTATGGAGGCATTTTACACGATATAATTTGCAAATCAACATGAAAACTTGCCAATTATTTAGGATGCAGCACTCACAAGAAAAAAGAATGCTACAAAATACATTTGAGCGCAGGAATTCTGTAACAAAAAACATTTGCCCAGTTTTCTCCCCGTCACTTTTCACTGTCAGAAATGTGCAATTCTACCACAAAGTCCAGGCCTGGCCCGGGCGTGACTAGGGGTCTGCGTGTTCGTGTAATAAACCCAACCGGACCACGACAACTCTGTCTTTTTTACTCTCCACAGGCTCCGCCTCTTCCTCCTCTTGGCGACGTTTCCGTTTGTTTTTGGCTCTGCGTACAGACTCGGCCTCCTCGGTCTCCTCCCCAAAGTCACCAACTAGAGATGGAAAGAGTTTTGTGTAAAAGAATAATAAAGGGCGTACACACTTGAAACTTTGTTTGTAGGTACTAAAGTATTGTTTTTAAAAAGTAATTTAAAAATATGTTCATGGACTGAAATGTTTGTTTTGCATTGACTGTGGATGAGTTTAGCCATAAGTGTATGTACGTTATGGTCTCATACTGAGACTGAAATGATGCTTTTGTTGTGAAATGTATCCTATTGTATAAACAGGATATGCATGTTGAGGTGAGAGGACGTGTGTGCAGACGTCTGTGGGAATAAGACAAGATGAGAAAAGAAACTTTATAGATCTCACACTGGAGAAATTTACACGTCACATTTGGCATAAATAGAATCACTCAAGACTGTGCAAAAAAGACAGAAATGTTAAGGTTAAAAATATAGGTCTGTGCAGGTTATTATATACAATAGAATAAAAATATATGTGTTTTAACATGTTTTTTGTTTGTTTATTTGTTTGTGTATGCAGTTGTTTTATTGTTTAAACTTGTTTTCCATCCCCCAAAATATAATCTCTCTGCCCTAAAGTTTCTGAGAGCTGCTGGAGTAGGACAGAATACAGATGAGATTGGGGGAAATTTGAAGCAGATACAGTGCCTTGCGAAAGTATTCGGCCCCCTTTGAACCTTTCAACATTTCGCCACATTTCAGGCTTCAAACATAAATATATAAAACTACATTTTTTGTCAAGAATCAACAACAAGTGGGACACAATCGTGAAGTGGAACGAAATGTATTGGATAATTTAAACTTTTTTAACAAATAAGTTTGTGTAAGCTCTCAGTCGCACAGGGATTAGTCAAAGCAAAGGAAGGTTTCTCACCCATCATCTGTACTTCTTAGCAAGTTTTCCCGACGTTTCGTCCTCAAACTAGCGGACTTCTTCAGGGAATTAATTCTCGGACCGCGCGTTGGAGATTTATAACCTATGGGTGTGGTTAGCCACACCCTAATCCTGATACTAACTCATAAACAATCTAAGGTCTGATTTAGAAGGGAGCAGGTCTAACGACCCTGCTGAGGCTAACGACCCTAACTCCTTAGCATGTCACAGACCTATTGTCTGCTGGGATGCTCACGTGGAGTGCAGGTCTCACCCCTCCTAACTCATTAGCATGTCACTGACCCTGTCCCAAGTTAGGGCGTTGTTTTTAGGATGTCGTCATAGATGCGAGGCAAAACAAATCTTAACCCTCCTCCTCTGTTAAGAGAAGGTTTTTGTTTCCTCACAAAAATGGCTTCTTTCACCCCTCTCTCAAACCAATTCTTCTCCCGAGCCAGAATTTTAACCTCTGTGTCATCCACCGTGTGGTTGGAGGCCTTGAGGTGGAGATGAACAGCCGACTGTGGCCCACTAGAGTTTTCTCCATGATGTTGGTAAAGTCGTTTCTGTAGAGTTTGTTTGGTTTCTCCAATATAGTGGTCAGTGCACTCCTCTTCACTACATTTAATTGAATACACCACATTGCTCTGTTTGTGTCTGGGTGTTTTGTCTTTGGGATGCACTAATTTCTGTCTTAACGTGTTGAAAGGTTTGAAATACACAGGGATTTTGTGTTGCCTAAAGATTCTTTGTAGTTTCTCTGAAAACTCCCGCCACATACGGTAAGGACACCCCTCTCCTCCTACTTTCTTCTGTCTGTTGGACTGTGTCTCTGGCCTTTCTCGTCCTTTGGGCTTTAGTAAAAGACCACTTGGGGTAGCCACATCTGGAAAGTGCTCTCTGAACCTGTTTGGTTTCTCTGTTCTTTCCCTCCGAGCTTGTGGGGACCTGGTGGGCTCGGTGTTGAAGCGTTCTAATGACCCCGAGTTTGTGTTGTAGCGGATGGTTTGAATCAAAGGCCAAGTACTGGTCAGTGTGAGTGGACTTTCTGAAGACCTCAGTCTCTAATTGTCCGTTCTCCAGTATGATGACCTTACAATCTAGAAAGGCGAGTTCACTCTCCTTAGCATCGTCGCGAGTGAAATTTATAAAAGGGTCCACCAAATTAATGTGTTCTGAAAATGGTTCCACTTCCTGTTTCTTTAACTTAACCCATGTATCGTCTACATATCGAAACCAATGGCTTGGCGCTGTCCCTTGGTAAGAGACCAGGGCTTGTTCCTCCAGTTTCTCCATATACAGATTGGCCACTATAGGAGAGACTGGGGAGCCCATCGCACAGCCATGAATCTGTCTAAAGAAGGTGCCTCTAAATTGGAAATACGTGGTGTTAAGACACATTTCAAGTATTTCACAGATGTGGTCAGCTGTTAGTTTCGTTCTCTCCCCTAGTGTGGCGTCTTTCTGTAGGCTTTCTCTTACAGCCTCCACCGCCTCTGTAATAGGGACAGACGTGAAAAGTGATGTCACATCAAACGAGACCATTGTCTCATCTGTGTCAAACTGGAGCTGTTTGATTTTATTTACAAATTCTTTTGTGTTTTCTATGTGATGGTGGGTGTTACCCACCAAAGGAGCCAGAATGGTTTTGAGGTGTTTAGCCAGGTTGTAGGTGATAGAGTCTATGCTACATACAATAGGCCGAAGTGGAAAGTTTTGTTTGTATATTTTTGGGAGTCCATAAATACTGGGGATGGTGTCTCCTGGGTAAAGTTTGTAATATAGTGGTTTTTCAATAATGCCCTCTTTCATTAAGCTCTGAAGGAAGTCTATAATCTTTTTCCTAAACCCACTGGAACGGTCCCTCTTCAATGGCTGGTACGTGCTGGTGTCCAAGAGTAACTGATTAACTTTGGCCTCATAGTCTGAGCTGTTGAGGATAACTGCATCTGCCTTTGTCAGCTGGTAAAATAGTTATACTCTCATCCTTTTGTAATGCCAATAATTCTTTTTGCTCATCTAATGAGACATTGGATTGTGGGGGCTTCGCACTTTTGAGTGTTGCAGAGACTCTCAGTCTGAGGGCCCCCGCCTCACTCTCAGTTAGTTTGTTGTTTCTAATGGCTTCTTCTGCTGCTGTGATGTATTCAATTGTAGGAATATTTTTGGGGTTATTGCAAAATTTAGGCCTTTAGTAAGAACATCTTTTTCCGCTTGTGATAAATGCCAATCGGACAGATTTTTGACCCAATTCTCCCTGTCCAAGCCTTGTCCAATTTCACTTTTAGAATGTTGAAAAGAATTATGGTTTTGGAGTTTTAGGAATTTGCCTATCTGACGTTCTTTGGCCTTCTTTGATGGTTCAGTTGGGCAGTTTCCGTAAACGTCCAAATCCTCTGAAAAAACTCTGGTGAGACTGCCAATTCCAGTTTGTGCTTAAGGCCCTCTATCTCGTCCTTTAGGTTTACAATCTCTATGTTAAGTCGTCGAATTCTTAAATTGAGAATCTTCATACAGTAGTTTTGTTGTATTTTTCTTGAATGGTTGGGTGGTGTGGGAGGGGCCGATGCACAGGACTGGTTGCCTTCGCTTCCTGTTAGTGTGCCTCAGGCAGTTTGTGCTACAGTAGTAGTTTAGCAGGCATGGAGTATGGAGTGAAAGAATAATAACATTGAAGCGTCCTTGAGTGTCCTGAAATAACGATATGAAAACTACAAATCATCATCATCATCGATCATTGCCGTCATCATCATCATCATCACCGGCATCATCATCATTCCCGCAGTTATCATCATCATCAACCGCATCATCAAGCCACATCTCATTGTCATCATCATCTTCGCCAGTCATCATCATCATCATCACTGTCATCATCATCATCGCCGTCATCATCATCGTCCTCATCAAATCATCGCAATCATCACCGTCAAACATCATCACACATCCATCACCACCCATCAGCGTCAACATCATCAACATCACCGACCAATCATCGTCAACAATCATCATCATCATCGCCATCATCATCATCATCATTGCATAAGCATTGTCAACCATCATCATCATCATCATCGTCACATCATCGCCCGTCCACATCATCATCAATCAGCTTCATCATCATCATCGCCGTCCTTCAGCTCATCACATCACCCCGTCATCATCATCGTCATCATATCATCATCGTCATCATCATTATCATCAACAACACCGTTCATCATCATTCATAAGCACTGTCATCCACCTTCATCATCATCATCACCATAAACATGATAGATGACAGAATTTGGTTTTTGCAAGACTCTTACTGTTGGGTACAAACAATATCGAGTACGTATCAAACAAAAAAGTTCGATACCCCAGGCTTTATTTGAATTTGACACATGTCTCACGCGATTCTCAACACCAACTCTTCTCACCCTGCAATCATTGTGTTTTCCACGCCATGTCCTCGCATACTGCCCTCGTAAACCAACGCTTACGATTTCCGTCCTCCCATCAATAACAGAAACACGTTTTGTTGCAAACTTTTCTTTCAGTGAGAGACAAAGTCAAAAATGGAGAGACCGACACTCAAATGCGGAGAAAAATCCAAATGATAGTGGGTGGTTTATGGCCGTGCGTCCGGATTGATTGGGAAGCAGCAGCTGGTCTCAGGCGGGCGCGGCGGCCTCTGGGGGGGGTAAAGACGTGCTCAGATTGCTGACCACAAGTGAAGGCGGTGCAGACAGCCGTGAGTGACAGGGACACACACGCTCTTAGCCGGGAGTCTCAACGGAGGAGAATACCGCTTTTGTGTCTGACTGTTGTCCTGTGTCGTATTATTTGGCAAAGGTTCTGTTCACCGAGGTGAATGAAGACTTGTGGAAATTGTTGAAAATGTGAAAGCTGTGAAACGTGTCAAAAAAAATGACGGAATAAAGAAATACAAAACCAATGGTTGACTGCGGAAGGTTCCGCAGTCAATCAATAAAACTACCTGGAGCTGAACGCCCAGAAGATAGTGGAGATGATTGTGGACTTCAGGAAGAGCACTGTCCCCCCGCCCCCACCCTCCGTGATGGACTCCCCCATCACCTCTGTGGAGTCCTTTCGTTTCCTGGGCACCACCATCACCCAGGACCTCAAGTGGGAGCCGACCATCAGCTCAGGCCCAGCAGAGGATGTACTTCCTGTGGCAGCTCAGATAAGCCAAGCTGCCTGCACAGATGTTGGTGCAGTTCTACACAGCCATCACCTCCTCCATCACCGTGTGGTTCGCTGGAGCCACTGTCAGGGACAAACAGAGACTACTGCGCATTGCACACTCTGCCTTTCTGAGTGGAGTTTACATGTTCTCCCCGTGCCTTCTTATGTTTCCTCCGCGTGCTCCAATTATAAATGTAATGAGTGATTGAATGCAGGGTGTTGGGTGGGGGCTTTGATGCACCAGTGTTTGGCGTCTCGCTTCCATCATCACCGTGTGTGGGGAGAATAATCTGAAAAATATCTGATTTTGAACAGTGTAAAGTGTGCTATATAAAAACACATTGCTTACTTTTGTGGAAAATCAATCACACAGAGACGGGATCTTTGTGCACCAAAGCTCGCTGGAAGTTTATTCAGTTTCTCTCTCAGGTTTCTTACAGGTTTTTTCAGTTTTTTCAGACAGAACATAATCATGTGACAAACCGAGGGCTCGTAGTTATGTTTTTACGTTAAAATAATAAAACAAACTATAAGGACACAGATAAGGGGATTGAGTGAGGACAAAAAGTTTCCATTTAAGCATATTTTATTCTTAATTTAGCTTATTTTGTACTTGTAGCACAGAATACACTTATTCTTTGACAGGGTAAAAAGACAGCAAAGACAGTAAAGACAGCGGTGGTTGTGCTGCGCACCCGGCTCTCTCAAGCTGTTCCAAACTTCAGGTAGGACAGTCTCTGGAGTTCTACTGGGGAGGGAATGACTCCAGCTTCAGAGGACCACCGGGGACCACACACCCGGTCTACAGAGAAGCGCCCCCAGCTGCGCATTAAAAGCGCCTCCAGAGCCATCAGTGCCACTACCTGCTACGCGGCGACACCCAAACACACACACACAAGCCGAGCGACCAGCACCCGGAAGTACAGACGGCAAGCGGGGCAACGTCAATACTTTGAAGGTTTTTATAGTGTGCCGTGTGGCGCCTCCAGCTGGTGGGCGGATAAACTGGCCACACTACTACATATATGGTTTATAAACTCAACGTTTACGTCACATATACGTCATACGTGGAAAAGCATTTGTGTCACATCAAGAGACAATCAGAACATAACAAGACATTGAAAGAACAAAACACGGACACACAATCATAGCAGATACACAATCGGGTCGTTGTTAACTATGCAAGGCCAGATCACTTTATAGCTATCTAATTCCCATACTTACACCAAACTCATTCTAGACAATGAGGGTGAAGTGTCTTGCCTAAGGACGCAGCAACAGTTTGGCACAGAGGTCTGACAGGATCTGAGTTTCACATGCAGTTATGGCCACAGATGTTAGAGATTTAAAAAAGTGTCAAAATCCGATGTGAGTCCTGTGACTCAGACACAACCTGAAAAAGGCAGGAAGGAAGTCAGGCAGGAAGACCCCACTGCTCCAAGACAGACTGCAGTTTGTCAAAGCAAACAGGGAAAAGGTTTGACAAGTATTCTGTGAACCGTTAAACCACAATTCTTAAGCATCGTTATGTTTGAAGGAAAAAAAGAGAGGCATGTCAAGTAAAAGCATCTAGTCCCTGGAGCACAGGCGGGGCAGCATCATGTTGTGGGGTCGTTTTTACTTGAGGAGGACTGGTGTATCATGGACAGAAGAATGATACTGCCTACTGACTAAATCAATGTAGACAAGTGAAGAAGATGACATAGTCTGCTGAAGAAGATGACATAGTCTGGGATCGCGTCTTTAATTCAGACAGAAGACATGTTTTATTGTCAATGGTAGAGACAGCACGATCAACAGATACAACAGAATGCAAGTGTATTATACAGAGCGGAGGCATGGAGACCTCCAATTAGCAGCTGCCACGGTGCCATGTAGCTTGGCCTTCAGATAGACAAAACAAAGGAAAAGTACTGGCTTCTGCACATTGATAGAATGATGAGTTTAACTTTAACAAAAGTTGCTTCAAAGTGTTATGAAATCTCACATTCCCCCCTCTGGTCACACATTCACGTGTGACCATCAGGATCGATAAACAGCTACATAACATCATAACTCAATACTTAAACTCGGTACTTCACTCGGTACTTCAAAAAACTCAGAACTCGGAATACTTCAAAAACTCATAAAACTCATAAAACATGTTCAGATCTTTCATAAAACTTGTCAACAATCTTCAGTAAAATACCAAACTTCATCAGTTGATGGTGGTTCCAGATATTGCTTTGAAAACAGTCTCTCCCACTTCTCCGTGTTGGTTTCTTCAGGCTGCATTTGTGTCGAGCCATGAATTCTTCTGTGACGTGTCGTTCAATCACACGTTTCAGCTTCAGTGTCCAGATTCAGCAATTCAATTCAGTCCAAATGATGTCCAAATTCAGAAATCCAGATTGTTCCAAATGATGTCCAAATTGTGTAATCCAATTTTTCCAAATGGTGTCCATGCAAAAGAGGACAATGGTCTTGTCCATGTCTCAGCAGCTCACAGCCTGACTGGAATCAGGGGCTGTGCAGATTGTCCAAATGTGCTGGTCCAGATGCATGGTTTCTCTTGAGGTTTCTCAGTTTTGGCTTAAAAGAAAACACTTTTTGTGTAAAAAAAAAAAAAAGTCTTCTGTTCTCTAGATGTTACAGACAAGGCCCGCATTCTTCCACCACTTGAAGAAGATGACATAGTCTGGGATCGGGTCTTTAATTCAGACAGAAGACATGTTTTATTGTCGATGGTAGAGACAGCACGAACAAAGCACACGATCACGAACACAGATACAAGAGAATGCAAGTGTATTATACAGAGCGGAGGCATGGAGACCTCCAATCAGCAGCTGCCACGGTGCCATGTAGCTTGGCCTTCAGATAGACAAAACAAGGGAAAAGTACTGGCTTCTGCACATTGATAGAATGATGAGTTTAACCTTAACAAAAGTTGCTTCAAAGTGTTATGAAATCTCACACTGCGATCTTTAATTCAGACAGAAGACATGTTTTATTGTCGTTGATAGAGACAGCACGAACACAAACAAGGATATTACAAAATGCAAGTGATAATAAACAGCGGAGTAATGGAGTCCTCCAATCAGCGTTTGCCACAGTGGGTTTGTAGCTTCAACCTTGAGATAACCAAAACATGCTGTGGAAAAGTACTGGCTTGTGCATATTGTTAGAATGATGAGTTTAACTTTAACCACAGTTGCTTCAAAGTGTCATGAAATACCTAAACAAGGCAGTAACTTACATTTAAAAACAAACGTGACAGAAACATTGTCAGTTACAGCTGCGTTGACTTCAAATCAAATGTATTTTAATTGGGTATTACAATAAAACTATAGATGTGTAAAAAGGTATTCTAAATGTAGTTACTGTCATGCGTTCTTAGTACATGTACAGTTACTCCCCTGTTGTTCCGGTCTACAGAGGAGAGAGTGTGTGTCTCTGCATGTATCGCACCTCTTTGTCCTGACTGAGGCGCTATCCGGACTCCGTGTTGGGTGCCATGCGGAGACCTGCTCACAGTGAAGGATGCTCAGGGGAACTACTTCATCAACAATGACAAAACCCTGTTCAGGTTCAGGACTTTTATAAATCGAAGGTTGGGATTGGTTGAAAACGAGCCAGCCTGAAACAGTTGTGGCCTGAATCAGATTTTTTTGCCCATAACCAGAGAAACAAACTGCATAAGAGCTTGTAGTTATTATTTGGTCATTTTTCAATAACCATTTGTGTTGTTTTTACGTTAAGACTTAGTTTTAAGTAAAATAACAATACAAATCTGCCAACTACGTTATTGACAGTCTAAATCACTTAAAAAACAATAGCATTACGATGAATTAAAATTCATAACAATTTTAAAATCGTTATGAAAGGGTTACTTGACTATGTTTAATTTTGGCTAAATTAAATCTGAAATATTCTTCTTTTCTGCAAACTCTTTTGTCAGGTACATCTTGAACTTCATGTGCACTTCTGAGCTCACTCTTCCCTGTGACTTCAAAGAGACTGCTGAGGAAGGAGACAGACTTTTATCAGATTGAGCCCCTGCTGCACTGTCTGGGAGACCCCAAGCCCTCCGCACTGTGTCCGACAGACTCGTTTGAGGAAGTGGTGGAATTGTCCAGCACCAGGAAGTTGTCCAAATACTCCAACCCTGTGGCGATGATCATCACCCAGTTAACAGTCACCACCAACGACGGACTGAACTCTTCCTGTAGATGCATTACACAACAGTTAATAACATTTCCTTCTCATATGTGTATCGTAAAGCTGCATAATATGTGCATTTGTTTACATCATAATGTGTGCTCCTCATAAGTGCTGTGATACAATTCAGACAAATTTAATGTAGTGAGAATTCATTCTGGCCCAAATGAGTGTGTTTTATTTAATAGAGAATATTCACTGAAACCGAATAAAGATTGTAATACAAAAGGCTCAAATTTAAACTCTATTCTTCTTAACAAAAGAAGAATAGGTCATATTTAGAAAATGTCCCATTTGGATGGATGGATCGGGGTGAGGTGTGCTGATTTGTGCCAGAAAAAAATCTAAAGGCTAAAAAAGAGACAATTTTTGTGCCCTTTAATGTAAAAAGATTTAAAACAAAAATCTATGTTTTGTAACAATAATTTGGTTTATATAGTGTTCCATCTCCAGGAGTAATCTATAAGTTTCCACAGGTGCAGAGTGTTCTTGGGGCCAACAAACACATGTTGGATACCAGAGACTACCAGGTCTCCTATGCCTTTGGACCAGTACAGACTCAGGTACGGTGAGGGGAAAGAATCTGCTGCTCACTCTGTCAATGCACGTTAGCGCACTTGAATGTAAAACCATGTAATGGATATACTTGCAATAGTTTTGTACATATACGTTTCACATATATATTTATCTGCATTGTAGATATTATTCTGTACTTGTGCTATTGCAACTATGGTTAGATTCTAAACTGCATTTCGTAACATTGTTCTGACCTTGTAATGACAAAAAAGTTGAATCTAAACTAATCTAATCTCCTGCTGAAGTTAGAATTGACATATAAAACACAAGAACAAAGGAGTGGCTCTTGACCAGTGGTTTTATAAAGAAAGGCACATTCAATGGGACTGGGAAATAGAGTTGTTTTGCATCTGATTCAATCTTTGGATATATTTCAATCCCATTTTTTAGTTTTTACAAATAATTATCTCTTGAAATAAAAAAAAGTGTTAATCAGTTGTGATTAGTACAAGACAAAACAGCTGCAGTTTCATAAAACTGTGAAATAACTGTAAAGACTTTTTCTTTATAAAGTCACTTTACTGCCCATCATAGGTCACTTTACTTCACTGTACTGCTGTCACCTTACATTGTGTGCACCATGTGCACTTGTATATTGTAAATAGTAACTGTAACTCTATTTTAAATTTAAATTTATTCTTTAGAAGTGTTTTTATTCTTATTTTTATTATCTCTTTTTGACTGTTGCACTGAGCCAAAGCAATTTCCTAGTCTGTGACCTCCTGTTACTTACGTGGCAATAAAAATGATTCTGATTCTGATTCTATATAAATAAAATGCACCATGTGTTGCAGACCTCCGTTCTTCATCGCCAAGTGTCGGAGCTCCAAGGACCTGAAACGAGACCAGGACCAGAGAGGCGTGAGAGGCGGTTGCCCTGGAGACGTGGGGGGAGGTGGTTGCCATGGAGACAGGAGGATGTTGCTATGGCGTCACCAGTTTGTGACAACCAATGAGTAGTGGCGACATTTAAATGAGGCGGGAAAATTGCATTTTGTTTCACAGCGTAGGACGGGCGCCACGGTGATATTTACATTTACTGTATGTTCATTAATGTAAATATATCTTAATCTTAATCATCTATGTTCATTAATGGCAGTTTTATCAAAGGTGATTGGCTCCAAATTCAAGCCCAACTTGACTTTCCGTGTGCATCCATTTAAGCAGTTAAGTCGGACGCCTTCATGTATTTTAGATGTACTTGTGACTTATTAACGATCTCAGATTCTCAGACAAAAATTGTTTGGACGTTCTTTTCTTTAGACTTTAATGACTTTGTTATGCACATTTGCTACATAAATACATTTCCTTTTCTACAAAAGCAAAGTAGTTTTGTAACAGGTCCTTGTTGAGCAGTAAATGACACTAAACATAGAAGTGAAGACCAGACAAGCACCAAAAGCACTGAACATAAACAGCTGACAGTCAGTGACCAGGGCAGCCTTAGTCCAGACAACACAAGACTTTAAACTTCACAGGCGTTTGTCCTCAAACAAAGACGTGATATCAAGGCGGAGCCCGGACCAAGGACAACCTCAGTTCTTGTTAAAGTCTGTGTGTCTCAGTGTGTGTTGTCTGACGTGGGCTCCATGACATCACTCACAGCCCAAGTTCACAAATCGTGATCCAAACTCCACCTCTCTCATGTCTTTGAAGTGTCAGCGCAGCTTCAAATTTGAATATGGAGCAAAATTTAAAAAAAAATCATGAAAATGGACCAAATTATATTTTTGGTCCATTTATAAGTGCATATGAGGAGTGCGTCAAAAGAACGCTTGGATAAAAAAAGTCTATGGAAATCATGTTGAATTATTTAGGTTGTTGCCAGGATGATGTATGGAAGTACAGTGGGACCATACATAGTTTTGACAGACTCAAAATCACTGGATGTCATCAAGAAAAGTTCACCAAAGGTTATTAAAAGATAAGTCTCCGAGTCCCGACCCACTAACGACACAAATCATTCACTCAACCCACTTTCTCGCCTCGTATCTACTTATCTAAAGCCATAAATCATTTCCTCCTTGTATAAAATTTTGCGTATTAGGGAAAGCTGGAGTATCAGGAGGGAACCTACGCAAACACAAGGAGAACGTGCAAACTCCATACAGAAGGGAGAACTGATTATTATTTAATTTACTCCAATTTAATGTTCGTTTTTTAAGGCAAGGCAAGGCAAGTTTATTTGTATAGCACAATTCATACACAAGGCAATTCAAAGTGCTGAACAAAACAAGAAAGCATTAAATAATCACAGAACATTAAAAAGAAAGATAAAAATATAAAATCCCTCAGTTGTATGCACAGTTAAACAGAACTGTTTTTAACCTGGTTTTAAACATTGTCAGAGAGGAGGCCTGTCTCACATCTTCAGGGATATTATTCCAGATTTTAGCAGCATGAATCTGAAAAGCAGCCTCCCCATGTTTAGTCCTGACTCTGGGCACTAACAGGAGTCCAGTCCCTGTGCTCCTCAGAGTCCGGGCTGGTTCATATGGGACTAACATGTCACTAATATATTTTGGTGCGAGGCCATGGAGAGATTTGTAACAAGCAGAGCTGTTTTAAAGTCTATTCTCTGAGCCACAGGAAGCCAGTGCAGAGACCTGAGGACTGGACTAATATGGTCGTACTTCCTGGTTCTAGTCAGGACTCGAGCTGCTGCATTTTGAATGTACTGCAGCTGTTTTACAGCCTGTTTGGACAGACCTGTGAGCAGGCCATTGCAGTAGTCTAACCTACTGGAGACAAATGCATGGATAAGAATCTCCAGGTCTGCTTTAGACACTATGTTTTTGATCCTGGCAATGTTTTTCAGATGGTAAAAAGCTGCTGATGTTACTGATTTGATGTGGCTATTAAAATTTAAGTCTGAGTCCAGTATTACCCCTAGATTTCTGACCTTGTTTGAAGGTTTTAGGGAGAGAGACTGTAGATGACAGATGATGCTCTCTCTTTGTTTCTGGGGACCAAAGACAATCATTTCAGTTTTGTCTGCGTTTAGCTGAAGGAAGTTTTTTTGCATCCATTCACTGATCTGTTGGATACAGTGAAGGAGTGAGTCCACTGGTCCATGTTCTCCTTCAGTCAGTGAGACATAGATCTGAGTGTTGTCTGCATAGTTGTGATAGGACACTTTGTTTCTGCGTATTAACTGACCTAACGGCAGCATGTAGAGATTGAACAGAAGAGGTCCCAGGATCGACCCCTGTGGTACTCCACAGGTCAGGGCCATATGATCTGAGACACAGTTTCCAATCTCCACAAAGTACTTCCTGTCCTCAAGGTAAGACATAAACCAACTTAGGGCGGTGCCAGCGACGCCAACCCAGTCCTCTAGTCTCTGTAAGAGGATCTCATGGTCGACAGTGTCAAAGGCAGCACTCAGATCTAACAAGATTAAGATTGAGACTTTGCCTGCGTCAGTGTTCAGCCGGATATCGTTTGTAACCTTGACAAGAGCAGTCTCAGTGCTGTGGTGAGGTCTAAAGCCGGACTGAAACATATCAAATGAGTTGTTGATTATAAGAAATCTAGTAAGCTGTAGGTAGACCACTTTCTCAAGGACTTTCCCCATAAATGGCAGATTTGAGATGGGACGATAGTTGTTAAGTACCGTAGCATCGAGACAGCTCTTTTTTAGCAGGGGCCTGATGACTGCAGTTTTCAGGGCCTTTGGGAATATTCCAGAATCAAGGGACATGTTTACTATCTGTGTGAGTGAAGGTAACAGACTGCTCAGAACAGACTTTAGAAATCTAGTGGGTAGTACATCCAAGCTGCACGTGGAGGAGCTCAAACTGGAGATTATCTCTTGGACAGTTTGATCATTTACAGGAGCAAAGTGAGTTAGCTCAGAGAGCATTTCTGGCTGTTGGATTGTTATCTGTGGATTGGAGACAATGGCGTTTTTGATGCCTTGAACCTTGTCATTGAAAAAGTGTGCAAACTCATTGCATTTACGTTTGGAAGTTAGCTCTAATGGCATCTGAACAGGGGGGTTTGTTAATCTATTAACTGTTGAGAACAGAACACGCAGATTGTTGCTGCAGCCTTCAATCATTTCAGAAAAATACCTTTCTCTCGTACTACGTAGCACCCGGTTAAACTCACACAACTTATCCTTGAAGATCTTGTAATCAACCTGGAGGTTGGACTTGCGCCACTTCCGCTCGGCCCTCCGGCACTTTCTCTTTTATGCCCTGACCGAGTCTGCTTTAGCCCACGGCGCCTTCTGCTTATTTTTCACTATTTTAACCTTCACAGGGGCAACGGTATCCAGAACATTGAAAACACTAGAGGTGACAGAGTTAAACAGTTCATCTACAGTAGAATACGATGCATTTTCAAAGTTTATCATTCCCATAAATAGATCACTCGTATTTTCATTTATGTGTCTTCTTCGAACAGTTGCAGAGTCCACTGGTGGTTTGTTAGTGAAACACATGTCAAAAATAACACAGAAATTACATGTAATATTATCATCTTATCCTACTGGTCAAGAATAAAAATATATTGAAAAACACGTATTATCTATTTTAAGTAACTGCTATAAATAAATGAAAAACACTGATTCCTACAAATATTTTCCCCATAAACAGCTATTTGACTGGTGTAAAACTACGAACTGGTGCCGTGGTATGATAGTGAGCCTATGGAAATTATCCATATCATTGATCGGTCAAAAGAAACCTTGCTGAAGAAAATATGTTTTTCTTTGTTCTTAATTGTTTGTGACTATTTCAATACAGTTTGATTAGAATGACTTTGCAAGTTAAATAAAGATCAGAGAATTTCAATTGCACAGTCGAGCCTTTACTGCCCTGAGTGCTCCATCATACGAAGCTCCTCCAAGGGAAATGTGACGGACTCAGACTGGGCTGGTTTTAAACACGAACTTCTTTAAGAACCAGTTGTGTGAGCATTAAAGAGCTGGAGGACATCTGCCTTAATATTATGTGAATGTAATAATGTAAAATGTGTTTTTATATTGTGTGAAAAGTCCGATTCTAGGGATGGACATTGCCAATTAGCCTCGCCTATAAATGTTGTAGTCTTTCACATGTTGTTTGTGTACACTTGTCCCTATCAAATGCATTAAAATATATAATAATAATGCTGAAATTTCCCCACTGTGGGACAAATAAAGGATCTCTTCATCTTAAAATAATAAATAAATAACTAGTGTCTCTGTTTGTTGTTGTTGGTGGTGTGACATGAGATCTCAAAAAAGTTGGGGAACACTGACTGAACTAGATCAAGAGCTATGAAACAGATTTACGACCCACGTGTACTGCTAAATACTAACCAATAAAGACATATTCAGAAAACCCTGGCCCGAACTTCAATAACTAACTGTGCTGTTGATTTGTCATGATTTAAACCTTTACGATTTACACAATGACTTCATTTACTAATAGATGTTTTGCGTGAATAATAATCGGGGACAGGGAGATTTCAAGGTTCACAGCCTCCGAATAATGCAGAATATTTTTGATTGTATTGTAGGTATCAGACTGTCCTAAAGTTACAGCTGTCAGCCCCCACCAAACTAATCATCTGCAGTAGCATTTATTTCCCCACTGAGGGAGCATTTACCACATTTTAAACAACTATACAGGGTCAAATCTTTCTGTAAACGTCCTTCTTTTGAGCTGTAACCCATGACCACACTCGGCGACAACAGCCAGACTCCAATAATGAGAAAATCAGTGTTAATATTAATTTGTTTACATCCACAACAAGCAAGCGAGTGTGACGTATCTAAAAGAAACAAGTATCCGGTCTCACCAAAATAAGAGTAAGTAAGTAGTAAGTAATCTTTATTTATATACCGCCTTTTCACTGCAGATCTGAGTCTCAAAGCGGTTTACAATTGTTATTTTTTTGGGCATTTGTCTTTCACTCCACACAGAGATGGGAGCGGGGTCGCCAGTACAGGAGGCACATGCCAGACCTATTGTACATATTTTTAGAGGTAGGGGAAACCGGAGTACCCGGAGGAAACCTACACAGACACGGGGAGAACATGCAAACTCCACTCAGAAAGGCCCTGGTCCGAACCCAGGACCTTCTTGCTGAGAGGCGAGTGTGCTATCCACTCAGCCACCGTGCCACACTCTCCAACTGTAAAAAGTCTGCACTGAGCCCTTTTATTTTTCATTCCATATATTTTTAAGAAACATCTATAATTTTGTTTTATATATCATACATTAACAAGAATAAAAGTAAGAAATACTACTTCTGTGTTTATAACAATACAGACTTTTATGTGGATTAACGTTAAGGATATGCTCTTGGCACGTGATTTACTCCTAGACTGTATTGCAGTAAGATAAGATAAGAATTCCTTTATTTTCCCCCCGTGGGACGAATAAAGGAATTCTTATCTTATCTTACTGCATCTACCACCAGAGGGAAGAAGTTGATGTTTGTATTTTTACCATTTTTACATGCTGTAAAAAGTTGTAAACAGTATAATTTCACCAGTGAAGTAAGTTAACTAAGCTTTAGCCTGGCCTTATACATCCGTAAACCCCTGTCAATAATCATTTCCCTACATGTACGAAATGAAATGAGTACGATGGTAAGGCCAACTAAGCTTTTATTTTAGTCAATTTCACGGTGGCGCAGTGGTTAGACATCACACCAAGACCTAATCCACACTTCAGTGCAACAAACACGGCTCGCTCTGGTCCATTTTTAAGTAATGTTTATTTATAGTGCATTCGAACCGGGTCACACAAAGAGCTTTACACACGCAATGCTTAGATATACCTGCAGGTGGCGACAAAATCCAGTCTGTAGTTCTGTCCGCCCCCCGCTAGAGGTCGCTGTCACGGCCTGCTGCACTTAAAACAAACTCCTGTGTTTACCCGGACTCCACTTCCTGCTGAACACATTTATGCACTTTCTCGTCTTGTTTTGGCTTTAATCCACTAACTTTACTTTAAGTACTCCCACTTCCAGCGCGCACACGTGTGGAACCATTAACCCCCCGGACCGTGACCCAGTTTCGCGGAGTTCGCTGACGTGTAAACAGAACCGCGATGCTCTGGATGTGATGGAGGCGGAGAGCAGTGCGCCAGTCGCGGCCGGAGAATGGGACCAGTCCACGGGCGACGAGGTGGAGGAGAAGGGCCCAGACGGAGCCGTGTCCCAGGCGGCTGACTGCGCTCCTGCGGCCGGGGTGGAGGTGGTGTGTTCCGGAGAGGGCTCCCACAGAGACGGGAGGAGGAGATCCAAGCGGATGCCGAACTTTAAACAGGTCTGGACTGGGTTTTGGAGGGCCACGTGAGCTTTGTTATGCATTGGATGGTGTTAGCAAACTGCAAAAATATATAAACTATGCTGTGATTGGGCAAGGCAAGTTTATATGTATAGCACAGTTCATACAGAAGAAGTGCAACTAGAAAAAACAAGATAGACACAATCATACAAGGCATTAAAATAAAAAACATAGAAGATAAGATATTCCTTTATTCGTCTCACAGTGGAGAAATCTCACTGTCATCATTGCGCACATTACAGCAGAGAAAGAAGGAGACTCAGATTGCACACATCAAATAGAGTGATATTTAAAATTATAGACAATATAATTAAAATAAGACAACAAGATGGTAAAATAGAATAAAATAAACTCTGGAGCTATAATTGCACTAGTATTTCCAGATGTGTATATTGTACTTTAGCAGCGGAGAATATGAACAGAATAAACATCAGTAATATCAACAGGTAAAGTGACTAGTGAATGACAGAATATCAGATGGATGGATAAAGCAGTAATAATAATAATAAGATGCAATCCTCCACCGGTTGCACAGGTAAACATACTTTTAACCTGGATTTTAGCATTGTCAATGAATGAATGAATGAATGAAAATCTGACATGCTGTATTCCTGTGTTTAGTCTTGACTCTGTGAATCAGCAGGAGACCAGTCCTTGTGCTCCTCAGAGTCTGAGTTTGGTTCTAAAGATGTCACGGATGTACTTTGGTGCGAGGTCAAATTATAGGCATAGAAATGACTTAATTTATCCAGAGGGAAATTCATTTTGACAGCTCAGTGCAGCTTGGTTTCATAGGCACCACAGGAGAAGGCACCAAATACATGTAGAAATAGCATTGAAATATAGTGAGAGAGAAAGAAAGTACTTCTAGATGGAAAATAACTATTGCAAATTAGATAGAGATGGGAAATTAATTACTTCTTACTTCTTTGTTGCTGTTGTGATAAAATAATGCTGCTCCCTTATTATCATTGCCAACATTTGATTACAATAAATATGATTTTGGTAAGAGATTCACCTGATCTGTATTTGTCCACAATGGTCAATCCACAGCCCCCCTTAATTAAAATGTAGCCACCAAAATGCCCCCAAAAATATGTACATTATCTCATCTGTGATAGATATGAGTGTTGCAGGAATTTATGAATCCACCACCGAACTTTCAAACCAAGCAGATTCAGCTTCTGTGTATTTGTTAAATTGCTTTGTGGAGCTAACAACACACAAAGTATCATGTCCAAGGGAGAGTCACGTGAAGATTCACAGATTCTTCGTTGTCTGTTTGGTGGACTGCATATTGTTTTCTTTGCTGGTTTGTAAAAAGCCCAACTGTTTCTGCAAAACAGTTCATCACAACATGTTTACAGACATATACACAACTATACACTGCAAAAAGTGATCAAAAAAAGTCAAACTGCTACAATTTGGCAAAAACTGTCTTGATTTGAGCACATTTTGACAACAAGATTTGCCAATGGGACAAGCAACATTATCTTGTTTTAAAGAGTTACAAGAAATGTCTCGCTTGGAATGAGTTCCAAGTTCTTGAAATAAGACTCGACAGCTTTGTCTCATTTGCAAATCTTGTTTTAAGACAGTCAGAACGTACTCAAATTAGGATAAAAACCACTCGATTCACACAATTATTACCTCATATTGTATAATTTTTTTACAATCAGGTCTCTTTGTTGGTGGAAATGGTTGTATGTGGTCATCTCTATCTCTGTCTCCTTCGTTCCCCAGCCGCCGCCCCGACCAGAGGATGAGCGCTGCAGTGGCTGCCAAGTGAAGTTCGAGCGCCAGGGCCGAAGATTCAACCGCCGAGCCCTGTGCACCTTCACCAACGTGTACACGGCACGCTGGACCTTCCCACAGGCCGCGGCCGAGCTTCAGGAGACCAGCTTCTTGTGTGAGACCTGTGCCCAGCTCATCCGCAGCAAGTACAGGAAGAGGCAGTGCGGCAAGAGGACACTGTGGACCAGACCCATGAACGAACTGCAGGTGCAACACAGAGAAAGATCCAATTTAAGATTTGATTTGTCATTTTCTAGTAAAACCACCGTGGCAAAACTGCACAAGACTAAACCCGTGGGCACCGGACCGAGTAGACAGTACACACCAGAGCTTCTGCCAACTGCTGTGTGAACAAGATGAGTCTGTTCAGATTTGGCCAAAATGTTATTACATACAGACAGTATTATTCGGATTTCAACACAGACATATTGTAAAGGTACCAGATTGTAGAAAATCTGAACATTTTCATCTCTAGTCCCAGGGCAGGGCACACAAGTAAAATGTATGGATACAAAAGACAATAGGAAAACTTTACAAATGTAAGGGCTGGACTGATTTACAAACACAATACACAGATTAAGAAAGTAACCATACACGGTATAAAGATGGAAACTGCTAACCCCCAGCCTCTATGGGCTCTATGCACCACTTACGCGTTTTAGTTATAACAACACTTGACTTCCAGTGCGCAGGGATCGGCTTGAGTTTCACTGTAGTTCAGCAGATGTTTACACGAGTTTCCTAAATAATGCTCAAACTGGATTTAAACTGTGAGGATACTGGGCATTTTTGGGACACAGCAGTGCTCTCTGATTGTGCTGTCGTTGTGCTCTCATAAAGTTAACTAATCGCTCTGAGTGGCCACAGACGAAGCTCTACCTCAGAGAGAAAGCACAGCAACACTTTTGGGTCAGTCTCACAGCTGAATGTATCAATCTATTTACTAAAAAACGTCACTTCAACTCACCGCAATAAAAAGCAATAGGTTTAAGAACTCTTTTGTACCTCAGTCCATACAGCTGCTGAATAACATCAGGTAATTGTGCATTAGTGTCAATGAATGTTATGTGTGTTATTGTCTGTTTTTATGTGTATCGTCTGTTTTTGTTTTTGTTTTCTATTTTTTATTTATTTATTTATGTCATGTCTGTATTTGTGGGTGCTACCTGACCCCCCCCCCTCCCCCCGCTCACAGACACATTTCTCCCTTGGGAGACGACGTAATAAATGAATGAATTAATGAATGCCATAGCGCAAGCACAGACAGGAAGTAAACGAGCCGTTCTTTATTTACAGGAAATGACGTCACACCTGCCTGTGCATATAGCCCATGAAGGTCACTGGGCTTTAGCTAGCGAGTAGTAAATCTGGCTCTACATACTCTCTCAAATAGGCTGTCGGAGCTAGCTCTCTAATCGGCCTCTTTTCTGCAGTAAGGCTAACACTACGGGCTAAGAGACAGTCCATGGCAGTAACCAACTCATCTTTAGTTCGCAGGCCAGAGTCAGACCAAGCTCGTCACATTTTAGTATAATTTCCACGCACGGAGACGACAGATGTGGTACTGACAGCCAACTCATTCCACCCTCACAAATTAAGATAAATACAGATTACTAAAATGGATACTAACATTTTTTTGGCCTTATCCTTGTGTAGTTCAAACATTTTATTGCAATTATTTGTCTCAGAGGGACACAGAGACTCACCTTAAGAACAAGCGAACGGGGAAGAAGTCCAGAGCGGCCATGTTGGTGAGCAAATCTCGCTACAAATCGGCCTTCAGAGTCCTGTGGTCCGCCAGAGGAGCCAGGAAACCCATGATGGACTTCATCAGCAACCAACTCAAACTGGAGGTGAGGCCGCTTTCATAGATCCAGGTTATAAAGACTCAGGCGAAACGGCCAAAAGATTATATCACGATACGAGAAGGAAATATCACAATAACAATATAAATAAAAAGGCAAAAATTAACTATGTATTAAATTGGCTTATTGCTCTCAAAACTGTTCTATTTAGTTTTTACATGGCTAAATTTTTGGAATCTAAAATCTTTACTAAAAATGCATCACAAAACCAAACTGTAAAGCACTTTTTTAGGCTGAAAAGTGAGTGTGGTCGGATTTGTTCACAACATTTTTTGACAAGACTCTTTCAGTTGGGACGGACAAATATAGTTAAAGGTGTAGAGGAGGATGTTCTACTTCCGGGTGGATCATCAAGACTACCACCTAACTGTCAATCATTCTGGTGATATGTACTCGCCAAATAAGACCAGAGAGATTTGTTCAAAAAGTGCGGAGAGGGCGGTTCTTTCCTAAAATTTGGGAAAATCCCCAAGAAACAAAAAAAGTTAGGTTTCCCCTGAGTTATCATGAAAATGTAATCGTTGCTGTACATACTAGGCCCAAAACCAATAGATATAAAAGAGGACATTTAATAACACTGAATTATAACAAGATACATACAAAACAGAAACTATCATACCCCAAGGAGAGATGGCTGGAGAGAGAGAGAGAACCCTGGAGGCTCTGGGCCTCAGCATTAGGCTGCTACATGTTGCTTATAGAGTTGACACCGATCAAGAGCCCAAACTAGTCCATCCCAGCTCTCTATTGG